CCCTAACCCTAACCCTAACCCTAACCCTAACCCTAACCCTAACCCTAACCCTAACCCTAACCCTAACCCTAACCCTAACCCTAACCCTAACTAACATATTTAATAAAATTATAAAAATATTAATAAAAAGTAATTAAATTAATTTATATTTAAAAAAATAAATAAAATGTAAAAAGCTTAATAATAACGTTAAATTATTATAATAATAAATTATTATAATTAATTATTAATTTTAATTTTAATAAAAAACATTAAGTAAAAAAATATTAATTAATTTAAAAACGAGGTAATATAATATATAATAACACGGTTTAACATATAAAATAACTTTTAATTTAAATTATTATAATTTCGGTTTTAATTTATTATAAAAATATATAATATATTAATATAAATATATATTAATATATATACATTTTAACATATATATAAATTAATTTATATATATGTTAATATATATTTAAATTAACATAAGCACGTGTTAATATAAATTTCTTTTTAAAGACTTTTTTTATTAAATAATTAATTTCGTAATTAAATTAATTGTAAAAAAAAATAAACTAAATAATAATTATATAATATTAATACGTAAGCATTTTATTAAAAATAAAATGCTTTATTACTAATATTAAAAAAAGGAATAATATATTTATTATTATATAAAAAAATAAATTTTATTTAAATTTAAAAATTAATAAAAATAATAATTATAAATAAATTAAAAAAAAGTTAAAAATTATATTTATTTAAATTTAAATATTTTATAATTAAATAAATTATATAAAAAAATTATAAAAAAAAATATAGTAATTTTTAATTTTATATTTTATAAGGAATTTACATTTAGGTTTATTAAAATGTACTATTAGAGCTATTTATAAGCATTCGTAGGTATTTACAGGTGTTTACTTATTATGAGAAACATGTGATTTCACCAATTTGAACGGGAGATTACTGAGATTACCAAGATTACCTCTTAGGTACACATTTTACCATTTGACTATGAGGATTACAAATTTACGAGATCACGTACTGCGCGGTACGTATTGTGCTCGCTTTTGTGGTATATATATCTGGTTGTTGCGTCTGGTGTGGAACGTATTCAGTTGAAACAATTCAAGATTGCATGGCTTCAGGGGATTTAGGGAATCACAGGCGATGTTCCCCAGTACGGGTGGTGATATAGAGGTTTTGGTAACTCTAGTGGTTATAGTTAGTGCCTTAAGGTCCTCAGGCATTAAGGTTACTAAAGTATAGTGATTACTATTAGTGAAAATGCCCTATGATTGATGTGGATGTACTCCCACAGCGATCTTGTCTGGTAATATACGCTTGAGCTGCTCACAGGCAACTTTCGTAGTTTTAGACCTGTCAAGGCCCCGATAAGTCTCTTTAGTCTTTGCATAAAACCTCGTCTTAAAGAGCACTACCTAATATTAACATTTCACTTAGCTTGAGCTATATTAGTTCAACATCTCGGATATAATTATACCTAGATAGGTAGCTTTTCATGCTAGGCTAAGGCATTGGCTAGAATGTAAAACTGCTCTGTGTCTACATCGTCAACCGGGCTGGATACCTACAGCTTGTGAAGAAGTTCAGTTCGGTAGCTATAACGTTATCTACCTAGGTACTAAATAAAATATCACGATTAAACCATCTTGTATGAGCTCAACGTTATCCAGTACTATGCGGCAGAATACTCGAGCACGCGCTCGTTGCGATAACTTAGGCAATTGAGGTCATGCGTTAGATCCCCGCCAGAGCTACCGGCTTATAGCATAAATACGTGCGCCATCCGGCACTTGGTCTGTCTCGACCTCCATGTAAAAGCCGCTCAGTCGTTCCAATCGAGTCGTTCCCCAGTAACAACCTTCGCACGAGCTATGGCAGATTCTCTGAAGAACGTATCGGTCGTTGGAGTAAGTAGGGACGTTTCCAGAAACCCGCGACTTTTCTAATATCTAGCCAGGCCTCGGGAAACCTGGGAAAGGAGGTCGTTCGAGAGCTCCTCGACGCCGGGTTCAAAGTTACCGCGTTCGCCCGCGAGGAGTTGACGGCAACTTTCCCTTCGGAGGTCGCGGTCAAGAAGGTCGATTATCAGTCTGTCGAATCTTTGACCGCCGCGCTTCAGGGACAGGACGCGGTGGTATCTACGATCGCGACGGCAGCCGTGGGCGGCCAGATCCCGCTGGTGGACGCTGCCGTCGCCGCCAAGGTCAAGCGGTTTATTCCGTCCGAGTTCGGCATCAACACGAGGATCGTAGAGGGGACGTCCATCGGAAAGATCCTCCAGGGCAAGGTTAAGACTCTCGATTACATTATCGGCAAGTCTCAGGAGAACCCGTGGTTTTCTTGGACTGGCGTCTCCAGCGGAGTCTTCTTCGATTGGGTAGGTTGCAACGTGATGACCGCGAGTGCTAAACTACTAATGAACTGATGAACTGATGAACTATGTAGGGACTGAAATATGGCACCGTGGGGTTCGACAAAAATTCAAGGACCGCCGTCATTTACGACTCCGGCGAGGAACCCGTCCAGGCGTCAAATCTGGCCTTCATAGGCAAGGCAGTGGCCGCTATACTATCCCAGCCGGAAAAGACGGCTAACCGATACCTCTCGATCGCCTCCTTCAACCCGTCCCAAAACCAGATCCTCAAGATCGCGGAAGAGGAGACCGGGGAGAAATGGACGGTAGAGCAAGCTAGCACGGAGGAGCAGGAGAAGATTGGGGAGGAAAAGCTGGGCAGGGGTGATTACAGCGCCTTCTCCTACCTTCTGCGCTGGCGGATCTACGCGGACGGGGCTGGTCTAGCAGTCTTGGGAGACAAGAGCGGGATTAGCCTGCTCGGGCTGCAAGAGGAAGATCTAGCAGCGACCGTCAAGGCGTGGCTACGCGGCTGAGTATACCTAAGGTTACCTAAGTACGGATCACTTGTAATTAAGACGCGGGGGGAAAATTTCCAACATCAGCTTTTTATTATCGTTTGCGTGAATATACGACTAGATAATCGGGACCAAGAGCTGTCCAGCCTGACGCTTTCAAGCGGTATCAAGCTGAGCTACCTACATAAGAGAGAACCCGCCATCTCCGGCTAGGTGACTGCCCTAGACGAGAGAGGGAACCTGCCACGGCGCCCAGTCGGTGACGGCGACGTTGGCGCTGCTCTTCTCCACCTCCGGAGGAGCGGTGGTGCCGGCGAGCAGGAAGTAGTTGATGTAAGCGGTAAGCTCGGCCTGCTGAGAAGAGGGGAACATGCAGTGGCTGTGGCCGCCGACGAGGGAGAAGCCCATGTTGGTGGGGACGCCGAGGCCCTTGTAGATGAGACGTCCGGCCTTCATGCAGCCGGTCGTGCTGACGGGGCCGAGCCAGTCGATGTCGTTCTCGAAGGCGAGCAGGCCGCGAGGGGCGACGAGGGCGGCTAGGAAGTGGTGGTCCTCGGGCATGCTGCTGGTCTTGGAGGTGTACTGGTTTAGGTTCTTGCTGAACCAGACGTTCTCGCCTACGATCTCGCCGGCGGTCTGGATGTTCTTGCCCTTGCTGTGCTCCGAGTCGGAAATGCGCCAGCAGGCCGCGCCGCCGGAGCCGGATTCTTGCGGGAGGGTCAGGGCGATGCGGTTAGCGAGAGCACCGACCACGAAGGCTCCCTTTCCGTTGCGAGAGCAGCCCGTAGTTCCGAGCCTCTTGGGGTCGATTCCGGTCTTATCCGCGCCGAGCTGCTCGAGGCCGTCGATGACGCGGTCGACTCCCCAGGCCCACGCGGTAAGAGCGCCGGCGGAGTGGGTGTTTCCGAAGAGTGTGTAGAAAGCGCCCTGGCCTCGGGATTGGCCGGAAGCCTGGGAGGCGAACTGGTCGTTGTTGAAGCCGATGGTACCTACGGTGCCGGGGATGGGCAGGGAGGAACCGCCGATGGTGATGATGGCGGGGCCGGGAGAGCTGCTGGGCTTCCTGATGGAGGTGCTGATCGTGACGGACTTGGAGCCGACGGTGACCTTGACGGACATGGTACTTCCCGAGAGGGAGGCTTCAACCTTGTCGGGGGGAGGAGGATAATCTCCCAGCTCGTACTGCTGGAGGAGCTTGCTGATCTCCTGCTGACGGCATGCCCAGTCGGCCTTGCTTGCGACCTTCTTCCCGTCCTCGAAGGTAAAGGGGTCTGGCAGCTTGGCGAAGTCCACGGTCGGGTAGCTGCTCTTGACAGCGCAGTCGCTCGTGTTCTGACGCTCGTAGATTTCGGCGAACGGCAGGGCTGTGGCCGCGGAGCCCAGCAGCAGGGCGGAGGTCAGACGGCGCATCATCTTGGGCGCTGTTTGTTAGGAATTAAGGGGAGCTGGAAAGGTGCGGTTTCGTTAGTTGGTAAACGTCCGTTTGGGGGGGTAGAGACGATTCTTATATGTCGCCAGGCCCGGCTGTTAGCGATGTCTAGCGGCATCATCCATTTCCGGCTGATTTCTGCGTGCCTGAACTAGAGTAGCTTGAGGTCGCCCATTTTCGGGCTGATAGGTGGTCAGGAGGCTCTATCCAATTCGAGACGCCGGGAGGCACCCTCTACATCTGGCTGTTTGACCACGATGGCGCGTCTAACCCTCTGGACCGCGGGTGGCGAGACAGCAGCCCTTGCGCCGAGATCCGCTTCGCAATTTGGGGATGCTGAGGGGCGAGCGTTGGCACAGGATACTCCGCATATCCAAATGTGGGGAGATTGGCTAATATGGCTAATATCGTTGGTGTAGCATCGAGTAGTTAATATCAGTACCTAAGTAGTTATAAGAGCGAAAGGTTTTGGACTATCGCTTAGGTATATTGCTACGGCCGTCAACCTGGTTGAAAAGGAAATAAATAAAATAGAAAAAAGGGGGAGAAAAAAAGGGGTGGGAAAGAGGGAAAAAAAGAAGAAGAAAAAAACAGGAAGAGAAAGCAAAATTTAGAAAGGACATGCTCAATCCTACTCGGTGAGTTATGAATCTCATCTTCGTCCAATTTAATCAGTGTAAGAGATAAAGCAATAGCAAAGTCCGCGGGATCAGATCGCGCATAGGCCCTATGCCCCTTTTCAGTTTCTCACCTCCGGCCTCAAGTGGCGAGACATAGCTTAGGGGCCTTTAGAGGGTTGGAACGTGGCTAATTAGGCGGTTCCTATTCTTAGCAATCGTAAAGACCCAAGGTCCGCAGGTAATAGCCTTTGAAATAGCCGGAGGCGAGGTTACATCCTGCCGCTTGTTTAACGCTCCGAATTACCACACGTGGTTAAAAGCGTCGCGCCCCTGCGCTCTTGGGCGTGCTCAAACCTGCCCGCGATCTGGCCCTGCATCCAAGATGGTTCAAATACTTGGAGTAGAGGCGGCAAGCTTCCCCAGGTTCTTGGCAGCCGGTAGTTGTATGGTAGATTCTCGAACTTCCTTCGTCGATAATGTCTCTTTAGGCGGCTAGCATCGTCGCACCCTCAACGTTAGAGTACCGCATATTGCGCTATGGCCAGCCGTATCCTCTTAGGCGCGATAGCGCTTCTTACGAGCTCCGTAGCCGCTCACGGCGGGCTTGCTAACTACACCGTCGGAGATGCTTGGTACAGAGGGTGCGGATCGATATTCTTTATGGCGGATAGAGAGGCTAAGTATAAATATAGGTACAGCCCGGACGATCCGTTGGAGGACCAGCAGGGCAAGCCTTGGATGGTTCAGAGGATATGGGCGAGCATCGACCCGATATTCTTCGTAAACGATACCGGCCTGGCCTGTAACAACCCGGCTACCGCGCCGCCGTCTTACATTCCCGTTGCTGCCGGAGACAACATCACTGCGGTTTACTGGTATTGGCTACATCCGTACGGGCCCATGTCCGTGTGGCTAGCCGACTGCGGGGAGTCTTGCGAGAACGTGGACGTGAATCAGCTCGACTTCTTCAAGATTTGGGAGGCGGGTCTGGTGGAGGGCAATATCGTGGAAGGTGTCTGGTATCAAAAGCAGTTCCAGAACTGGGACGGATCTCCGGACCTATGGCCCGTTGCTATTCCATCGACCATCAAACCGGGACTCTACGTTATAAGGCACGAAATCCTGAGCATTCATATAGAGGACAAGCCGCAGTTCTACCCCGAATGCGCCCATCTGAATATCACCGGGACGGGGAGCGCGATGCCGTCGCCCGAGTACTTCGCCAGATTTCCAGGGGCTTACAAGGAAGATGGTACGTATGAGCGTTGTACTGGAGGTATCTAACTAGTAACTGACAGGACCAGACCCTTCCATCAGGATTAACATCTACTCTGACGAGATAAAGGGACAAACGGTACGTGCAGGCTTATATGGACGTTTAATTTCTTGGTGCTGAATCTAACCGACGATAGAACTACACGATTCCCGGTCCGCCGGTATGGGACGGGTGAGTATTTAGGTACGAAACTTTACAGATAAAAACGCTGACCTTCTGCAGGTTCGTAAATAAGTACTGCCAGAACTGTTAGGACTGTTAGGACTGTTAGATACCTTGCTCTTGAAGCTCGCCTCGTCCAAGTACGACGTGTCCGATACTATACGGTCGCGCGTACCTAGCAGAGGTTTGCTTATGGGATATTTACTGGCAGCTTCTTCGACGGGCAGTGAGATTCAAGGAGACTGATTAGGGAATAAATACTATTAATACTATTAACACCTATGCTTCCTCCATCTACAAAACAGGCATTGATAAGCTCGCGAATTAGCCCCAGCTGCCGTCCTTTCGCTCTTTTCTTCGGGACGCGCCAAACGGACTCGTGAGAGGGCTGGAAATCCCCGTAGACGGACCCCGATCTTTTGTCCATTGCGTATCTCTCAAGCCAACCCACTTCGGCGTGGTAGTATGGTAGTTCAAGTCTGGCTCGCCCGCGTTGCGTAGCGGAAGATCGCTTGTGACCACCCGCCTATCCTCCTTCGCTTCTTGCGGTGCTTTCGATGCTTTCGAATTATCATCATCTTCTACGTTCTCTCCAAGCCAGAGCCCACCGCTCAACAGCTCTGCAAACTTGCCATTCCTTGCCAGCAGCTCGTCGTAAGAACCGGACTCTACCGCGCTGCCTTGGTCTATCACGACGATTCGATCTGCCAGGCGCATCATTTCCTTGCTGTGAGTGACAACGATAACAGAAAGCTCTTGTCGCCTCCCGTCGGAGACGCTAAGCTTTCTCGTAGGCTGCATAAGCGACTCTATCGTATGTCGCACGTCTCTAGCGCTGACCGCATCCAGCGCGCTCGTAGGCTCGTCTAATAGGAGAATCTTGGGCCGGCGCGCCAGAGCCCTCGCGATGCAGACTCGCTGCGCTTGGCCGCCGCTGAGAGCCTGTCCCCCGTCCCCGACGACCGTGTCGTAACCTGCCGCAGAGGTGCGGATGAAGTTATGGATGCCTGCTTGCTTAGCCGCCCTCTGGATATTCTCGGGGGTGTACAACGGCGAATCTTCCGCTAGGCCGTAAGCGATATTCTCGGCCAGCGTGCCGGGGAAGAGGACGGGGGTTTGCGGAACGTAGCCCATATGGCTTCGTAGGCCGGCGAGGTTGAGCAGCGCGGCTGGTGTGGAAGCGAAGGTTAGTCGTTTTTCGTCCGTGCTATTTCGTCTCCCTCCGGATCTGTCGGGTTCGTAGAGGCCTAGGATTACGGATGCGATGGTGCTCTTACCGCAGCCGGAAGGCCCGACGATGGCTGTGGAAACGCCGGCGTCGAATTGGAGGGTGAGGTTTCGAAGTACGGTACGCCTCCTCAACGGGTAGGTAAAGGAGAGACCCTCCATCTTGATGGGGAAGGGATTCACGAGGAGGATCTTGCCTCTGGACTCGTGGGAGGTGTCGAGGGGTAAGTAGGCATAGTGTATCAGGCGAGAGGCGGTGGCTTGCGCGGCGGAAACTCCGGTTATGGAACTCAGTATGCCGAAAGCGGTCGTGACACCTAGGACTAATAGGTTTACCACCTGGAGGATAGCAGGAACCGTGACTCCTCCATCAGTCGTGAGCAGCTTCATAGCGTACCAGAAGGTCAGCGCGAAGATAAACCAGACCATGGACTGCGAACAAGCGTACGGGATGGCCGTCCATACGGATTTTTCGACTCCTAGATCGAATGCTTTACGGATGGACTTTTCGTGCTTGTCCGAGAAGAGCTGCTCCAGCGTTAACGCTCGAACGACGCGTATGTTTACAAAGGTTTCCGTTGACACCGCGCTGGTGTCATCCGCGGCTTGGAGGCATAAATTTTCCCATTTTTCCGATACGAAGGAGTGGCCTTGAGTGGCAGCGATGAAGACTGGCGCGCTGGCGAGGCTTACTAGCGTGAGCCGCCACGAGATGACCAGCGCCCACGCAATCGTGCTGAGGACCATGATGACAACCAGCAAGAGCTGCGGGGCGAAGCGCCCGACGAGGTTTCTCATCTCCTCCGCGTATCTGTCCATGCACTCGTTGATCCTCACGGCAGAATTCGCCGGATCGTCAAACCACGATCTGGGCTGTCGCAACGCCCTATTCAGCGCTCTGATACGCAGGGAGTTTACCCAAGCCTGTCCCGCTCTCTGCATTAAATATTGGTTGAGGTACGTTGCCGCTGCTCTTGTGCAGGCGACGGCCAAGAGGCACAACGCCCATTTCTGCCCGGCGGCCATCTTGTCTCCGCTCGAAAAGAGGACCGCCAGGAGGTTTGCGAATAAGACTGAAAAAGCCGGGACCAAGCCCGCCAGTACGATGCATGTGAGGAATCCCACGATGAGGAACATCCTCTCCTTCGTGGCCAACCGCGGCCAGACCGTCTTGTAGATAGCCCATAAGGATAACGTCTGAGGCTTATCGCTGCCGCGAGTCCCGGAATTATCTTCGGCGGTGATCGTTGGGACGCGCCGCCGGTTCTTACCAGCAAGGCTGCGGGTTTTCCTCACCGTGTTTCCCAGTTCTTGGAGGTGCAGTATGCTATTTCTGCTGAGAGGCCTTTTCTGGTTCGACTCGCTATGAAAGAGATGGTACTGATCAGGCCACCACAGGGTCGAGAGCATTCTGCGTGAGGGATTGAGCGTTCCTAGGGGCGTTCCTAGAAGCGTTCCGGGAGTATCCAAGACGCTCCATCGGGTAGACTCCTTTTCTTCTTTCCTGATACGAAACAGCTGAGCCTGGATGACCGAGGCTCCTAGGTCTGGCGTCATGCTCCCCCTATGGATATGGATAGCGTCCGGGCCTCCAAAAGGCCAAACGTAGCCCGGAGAAGTAAGGTCCTGCGACGCGGCCGTCTTAGGGGCCAACGGGCCGACCGCAGCGCTTGGCTTGTTGTTTCTCGGTTCGTTCGCGGTAGTTTTCTGATCTAACCCAACTTCGTCGCTTGATGCCGAAGACGCCAAAGTAGCAAACATACCGTCTTTCTGCCTCTGCAGATCCCGACGGAAGCCCGCCTGTACGACTCGCGCGTCCTCCATGACGTAGGCGTAATCTTCGCTATCTATCTGCGCTACTTCGTGGGTGATGATGATGGTCGTCTTTCCTCGTCGCCATTGTCTGATCCCGTCCATAAGAAGGCCTCGATTTGTCGGGTCGAGCCCGCTTGTAACTTCGTCGAGTATGAGGACCGGCGGATCGCGTATCCTTGCTCTCGCTACCGCTAATCGTTGCTTTTGGCCGCCGCTCAGGCTGATGCCGCCGGTCCCTACGTAGGTATCCAAGCCGTTGGGAAGCTCTATCAGCATGGACTGTAGCAGAGCCGCCTTGCACGCGGCTTCGACTCCTCTCCTAGATACTTCGTGAGGGGTTCTGTGGCCCATGGCCACGTTGGCATAAATGGTATCGTTGAAGAGGACGCTCGACTGCTGAATGAGGGTGACATTGTGCCTTACCCACTCGGAGTCCAAGGTCTTGAGCGCGTGGCCGTCTATCAATATATTACCGCTGAGAGGCTCGTAAAACTTCGCTAGAAGATTACCCAAGGTGCTTTTCCCCGAGCCGCTACGCCCGATGATAAAATATAGCTGGTCCCGATCGAAGGCAAAGGAGCATCTGCTGAGGACTTGCTGGGTCGGATTTGATGGGTACGCAAAGCTAACCTAGAGAGCGCTGTCAGGTTGAAAGAGGAAAGGAAAAAAAGGAAGAAGAAGAAGAAGGAGGAGGAGGAGGAGAAGAAGAAGAGAAAAAATGAGGGAAAAGGGAGGGGGGAAAAGGCGGGATGGTACGAGGATAACTCACGTCGTTAATTTCAATTTTCCCAGCACAGTCGATCGGGCGATAGCTGCCCATCATTTGATATATCCTTCGTCCGCCTTCGATGTTGTGAGCTATCGAATCAAGTTCCTGACCGGCGGCCATCCCCCTTGCCAGGGAGACATACACGGGCGCGATGGTGTAGATGGCCTGCAGAGCGCCGAGGGCCGCGTAGAAAGCCGTCACGACGCTCCCCGGGTTGAGCCCTTGGTTTACCAGGACGGCGCCGTAGTAAAATCCCAGCACGAATATCCCGTCCAGCCATAGCCGTATATAGCTGATTTGCCACGCGCTCGTCCTAGCCAGCGCGAGATAGGAGTCCATGGATCTTCGGATCGCTTGGAGATACTGCCAGACTTCGTGGTCCACGGCGTTGAAGGTTTTGACGATGTCCACGGCGGTCAAGGCTGATATCGCGTGCTTGGCTGCTCGTCCTATATCTTGCTTCTGTGCCTGTATAGCCCGGTTCAGCTTGCCGCTCAGCCAAGCAGGAAACAATACGATGGCGGGGACCGTAGCGAGGAGCACGAGCGTGAGTTTCCACGAGCCGTAAAAGGCGACGATGAGGTTGGCAACGGACGTGGCGATCTCCGCTACGATAGACCCGAGAGTTGCAGAAGACGCTACTTGAAGCTCTCTGATCTGACTGTTACGTAGACACCTGGTTAGCGAGTTACGCGGCCGCCCCTGAAGAAAGAAAGGGACAAAAAAGGGGGGGAAGGAGAAAAAAGGCAGTAGGTTAGGTACCTAACTTACGTTTGGATTTTCACCAGCAAACTAGGTATCCCTTCTTCCTGACGATCGAACCAGCCGATGTCCTTGGTGAGCAAGGCGCCGAATACTCCGCGGCGGATGTTTCTGGCTTGTATCTCGCTGAAGACGGACCAGAGAAACATAAAGGCAAAATTGACAATAACGGCCGCTCCCCCGACCAGCGTCAAGATAACGCACCAGGACGAGACCTCAGCATATGCGCCCGGCCCGTCCAATCGCCCCAAACCGAAATCGGCGACAACGGCGAAGATCCTCCCTATGAGGATGGCAGAAGCGGCTCTCATGGCTCCGACGAGCAGCGACGCGACCAGGCCCGCAGCCAATATTCCGCTGTGGCGCCAACTTGCGAAGGCGAAAAGATGCCTGAAGGAAGGGGGCTGCGAACGCTGCAGATCGATTCCTACGGGTCGCGCATGGTTAGACGCTCTGCCGTGGTCTTCTCGGGAGCTAGATCCCTCCCTGGGCTTTGTGTTCTTTCGGGACATGGCGGGCAGAGGATCCCGCTGTGTTGTGTGGCGCTTCGACGGTCCTGTAAGTTGTTGACAAGAATAGGTACACAAGTGTGTAGAAGACAGCCCAGAGGCTCCGGTGAGAAGGCTATAATTGGATTTTCACTTGGATTTCGCTGAGGTCTTCACCCAGCTACCTTTGCTTGCTGGACGTTTTGCGCGCTGGTCGTCCCAGTGACGTGACTCTTTGTTTCTTGCTTTGTAGCGGCGCGCAAGGTGTCGAAGTCGGGGGTACCTACAAGCCAGGAGACTGAAAAGGGATACCTACGAGTTCTAATCTGTTTTTCTTTTTTTCTTTTCTCTTTTTTGTTTTTTGTTTTTTTTTTTTTCCTTTTTTAACTTGAATAAAACATCTCTCGAAGTAGTCCTGTTCTGCATCAAACGCGACGGGCGTTACCATAACCGCTACCGTGTCGGATGCCCAACTTTCATGGTTCACCTGGATACGATATCGCCTTAGGAATTCGAGGTGGCTCAAAGCCATTTGTACATTTGTCCATTTACGTTTCTATCCGCGTATTATTACATCAGGTTCTGGTCCTGTTCAGACGCGCTGCTCCCGCTCGATTCCATCTCCGCCGCTTCTTGTCCTCGTATAGCAGTCGTGGGATGCAGCGATCGTGGGATGCAGCGGTCGTGGGATGTAGCGAGAGACCGAAATTTCTCCTTATTTTTACATGTTTTACCTTACTGCTTGCCCTCCTTTTGAGCCTTCTCGTAGATCCAATCGTTAAGGCCGGCCCTGTTCCTTGCTATCTCGACCGCGTAGAATTGCATCCTCGGAACTAAAGCAGGCCGAATTAGCGATCTTTTCTACCTACGATCTACAAGGAGACTATCGTAATACCGAATATCGTTGTGTCCTGCTCGTATTCTACGTCGGGGCTCGTTCGTAGCATGGTGCCAAAGTTGTAGTCGTCGATCTTCTTCTCGTAGGCCATCATGAATTTGCGCCACCGCTCCTTGCCCGACTTGCTCTTCATCTCTTCTTCGTCGATGGTAGCGGCGGGGTCGAACTCGGGGAAGTCGGCTTTGAGGTGCTCGTATATTTCGTCGTCCATCTTCGTGAGTCGCAACGAGGAGCCTTTGACCTTTTGCAGGATGGCCCAGTACGTCTCGAGATGCTGGACCGCTGCGCTCGTGAGGAAGGTTAGAATATTGTAGTTAGAATATTGTATTGTGAGTAGTTCTGTTCCCCGCGCAAACCTTTGACCGCAAACTGCTTCTCGATCTGTTACTCGCGGCCGGGTTAGCTATCAAACGGGCTAAATATTCGCAAATCAAAAACGTACATCCTCCAAGTTATCTGCGTTGTCCGCATCGAAGTTGTTCGGAACAGGTCCGGACATCTTGGTGATTTCGTCCATGATGGAATCGTAGTTGATCGTGAGGGATATTTAGGTGCGGAATGCCGATTTGCGACAAAATACCAGGTAGCCTAGGTGTATTAGGTGGTAGGTAAACAGCTAAGTTGCAAAATAATCTTTTGTCGGCCAAAAGCAGCTTCTATCGCGGGGTATAGTGGGGTTTACTTATGCAGAATGCCGTCAGAGCACAGTAATGGTCCAGAATTATCCGCCGCCCTCCCTTTACACTAACACTCAGACTTGTCACTCTGAAATAGCTCTATCGATAGAAATGATAAAATATCTTTAGGTCTACATATAGGTACCTAGGTAGGTATTTGAACGAACTAAAGCTTTCATACCAGAGTTTCCCATACAAAAATCGGATGGGGAACACTCCAAAACTTGACGAGTCAATTTTCAACCACGATTACTACGAATATTGAGCGCATCAATATATCCGAGTTTCGTTTCTTAAGCTTAGCAAGCTTAGCACATCCTTCTCGTTAAAGCTGGTAAGTCATACAAGGCCGACATGTATCCTTGACGTTAGCTCTTCACTTCTGCTCGAGCGCCTGTTTACCGTTAGCGATTCCACAAGACTAAGAACGAGCCGGGGATCTCACGATAGCAAAGGAGCTCCGGCCCCGAATTCTACCTCCGAACAGAACCAGCGCCCACGGCACGATCGTCAGCACCGTAGCAATTCCTCCCAGCAGCCCGCCCATCGCGTCTTCGTCGAGATTTCGAATCAGGGGCCCCGTGACGAGAGGAAACGCCCCGCCGAGCACGTTGCGGCAGAAGGACTGCGCGGCCAGCGCCGAGGACGCGTAGGCTTGGTAGATATCCGCTAGATAGTTAAACGTAGCCAGGTAGACGTAAAAGATTCCCATAGTCGCGAGGAATATCGCAAACGTAGGAACCATCCAGTGGATCGACGGCTGAGAGGCGAATCCAAATAGGTAGAGACCTGCCGGCAGCAGCACCGACGTGAAGCAGGTGAAGTACAGCCGCGATTCTGGCGACTGGGCCGGAAATTTCCGTCGCACAAAAGCCCAGAGCCCCGTACCCGTAATACCATCCTCCAAGCCATCTCCCGAGCTGTCTTCCGAGCTGTCTTCCGAGCCGGTTTCTGAGCTGTCCGCCTCCGAGCTTTCCGATCCCGATCTCGATCCCGAACGCCACTTGGGATGTTTGAGCATTCCTTCTTGGTATATACCGAGGATCGTCGCGAGTATAGAGCCTACGATCATAGCGACGAAGACGAAACCGGACTGCTCGATGCTAAAGTCGTACTGCCTCTGGAACACCAACGGTATGGACCCAAAAGTCAGGTAGAGGATGGCCCAGGCGAAAGACACCCAAAGAGAGAAGAAAAATACGATGGGCTCCGTAAAGAGGAACATGAAAGGCCTAAAAAGCGACACGGTTATCATCGTAGCTAGGGATGCCCGCTGCTCATCTTCTCTCACGACCCATCTGATTCGCCTCGGCCCTCGGTCTCCGTCCCGGTTAGATTTGAACGCGGAGTCTGATTTTTTCTGACGTTTCTCTGCCGCTGACGTGTTGAGGTCCTTGGTCGCCGCAGATCTCGACAAGATATCCGAATCGCCATTTGGCTCCGATATATAAACTCCGAATGCGCCCTTGTCCTCGAGCTGTTCATACCACTTATTCAAGACTTTCGCCTTCCTCGAAAGGAGCACCGAGCCGCGGCTCTCTTTGAAAAAAGCCACGACGGCAACCATCAAGACGAAATCTATGATAACTACGGGGCTAGGATGTTAGCTTCTAGCTATCGCACGTTACTCGGCTTAGACATAACCGCCTGTTAACGTATTTAGTAGCGGGAGAGAGGTCTGCGGCCGGAATCTTCGACTTACCCTGATGCCAAAATACCCACTTCCACTTCCGATCTTCGTCCCCCCATCGTTGAACCATGACCGCAGCTACGAGCGGTCCTAGGCCGGTGCCCACCAAGACGGCGCCGCTGAAAAGTGCCATCGGCGTGTTTCGGTCCTCCTTCTCGTACATGTCGGCGATTACGCCACCCACCATCGTGCTGAACACACTCCCGCCGACGCCCTTGAGGAACCGGGCGACCAGCATGCCTGCCAAGTTCGTGACCACGCCGCAGACGGCCTGGAAGACGACAAACACGACACCGGCGACGGCGAAGATGGGGTAGCGCCCATTGATCTCGGAAAAGGGGGCCAAGACCATGGGAGCAATAGCGAAGCCGATACAAAAGGTAGTGACGCCGACCAGAGCGTTCTCGCGCGTTGTGTTGAATTCCGCGGCGATCAAATCCGCAGATTCGGAATACGCGCCCGCCGCGTATGCTGTGAAGCAGGTGGCCATGCAGGATATAGCCACCATGACCCCCTTGCGGGCCGGCGGCCACTTCAGCGGATCGGCATAGGATGAAAGGTCGGGACATGCGGGAAGGTCTCCGCGTCCTAGCTGCCGTCCGTCCGTATTTGGAGATGGCAACGGCGTGTCGAACGTCAGGCACACGTATGATATAGGGCTGGCGACGTCCAGCGGTGGTATATCGTGAGCTACCTCGTCTTGGTCTATCGGTCCTGGCTCTTCGGTTTTCGAGATGGAACGATCCAGAGCCGTAGGTGGTAAGGGCGCTGTCGAAATATCATGCTTCTCGGATGTTCCGGCGCCGAGAGACGGGTGATCGCTTGGTCTATCAGCTGCGGCGGTTGTTGAGGTGCCGGCGTTGATCTTCGTGTCCATCCTCCCGAGGTGTCAAGTTCTATCTAGATTCTAAGCAGTTTGTAAATCAAGCAGTTTGTAAATCATGTACTCCGAGCTCAGAAGCAAGATTCTAGCTAGCTATTTAATTATTGCAACGGGGAATTCCACTCGAGGCTTGGTGAGAAGGTTGATATGCCGATATAAAAATTGCCAGAAGGAATCAAAAACCAGATAAAATTCACGGGCCCCGGACCGAAGTGCGGACTAGTTTCTAACCTCACAAAACAGTGAAGCTCGCCGTTTAACTTTAAATAGCTATCTACCTAGGTACTCATCACAGATAAGTCACAGAATCGGTGTGGGAAAAATGTAACCTTCGCTTATGTTCGGCGATGGAGGCGTGGCACGGCAGCGATATCGTCTAAGGTCTTAGCATAGCGCGAGGCGGTTGCCAGACGAGGATCATTGCCAACTTGAAGGGAGTCTCGCAAGTGACGGGATCGGGTATTAGACCGAAGGGTCGCGCGCGCGATTAGGTCGTCCAAACTCTCGGGAATTAGAAGAGGCCCAGCTTTGGTAGATTTACATTTCCGGTTATTCCCGCGACGGCCTTGTGGATACTTGGATTTAGTTCATGCAGCGGTGGCGGGCTCCGCGGATACAGTACGGACTTGGCTGATTGAACCTGTGGTGTAATCCTTACGACCTACTTAATCGCCAACATACCTACCTAGGTAGCTATCACTAGGTATGAGTTGAGGCTCGTGGAAATTTAGAATAGCCTTGTCAATACCTACCTAAGGTACCTAGGTAGTTTCTTCACCTCCTTTATATCTATCATTACAAATTCAGACTGAAAAGCTGACAACCCGGGAAGAAATCCGGGTCACGAGTCTCGTCTCGGATATCTTGGAACTGTCAAGAACTTCTAGCCTAGGTGATGACCTTAAGATGCTCATGCGTTGTGGCCTCCAAGACTATACGTAACTCTTCAAGACTACCTAGGTACCTACCTAGGTAGTCTGGTAGGTATACGTATAAGATTTAGATACCTACCTACCTGTAGCCAAGTTGCTTGTTCATTAAGACAATGCATCTACCGAGTTCATGTACCTTACCAGAAGCGAGGTGGTGCTTTATCACGCACAGGTCTTTTGAGGTGATGAAAGCAGTCGGACGCGCCATTGTCCAAATTCCCGATCTGCAATTGGGCCTAGCCGGAATCATCATGAAGAACAAGGAAGCTCGAGCTAATTGTCTCGCGGTGTCTACTCGAACTTCGCGCACAACAAAGGGATCGGACTGAATTCAGTCCCCGCAAGACTCTGACATAAGGAACGTGTACGCCTGTCCATTATTCCAACGCGTGCCTAAAAGTTGGCGCATCCCGCGATCCGTAACGACATAGCCATCGAAAACTGCTATAGTTGTTATTCTTGCTGTCCGCCATTCGCCCTGGGCAAACTACGTAAACTTCATCTAGCCTTCACACAGTCTTCGTCTAGTCTTCGTCTACTTGACTATTGTAAGCTGTAACTACCTAGACCTAATCTGAGACACCCACCATAATCAAGATGGCCGCAACGAAACCTCAATCCGAATATTGGAAGCCTGCCGCGAGGGCCACCTCGCTGCTCGCCAGGCCGGTCGCTTCGGCGAGCGATTACAAGCTGCGGATGTATTCGGGCTGGACGGTGACGGACGGTACTTTTCAACCCGTAACCGAAGACAGGAGGTCGAATAGGAACGTGCCGTACCCGAGCTACATCGACCAGGCTTACCGGGCTACGTACGGGCTCAGCAGCCTTCAGCTTGCCGGCGACGCCCCGATCTCCCTGTGCGCTATGGACGTCGCGACAGATCACCTGTGGAAGTGCGCTCCCGATTTCGTCAAGGGCGAAGTCAACGTGTATCCTCCGAACGGGCCGGCTCTGTGGTCCCAAAACGAGAGCCACCAGGAGGCGATATTCCGGCAGACGGAGCAACAGACGAAGCAGAGAGGCGAGGACGTATACAGCGAGTTCAAGTCGAAGCCGTGGGGTCTGTGGCCTCTCTGGGTCGAGGACGAGTGGGGTTTCGACTATGTCCTGCTAGTCTGGTACGCCGACGCCTCGACGGACTATCCTGATTACTTCGACAACGCCTTGATCGCTACGATATATGATCCGCGCCGCGAGGCTCAAGCAGATGGCCAGGGAGCGCATTTCCTGATATCGGGGCGCGCGGCGAGGCTAGAGCGGCAGGTAAAGAATTTCTTCGATCGCGCGGGCTTCAAGACGGATAGGTTGGTATTCGTGGACGGACGGTCCGCCCCCATGCCGCTGGGCGAAGCAACGAGCGGGGAGCGGTGCTTCGCGGCCACCAAGGAGGTGCTGTCTTGCATACTAAACTACTACCTGGACGCGGCGACGGGGATCGAGATGGACCTTTCGAACGGGCGGCTCTGGAGCCTCTCGCAGTGGGTTAACCCGTACGAGTACCGGATAGAGATGGCGGGCATCAACGCGTGGGTGCTGATGGCGACGTTTGATTACAACGCGCGCATTACCGTGGAGTGTATCGAGCCCGAGTTCAAGACGGACGTGGTAGCTGACGGTAGACGTCTCACTCTTCAACCTTTCCACCTTGCTGGGCCTCACGCGGCGCCGGAGGTGGCTGCGGATGACTATCTCCTCCATTCGGGACAATCTAAGGCGGATAAGATCTAAGGATGGGATCTACGGCGACAGGACAGCTTCTCCTGAGAGCAACGGTGGGACTGGAAGCGAACGGGTAAAGTTCATAAGCAGTGTATATATAGGGAGGCGGTGACGATGAATTTGAATTAGCACATTTCGTAATATATCTAGAGTATCGGTCAATTTATTATCTACCTAACCTAACCTAACTTTTTTTTTCTTATTTTCTTGCTTGATATGAGGTTGTCTCTTAGTTTATTGATGTTGACCTGGCGCATCGTGATAGTTGCAAGTCCCTAACCTGACCTAAAAGAACGACCTCAGGACCTCGGGAATAAGCTAAGGTTGTAGCGTGTATACCTGTAACTTACAGTGCTTCACAGACCAACTCCTAGGATAAGAATTTCCAATGACGTATCAAAAGGCAGTGTTGAATGGCTTGTGCTTAAAGCAATGACAAAAACTGGCCATTCAAGCTACTTCCCGAACAGACCTGAGCGAAAAATTAAAGCGCAGCACCCTAAAGGGGTGCGATGTCGAGTATACGTAGACAGCATTACCTAGTACCGGCCGTAAGGAAACGGGCAAGATTAGGGATTCGATCCGAAATTTACCCGATACATAAGATTTTGCTGTAACTCCCATATAAATGTAATGTATTTTATGATATAACGTAAACCACGGGTCAGCGGTCCACACGGGTTAGCGGTACATATACACACTTAAAATAACATATGTATTTTAATAATATATTGTTTAATTAATTTATAATATATTATAATGAAAAAGAAATTAAATTAAATTTTGCGTTTCGTGCTTTTTAATAAAATTAATTTTTTAATATTAAACGCGTTACGAAATTATATAATATTTTTAATATATTACGTAATTACGTTAATAATTATTAATAATACGAATTTATAATATTATTATATTGTTAGTAAGTACGTACGTATGGTAAAAGCAATAAACAAGTAAAATAATAATAATAGGGGTAAAATTAATGTATTAATAATGTTTAAAAAAAAATTATTTAAAGTTAATTAATAATGTAATATCTTTTTATACAGTAATTAATAAAATAAAAAAATTATAATTAATATATATAATTAATAAAATATACGTAACCTTTTTTAATATCAACGTACCGGATAATTAGGTATCCGTATTTCGTTATGCGCATAATACTTCTATTATACGGCATTATACGCTAAGCGTATAATGCCAAATGCATCTCTAGGTAGAGCACGTATTTTGTACCTTTTTTAATTGAAAAGCAACACGCGACGCGTATCATGCCGGAAGCTTTGGGCAAGTCGCGTTTTCTGTTGATAAGGAAGATTAAGTATCCCCCAAAATATCAACGAAGAATATCAAGTGGCAATTCGCAAAGTAACGAAATAATCACTCTGCCCTTTTTTATTTTAGATGCGCCAAATCGCGTATTGCACTCCTCTTGACCTTTTTCTTCCTTTTTCTTCCTTTTTTTTTTTTTAAAAAAAAAGGTCGTTGACCTTACAGCTTTTAATTAAAATTCGATTGTGTACACGATACGATTAGGGAAACCACCTCCTATCAGTTAAACTCATCAACTCAACAACTCAACATCGAACAGATATCGTGCCAGCAGACGACCTTTCTATACCGTTTATTCGAGAGTTCAAGTCCTAGCGACGTTGTTCCAGCTCAATTTCTCAAATTCCTAGTCGCTACCCCTGTGATCCGCGTCCCCCTTTCAATTGATCCGAATTTCGATTTATATCCTCCCTCGGCGCCGCAGTCCTCTCCTACTTTAGACCTAGTTTTCTACCGCCGCGAAGATCGAGCCATCGAGATGGGCGACTCTCGCACCCCGGCTAGAAAGACACCTTCGACATCCAAGAAACCCAGCTCGACCCCCTCGGCGGCTTCTGGAAAGCAGCAGACAATCCTCGGCTTCTTTGCCAAAGCCTCCCCGGCCCTAAACTCGTCACCAACTCCGTCTTGCCTCAAAGAGACGACGAGGTCCAACAGAAAGCCTTCCGCCGTCGCACCCGTTCCTAGCAGCGATGCCTTGGAGCCCTCCAGCTCGCAGGAAAACCTCGGCTCTGCTGCCACCGTAAAGGTAACCCAGCAATCACTCGTCCTGACCTACTCGTCCTGACTTATTAGTCTCTGCTGACACGCTATCAAGCAACAACCCCTATCCGCCCGAGCTGGCGTGGATAGCAGCCCGACACGCAAGGTAGCGCAATCCCCCTCCCCCCATCCCCTCTTGTTTCCTCTTTATCTCTGCTCATACCTACCTACCTTATAGGTCAGAAAGACGGTCAACTATGCCGAATCTTCCGATGATGACGAGGACGTTTTTGCAAGCATGAAGGCCTCCCAGGTTCGCCGCCGCAGCCGCCAGAAATCCAGAGTCGTAGACGAGGAGGATGATTATGAGGAAGGGAAAGATGCGGCTGCGGATAAAGATGTGGCTGCGGATGAAGATGGTAAAGTTACGTCTCGGTATGATTCGCTCCGACATGGCTAACATGATAACCCCGTCGCAGATGAGATGGTCGATTGGGTAGCTTCTGACGACTCGGATGTGCCGCCCAGGAAACGAAAGCGAGCCTCGAAACCTCAGAGCGCGCGAAAGCGAACCCATGCTTCTCCCGAGCCGGAGGAAGACGAGCAAGCGGAAAAGGACGGTGATGAGGACATGCCGGAGGACATGCCGCCCATGTCGACTGCTCAGCAGTGGCGTTACGATCCGGATCATGTCGAACCGTTGAAACCGAGAGCGGCTTCGCAACCTGCGCGCAAGCCCTCTTCGGCAAAGCAGAAGGCTCACACCCGAGAACCCGAAGAGCGCTATCCGTGGCTCGCCGATATTAAGGACATAAACCGCAATCCTCCGGGCCACCCGGATTATGATCCCGCGACCGTGTACGTCCCGCCCTCAGCTTGGAACAGCTTTTCGGCCTTCGAGAAGCAGTATTGGGAAATCAAGCAGAAGCTGTGGGACACGGTGGTCTTCTTTAAAAAGGGCAAGTTCTACGAGCTCTACGAGAACGACGCCACGATCGGCCATCAGCTCTTCGATCTCAAGCTTACCGACCGCGTCAACATGCGCATGGTCGGCGTTCCCGAGAGCTCGCTAGATATGTGGGTTAACCAGTTCATAGCGAAGGGCTACAAGGTTGCGCGGGTCGACCAGATGGAGACCGCACTGGGCAAGGAGATGCGAGAGAGGGTAGACGTCAAAGCCAAGAAGCAGGACAAGATCATCCGGCGGGAGCTGGCCTGCATCTTGACCGGCGGCACGCTTGTCGACGGCAGCATGCTTCAGGACGACATAGCAACCTACTGCGTGGCTATCAAGGAGTCCATTGTCGATGACCACCCCGCGTTTGGTGTCGCTTTTGTGGACGCTGCCACGGGCCAGTTTTTCGTATCCGAGTTTGAGGACGACGTGGACCTGACCAAGTTCGAGACGCTGGTCGCGCAGACGAGTCCTCGGGAGCTGCTCCTCGAAAAGTCCCAGATCTCGACCAAGGCGCTGCGTATCCTCAAGAACAACACCTCTCCCACGACCATCTGGAACTATTTCAAGTCCGGCGGCGAGTTCTGGGAAGCCGACCTGACCCGGAGGGAGCTCGACTGCAACGGCTACTTTGCCGAGGCCGAAGGGGCGGAGGAGCGTTGGCCTAGCGCGTTAGCCGAGGCCAGAGACAAGGACCTATTGATGTCTGCCCTCGGCGCTCTCGTTCAATATCTCAAAGTTCTCAAGATCGAAAGGGGCCTCCTATCCCAAGGCAATTTCACCTGGTACAGCCCTATCCATAAGAACGGCACGCTGATTCTCGACGGTCAGACCCTCATCAACCTCGAGATCTTTGCCAACTCTGTGAACGGAGGATCGGACGGGACGTTGTTCGCGCTGCTGAACCGCTGCGTCACGCCTTTCGGTAAACGGCTTTTCCGCCAATGGGTATGTCACCCGTTGTGTAATATCGAGAAGATCAACGAGCGGTTGGACGCGGTCGATATGCTCAACGCCGACGCGGCTGTCAGAGAGCAGCTATCGTCGCGGATGACTCGGATACCTGATCTGGAGCGGCTTATCTCGCGGATTCACGCCGGCGCGTGCCGTCCTGAGGACTTTGTCAGAGTCCTGGAGGGTTTCGAGCAGATCGAGTCCGCGACGAACCTCCTGGACGGTTTCGGCAGCGGGCAGAGCCTGATCGGCCGCCTCGTCTCGTCTATGCCGAACCTGAGTGAGCCTTTGTCGTATTGGAAGTCGGCTTTCGACCGCAAGAAGGCCCGGGAGGAGAAAATTCTCGTTCCGGGGCGCGGGATCGAGGAGGATTTTGACCAGAGCCACGACAGGATCCTGGAGATCAAGGATGATCTCCAAAAGCTCCTCAGCGAGAAGAAGGCTGAGCTGAAGAACAAATCTCTCAGGTTCGCCGACGTGGGCAAGGAAGTGTACCAGATCGAGGTGCCCAAAGCGGTCAAGGTTCCCAAGAGCTGGCAGCAGATGTCTGCTACTTCGAGCGTTAAGCGCTACTACTTTAAGGAGCTGATCGACCTTGTGCGGCAGCTTCAGGAGGCCGAGGAGACTCACTCTCAACTTGTTCGAGAGGTGGCGCTGCGCCTCTTCCAGCGATTCGACGTCGATTACGATACCTGGCTGCAAGCCATCCGCATCACATCCCAGCTCGACTGCCTGCTTTGCCTTGCCAAGGCGTCTTCCTCTCTGGGCGAGCCCAGCTGCCGTCCCGTCTTTGTCGACGAGGAGCGCAGCGTCGTGGAGTTTGAGGAGCTACGCCATCCTTGTATGCTCAACACGGTTGACGACTTCATTCCCAACGACATCGTTCTAGGCGGTAATTCGGCCAAGATCGACCTCCTGACGGGCGCGAACGCCGCCGGCAAGTCTACAATCCTGCGAATGGTAAGTTCCCGGCCCCCTATCGTTGCTAGACTTGATCCTAACCCCCTCGCGCAGTCTTGTATCGCGGTGATCATGGCACAGATCGGCTGCTACGTACCGGCGACCTCAGCCAAGCTCACCCCCTGCGATCGTATCATGTCGCGGCTCGGGGCCAACGATAATATCTTCGCGGCGCAATCCACGTTCTTCATCGAGCTGTCGGAGACGAAGAAGATCCTGTCGGAAGCGACGCCCCGATCCTTGGTGATCCTAGACGAGCTCGGCCGCGGCACGTCCAGCTACGACGGAGTCGCGGTGGCTCAGGCGGTTCTCCACCACGTAGCTACGCATATAGGATGCATCGGCTTCTTCGCGACGCATTACCACTCGCTGGCGACCGAGTTCGAAAACCATCCCGAGATCAGAGCGAAGCGCATGCAGATCCACGTGGACGAGAAGCAGCGGCGGGTTACCTTCCTGTACAAGCTCGAGGACGGCGTAGCGGAGGGGAGCTTCGGCATGCATTGCGCGGCCATGTGCGGGATTTCCAGCCGCGTTATCGAGAGGGCCGAGGTGGCCGCCAGAGAATGGGAGCACACCAGCAGGCTCAAGGAGAGTTTAGAGCGCGCGCGCGAAGGCTGCTATATACCTTTGGGCATCCTGAGCGACGTCGCCGCGCTGCTGGACGAAGAGAAGAGCCAAGATGTTGGCCTGAAGAGTATGGACGTGCTGGCGAAGGCGATCGAGGCGCTCTAAAGTGCTGCCGCTGCCGCTGTTGCCACTATTGCTGCTTCTTGGGCGTAATATTTCAAATATTTCATTGTATCATAGCTGTCAGGTCCCTAGCATATTTCGTGGAGCATTTCCGCAGAAATTTACTCTCTGGGCTGCATTTTGCTGTGTAGGTAGGTTGCTCGAGATGTGGATGAGCTTAAGAGAGAAACGATCACGAAGCTAGCTCTCGGTAATAAGACTTAATATTTTTTAGATTTGAAGATTTTAATCAAGGGTCTCACGCAGAGGCTTATTCCGAATTTCAAACTAGGCGTGATGATTTACCATATCAATGTCTACGACCATAACCAAGGCATAACCAAGACAAACCAAGACAAACATTCTAGCTATCTTCAAGCTTGTCCTTCCTCTCGTGCATCATGTCGACGTTGCTTGCGGTGCCGGTTAGACCGTGAAGCATCGCCGTGAGCCCAATTTCCCTGTTTATCTCTTCCATGCGTTCGAAGTCAGCCTGCGCTGTCCCCTCGGAACCGAATATGACGTCCTGCGACGAATTCATCACGTTAGAATCTCGCGGCACAAACGGGTTTGTTGTTGGCTCTGTCAGTACTCACCATCTCCTCCAACGTCAACCGCTTGGTCTCCGGCACGAAGAACCAGATAAACCCAGCTCCCATGAACGTCAAGAGGCCGAAGAGGATGTAGGTGCCATACCCGATCCTGCTCAGCATGATGGGCGTGACCTGGCCGACAACTGGAGACGGGTTAGCATAAAATCTCCGAGAGCAGGCCAAAAAGCTTCGGACATACTGAAATTGTTCATCCAATTACTCGAGGCGCCGAGGGAAGTCCCGTAGGGGCGGGAGCTAAGCGGCCAGATCTCGGCGACGATGATCCACGAGCACGGGCCCCAGGAGTATCCGAAATGGATGACAAAGAGCCAGACCATAGCAGCGGCAGCCCAGCCGGCGGCGGCTTGACTAGCCCACCGGTCTGCGTTCTTCGCGACGATCACGGCTATGATTATGTGGCAGGTAGCCATGCCGATGGCGCCGATGGTTAGGACGGGCTTTCTTCCGACGCGGTCGATGTAGAGCACGGCAGGGACGGTAAAGATGAACATGGCAATGCCGACGACGCCGGTCGCCAGCAGACTCGTGGTGGTGCTGCTCATGCCCAGGGAAGTGAATATGCCTGTTATCTGGAGCGTAAGAATAATTTATCAATAGTTATGGTATGGATTAAGGGGGTTAAGGGGATAAAGGGGGTATAGGGGATCGAGGGTATTGAGGGGATCGAGGGGATTCAGGGGTTATAGGGGATAGGGGGTCTTACTGGGAGCATAGTACAGAACGGCGTTGATACCTGTCCACTGCTGGAAGAACATGGTGACGGTGGCGACCACGACGCGCTTGATCATCGCTCTCGTCTGGAACAGGGACTTGATGGCTACGAACTGGAGCTTGAAGGTATTCCAGGCCGTCTGCTCTCTCAGCTGGGGAAAGTGTTCGGCCACGGTGCGCTTCTCGAACTGCGACTGGGCCTTGATCTCGAGGAATTCGAGCTCGACGAGTTCGTGGTCGGCAGCGAGGCCGCGCAGGCTGGCTAGAATTTTGCGAGCCTCGTCCTCGCGGCCGTGGTGGACGAGCCAGCGCGGGGAAAAGGGCATAAAAATCATCCCCGCGAAGAGGATTACGGCGGGGAAGAGCTGCAAGCAGATCGGTACAAGCCACGCGGCGTCTTTCTGGGAGCCGAGGGTTGTGCCGCCGATGTAGTTGGTTCCGTAGTCTATCCAGAAGCTGACCATGATGCCAAAGGTGATAGCCAGCTGCTGGAGGGCGACCAGCGCGCCTCGAATCTCCGGGGGCGCAACCTCGGAGTTGTATATAGGCACGATGGTAGCTAAGGAACCGACGCCCATACCCGTAACGAAGCGGCCCCCGAGAATTACGTTAGGTCCGCCGGACTGCGCCGTAGCCTGGATGACGACTCCGACAACAAAGACCGTTACTGCTACCAAGACTCCGTATTTTCGCGAGATGGCCTCGGCGATGAATCCGGATAGCAGCGTGCCAACCCAAGCACCGAGCTCGAGGATAGCTGTGAGCCATCCCTTCTTTGTCTGATCTTCCGAGTCGTCGAAGGGGTCGTATTCGCCCATGTCTTTACCGTCTGATTAGCCATATTGTCGTCACCAAAAACCAGATGGCGAAATCGATCAACGGCAGGCCTTCACTTACGAGACTTGAAAGCGGGCATGGCGAGAAGGCCCGAGAACATGCCCTGGTTGTAACCGTACAGGATACCGCCGATGCAAGCGAACAGCGCGATCCTGAACACCTTGAAGTTTTTGACCAGAGCCGTGGGACCGGACGCGCCCATCATCTCCTGGCGGCGTTTGAGGGCCGCATCGTACGCGGCGGCCCCAGAATCGGCCCCCGCGACCATTATGATCGAACGCAGATGTGCCTAAGGGGTATTATTCTTGCATAGGTAGGTACCTAGGTTGGTCTTGATCTCCCAGGCGAAGGATACCTCTCAGAGGGTGAATTTCGAGATCGAGGTGGCAATCCAGGACACCAGCACGCGGCTTAGACGACAAGGTGTCTCGGCGGTGCCTGAGGGGGCGTCCCGGTATAAATAATACCATGAACGCACCGGAAATGTGACATTGGGCTACAGAATAACCTTCGACCCGACGCCTAGGATCCGGAGTGAAGACTCTGGGGACCCCGCTGAGATATTACCGGGATAAGGGATAAATAGGTAGGTAGGTAAGCTTGGGGTACCGAGCTAGAGCCGAGATCCTGGCTGATTGGTGAGAGAAACACGCGTTATGTCGTTGTGTTTCCTACCTACCTCTAACCTAGGTAGATCGTGACCTACAGACTGTGGCTTAAAGAGTATTTTTCGTCGTTGGCAAGTTTACGAGACCGTAGGTTAAACTTTGAGAAATAACGCCGCGGAGCTGTCTCTCCTCGAGTTGATAGACATGTTCGAATCAAGCTTCTCTCCCCACGATCTAGATAGGAGGCCATACACGGTAGTCTCGAAAAGTTCTTGGAGAGGCGAGATATCATGGGGTATCTCGGGGTAATGTTACGAACAGGCTGACTGGACCTGCTCCTCCATCGAATCAAAGATGGCCGGCCTGACCGGGGTTAGAATTTAGCCTGAATTACCCCAGACGGAGGATCGTCTCGTTAAACGTGAGGTCGGCCGATGGACAGTTCAGTTAGTATATCTAGCGCAGCATGTCTCGTTTAGTTTCCATTGATCGTCATAGGCTCCACGATGACTGGCATTCTACAACAGCGAGAGGGACAGAGATCGGATGGAACTTGAAATGACATAGGAGACCTAACAGATCCTCATCATAAATGATGCTACGCGGTAGTCTTGAGACGACTGCAGGCTGACTGTAGGTACGTTCGGGTCAGCTTACCAGTCTTTATCTTGCCAGTCTTTATATCCGACTCAGATATGCTTTTTTCTGCCATGAAATTAATCCGTCCTTCTGACGATAAGTTTACCTAAGGGCTATGAACGACGAGGTTAACTTCCCCCGACTTGTCCCTGCGATAAAGCCAATCCGCTCTCGTAAATTCCAGTAAGTACATGAGATATAGTTTAGATATATGGGATGCCCAGCTCACTAAGCTCAAGGTTCAATGGCCTTCGCAGCGGCTGGGCGTTGGCCCTCGGCCCGGATGGTACCATATCAGAACGGTAGACGCGATCCGACCTACGGCAGGGGATGGCAGTCCGCAAAGATAAACGTGTTTGCTGATAGGGCTGCAACGCAGATCAGGCGCTTGTCAAGCGGTCCTCTTCGGGAGGATGTGCCGCCGTCTCAGCAGCGGTGCTCAGATATCCAATCATGGCTAGGTTTGCGCCTAATATTTCTTCCGCCAGCATGGCACGCGAGGCCGAGAGACGGGTTTTCTACTACCGTGGACACATGTGCTCTTCTGCGCGCCGTCGACCCGCAGGCGACCAAGGTGGTCTAGTATAGACGAGCTATCACGCCGTTTGAAACGCGTGGCGGGAAGGATTCAGGGCCTAGGTGGGAGGCATCATAGCCGCCTCGAAACATTATGTAGCTACCTACCTAACGTACCTTAGGTATATATGGTCATTTACGTATCTATCGGCCGCAACTACCGGCTGGCCCCCACCGGATCTTCCCAGGGAAATGCAGCAGAAAGATGAAGAGCCCATACAGCATACAGGCCCGGCTAGGGCGAGATCAAGATGGAAAGGAGGGGCTTTGTTGGACTTTGCTTGCCTCAAGGCTCAGATGTACGCCACGATCCGTAACTCCCAAGGTCAGTGATTGAGATAGTTAAAGACAGGGTCATTGCATTGCATTAGAAACCAAGCTCGATTAGGCACACGCAATGTAACCCCCCCTTGTCGCCGGGTAGGACGATCGTTGGTTAATTTAGCGTCAAAAATCTTTAGACGCGCGCCTCCATCTTTTTTTCCGCCATTCTAGTTCAGGGGTCATCTCGACTTTCTCTCCGTCTTCCTCGGTTCCCCTTCTTTCGTCCAATGCCGCCTCTCCATCTTCTCCCAAACAGCCGTTCTTGTCGTTTCAAAACGCTGCACCCTGCTAGACGTTTGCAACGTGCGAACTCGGTTGACGTTCACATTTTAATATCTATGATGTTGGTTCAGCTGTGTTGCGACCTTCCATCCGTCTCGTCGCCATGTCCCTTATGAGCGAGTCAACCCACATTGCTCCCCATCCGAGAGGGGCTTGCGAGAGAGGGGTTCGACCGGACTCGACTAGGCTCGGCTTGAATAGAACTGGATCGACATCTGCATATCCGCATGCGTCTGTGCGTCTATTCTTGGGGGCCGTGCTTCACCCCTCGTCCTCTATGCAAGGTACCGTCCTGCTTGGCTCTACCGGCGTGGATCTCGACCTGCTAAAGGTTCGAGCGATGCTGCGGGCCTGCGAGAGGTACCATGCCAATTTTGACAGTTCGTTCCGCTTCTCGGCGTAGATGCTTACACGCCCTCGTCTCTTTGGGCTCTTAGTGCGAGAATATGCGTCTTGGCGGCTCTTACGCGTACATAGTAAGTAATAGCGAGAAGAGTTTGCATGTATACCTCAAGAGGTAGCTTACAGCGCTACCATGTATCGCGCGGTGTTAGAGATCTACCTACCTACCTACCTATCCACCTCTGAGAGATAAATATTGATTGTATTAAATCGTAGACTTGATTTTACGGACAGGCTTGACATCATCCTCGATATAGCTTTGCCGTAGTCACAATTGCGCAAACGCGCACGCGCGCATGACACTTTCCGACGTATACGCACCTAGGTAGGCTCGTACCCTCGTACCCTCGAATGCTCGAGCTCTAGAGCTAAGCTACCCTATAAGGCTGGCGCCTACTGATACTATCCGCTCTCGTTGCTATTTTTGACCGCAATTCCGGCCCATCTCCATGTCTATCTCGGTATAGCGTAAATGCTTGGATATAAGCGCAGATATGTGCCCCCAAACCCCTCCCCCTGGAGCCTGGGATGTACCGTTATACCCATTAGCCGCCCTCCACACCAGGCCACTTTTCCGTAGCCGCCCAACTCCAGACAGACGCCATCCCGAAGCTCGCCAGCCAATATCAACGGCCTACAGACGGTCCATCCACTCTTTCAGATACACAACCCAGGTTTCATGGCTACGGCTTGCATTTCGGCCCCCCAAAGCTGACAACCGCTCCAGATCTGCCCTCCGTCGCCATGACAGCTCTGTTTCAGATCCGCCGTCCTGGGTCCCGCGTTGCAATAGCAAGGTCGAGGTTCTGTCTATCTAGCTATCTCTATCCGTTCCTCATCCGGCTGGACCCGGATCGTCCAAAGGTGGCAGCTACCCTTATAAGTAGAGGCGCCCATTTCGCGACCTGGTCTCGTCTATTATCTTCCCCTCCCGGACCCTCTCGCTACAGCATCAAACGGCCAATTTCTTTTCCGTCTTCTCTTAACTAAAGGCCGTCTCGTTTCGTTTCCTTGTTCTCTCTCTCTCTCTCTCTATTCTCTCGACAGCATCGTTCGTTTCATCATCATTCGTTTGATACGAGTCACCGACCTAGCTGCCTCAAATTCTTGCTTATTACCCTTCCCGGTAACCACCTCTCCTCCCGGCGAGGCTGAAACGTACAAAGAAGCTCTACCGAAAAGCTTCTCGAGCAGACTCGTGGAAGCAACGCGGATATTGCTAATTCTAATAATCCTGCCCGTCCGTTCAAAAAATTGATACCCCTTTGCTTTGCTCTGCTTTGCTTGGTAAATCTACTTTCTACATCTTGGTTTTTATATGTTCTTTTCCCGTCACGCCTACCGCCAATGAATATGCCGAAGCACACCCGCTCGTCCAGTTCGAGCCATAACCGGTACTCGAACCCCAACGCCATGCCCGTCTCCCTGGCCCCCTCGGCTCCCGTCCCGATCTACAGCACGCGACCGTCCCTACCGCTGAACACGGGAGGTTACTACCCTAATATCGCCTCGACGTCGGCCCAGCCTCCCATGCAGGCGCAGCCGTACGACCCCTACCCGGCGGACGTAGTCACGCAGGCCCCCATGCCCAACCGTCCGTCTTCCGGGGCGTGGACGGTCCAGGACGACCAGAACCTGCTGGCGGCGAGGCAGCAGGGCCTCAACTGGGCGCAGATCCAGAGCAGTTACTTCCCCAACAAGTCGCCCAACGCCTGCCGGAAGCGCCACGAGCGGCTGATGGAGCGGAAGGGCGCCGACGACTGGGATAACAGGAAGCTCGAACGCCTAGCCAAGGAGTACATGAGCATGCGCAAAGAGATCTGGCAGCCTCTCGCGGCACGAACGGGAGAGAAGTGGATAGTTGTTGAGGCCAAGGTTAGTTTTAGTCCCCCTCCCCCCCTTTTTTTCTTTTTTTTTCTTTTTTTCCTTCCTTTATTTCCTTCCTTTATTTCGTGGATTACGCCAAGTACACTCAGCTAACGAGGAGTCGCTGCTTGCTTTAGTGCATGAACAACGGCCTCAAAAACTTGCAGTCGGCAGCGCGGTCGGCAGCGCGACGGGAGCGGCTGGAATCAGGGCATCCAATGCACGGGTATGACGACGATAGCGGGATTTCAGGCATTGGTCTGACTCCAGTAGATGACCTCGACGCCTCGTATAGCAGCCCCGAGACGACGGCGTCCAGCTCGCACTCGGGCGGGAGCAACGCCGGCGGCGGTTACGGCGGCGCCATGCATCCTATGGCTCTGAGCAACAACCCGTACGGCAACAACTACACCACCAGCGCCGGTGGCCTCTCGTCTAGCTACGGCTCTTCCGTCTCGTCTTCGGCCGCCGCCGCTCATTACAGCACTGCCATGCACGGTTCTCACTCCCAAGGGGGCTCTCCTTATATGGGGGACGGGCAGAGGCTCCCCAGCGTCGACATGGGCATCGATGCCATTATTAATCGACCCGGTCACAACGGCGGCCATGCTCACGGCATGTGAGAAGAAAAAAAGACATAATTCGGCGTTAACAAGGTCATTATTCATAATTTCGTATTCAACCATCCCGCTCGTTATCCGTCCTTCCCCCCCCCTTCCTTTTTTTTTTTCTTTCACACCAACTCTTACTATTACGTCGTAATGATTTATCTATTTCAAAACTTACTTTCATTTTTTACATGCGGCGGTGTTGCCGCCTGGGCGTTCACGGCGTAAGCATTGCATGGCGAGTTTGGGAATATAAAGTGAGGGGGACAGACGGGACAGACGGGACAGACGGGAGAACTGTCGGCGAGCAGCTCGTCTTCGAGGGGCAAGATGCTGGGAAGATGCTGAGTGGTATCGAGTTACGGAGAGTACAGCAGATGAAGATTGGATTGCTAAAAGAACGAGTCTACACTCCTTTATAATTATTTGGGGAGAGGAAAGGGGGAAAAGGGGGGAAAGGGGGAGAGGGGGGATTTGGCCTATTATTGACTATACTAACCCTTCTATATTCACTGCGGATCAAAAAATTAGGGGACTGGGGTTGCTGGGCCCGGGGTATTTTCCTACCGGCTAATGACTGCATTTCTGCACCGGAAAACTTATGACTACCTACCAATATACTATACATTAGATCTTCATGCATAGATACCACAGGATTAGGGGTGAAGACGTATCGGTTGAGCTCATAAGGGGTTTCTAGCTATAGCCAAACACAGCATTTAATCACTAGGCCGTACAGCTATGCGGTGGTCATGATCGTGATGGCATATCCGTCATCTATGTTCGTTGGTCCCTGTAAGAGCAGGTAGGTATCTTGACTCTTGTACCGACCGCACGTATTCGTACAGTGCAACACGCCCCGGCCGAGTGTCGTTCTAAAACCTCCCATTATATACAATCGACAAGATATATGTTACATGCTAGACTTTTGGGTTCGATCTAGACCGTCTCGACTAGGTCTATAGGAGCACGACGGGAACACCGCATCACTTAGACCCAGCGGCCTCATCTTCTTGACCTACTTGATCTACAATCCAGTCCTCCTCCTCTTCTTCTTCCTCGTCCAAATCTGGCTCTCCAACGATACTTCTCCAGACCCGCCCCCACATCCCCTTCTTCTGAACCAGAGCCAGCACCATGATGGCCGGTAGGTGCCAGACGCTGGCCCAAAACAGACCCCGCGCGCTCCCCTTGAAGCCCTCGTGTTTCCAGAATCGCACCGCCTCTCGCGCCAGCCAGAGGTTGACGGGGAGGCTTGTCACCGCGAATGTCCATTCCGTTACTCCTACCGCGCAGAGGGCGACAGACAGAGGGATGAATAACAAGCTGTACCTTAGGGCTACGCGCCCGTTGCGGGCAGGGTTGATCCAGCACAGCATTTTGTGGCCGGCCGCTTTGTATTCCTCTCTTATAGGCCACGACAGGGCCATGAAGTGAGGAAACTGCCAGGCAACAAGGAGCGCGGCAAGCAGCCAGCCGCCTATCGCGTCGGTCGTAAAGAGGAGTTCGCGGAACGATCCGTCTCCCGTTGCCGATTCGCCAGCGGCCGCAGCCCAACCCATAAGCGGCGGTATTCCGCCGACGAGCGCCCCGACCCAGGTGTTGAGCCACGAGACGCGCTTCATCGGTGTGTAAACTCCGGCGTAGAGGGCGATATTGGCGGCGCCGAGGAAGGCGACGGTGGGATTTACGCCGAAGTAGAGACTGCCCACTCCGGCGACAGCAGCGACGACGGCGAAGACGAGAGCCCTGCGTTCGGATAGGAGGCCCCTCACGAGAGGTCTGTTCCGCGTGCGCGTCATCTTGGCATCCCAAGCCGGTTCGTAGAGCATATTAAGAGCGTTCGCGCTGGCGGAGCAGAGGGCGGTTCCGATGGTGAGAAAGGTCAGCGTCAAGGGCGAGAGGGAGGGAGTGTCTAGGCCGATGGACGGGGAGAGAAAGGCCGGTACGGGGTATAAGGCATACGGCGCCATCGCGGTGAGGACGACTAGGACGGTGAGGCGAGGCTTCGATAAGGAGAGGAGGAGGGATAGCTGTCGGCGGAAAGAATTGGCTGGATGTTTCGTAGAGGCCGTCGTGAGCGCGGATGAGGCATCTTGCGGGAGAGGAGCTTCGGCATCAGTCGGAAGGGTGGACTCGGGCGCATTAGCAGCGTGGCGCCTTGCTGCTTGACGTCGCCGATGGGGGAGAGGATGGTTTGCTTGATTCGTTTCCAGAGTCTTGCCGGCTTCGTCGGGAGCGGTCGGGGCCGTGGAGGACTGGGAGCTTGCACCATCGTGATGCGGAAGTAGAATTTTGTTAGACAAGAAGTATCCAGCCCTCAGTCGAGATTGCTGCTTCGGTGCTACGGGGGCGGTGTGGGACACGGCCCTGGTAAGAAGGGGGTTCGCATAGCTCAGTTGATAACTGCACCGCCAGCAGAGATCACCGAGAGTAGAAGGACGGAGTAGAAATCCGTAAGGCCGTAGGCGCATACTGACCGCAGCTCATGTCGCCAATGAGGTTTGACTAGGGGACAACGCTCATTAGTCTAGAACGTGGCAGAGCTCGGAAGCTGGGGAGGGGAAAGCTGGGGAGCTGAGCTGGAGCTGGAGCTTGGAGCTGAGGCTCAACACCGATTTGAGATGTGGGATCGGAGGGGCTGCAGATTGCGGGATGGAAATGATTTGATAAGTGATTTGATAAGTCGGGACACAAAGGGTATGAGAAAATCAGACCTCGGCCGATCCATTTTCCCGTTAGGCCGATTACCTACCTAGAGCCCTGAGGCATAAACTAGGTGAAGGCTTATCTTTTCGTTATCAATTGATGCATAAACTCGACAGAGGTATTAGCGGCCAGTTACAGGTAATAGGAGGTACCTAACATATCAATTGTACTGAATTTAATTGTACCTCACTGCTAGATTAGGTACCTGGGATATAGAATAAAATAAAAATAAAATATAAAAAATCCATCATCTCTGCTTCTCGCCTCCCGAAGTATTCCTGCTGCTATCTAAGCTCTGACGATTGGCAATCTTAGACACCACGGGCTCGTCCGTGGACACCAGCCTTTCGTCCGTCTCTTCTATCTCCTCTTGCAGAGCAAGATTGAGGATAATACAAACAAAGGCGGTGACGGCGAAACCTGTCTCCATAATTAACACGATAGCGTCTAGAAATCCCTGGAGCCCTCTGTTGTCGCCGCTATAGCTGAAGACGTTTCCAAAGTAGGTCGGGACCAAGGTCGCTGTTTCGTAGTTGTTAGTATACTCAGTAACAAGTTTATAAGACGTAAAATAATGATGGAAGCTTACCTCCATATCCGATCGACAGCCCGGCAGTCAATATGAATCGATTTCGACGTGTGAATGGGACGCCCCTTGATATGATCGCGATACCTGACACAGCCACAGAGCAGAACAGGAACGTAGTCATGCCGCCGAGAACGGCAGAAGGAATAGCAACAAGAGCGGCGGCAAATTTCGTAAATATGCCCATGATGATCAAGAAAAAACTATTCCAAGCCAAACAGTTAGTGCCAAAACTCCTTTTTTATAATAAATAAATAAATAAAAGAAAGGGGGGGAGGAAAAAAGGAAAAAAGGAAAAAAGGGGGAATGCGGATCAAGAAAACTTACCAGCAGCAGTATCCGGCAGTCCGGTTCGCGCAGCGTGTGAGAGCAATGACGCCGTTATTTTGAGCAAAAGTAGACATGGGCGTAATCGTCATAAGAGCAGCAAGGATGCCATTCAGGCCGTCGGCGAGCACGCCGCCTTGGATGCGAGATTCGTATATCCCTCCGTCTACTTCGAGGCGCGACACGTCGCATGTGGCCGTAATATCGCCGATAGACTCGCATGCGCAGATGATGAAAACAGCTATGACCGGGAGGACCAAGGGTCCGTAGACGGTAAGCTTGAACGTGTGAACCCAAACGAAAGAAGCGACAGGGGCGCCATCGATGCCCGAACGGTCAAAGTAACCCGTCGCGGCGGCGATGATGCAGCCGACGAGGAGACCAATTATAACGCTCGTGGATTTCATGATCGGGGCTCCAAATCGTTCGCAGAGGATAACCGTGAGGAAGACGGAGAAGCCAAGGCCTAGGACGAGATACGCGCGTTAATACCGGGATTTCTTCTTCGGGCTGATGGGTATCGTGACCTACCTAGATACTCCGGCGAGCCCCACGGCAAGGCGTGAGGTGCGCCTACATTCGGACAGACGTCGAAGTATGCAGCGTGCGTAGCATCGGCGCATGGTCCGCTGCCTCCGGCCCAGTTCTTAAAGCCCGTTTCGATGAGGCTGATGCCAATCAACTTTAGAGGGTTAGCAAAATGGTCAGTTGGTCAGTTAGTCAGTTCGGAAAGATTGAGAGACTTACCATCACCGTCGGGCCGGTAACGATAGGAGGGAAAATCTTCAACATGATCCTGGGAGGTATAAAGGCGATGAGCACTTCGACGAGCGCGCATACCGCTGCGGTGCCCAGAAGTGCGCCGTAAGCATCTGGGCAGGGCAGTTTCGTGCCGTCCGCGTCGGTTGGGCAAAAGCCGTTGGCGTACATCTGCGCGAAAGCTCCCTGGGCGACGGGGATGATGGAAAAGGAGATCCCGACGACGGAGATGAGCCCTGTCCCGATGTAATATCTATTGCGCCAGTAAGTCTCATGAGCTACCTAAAATGATCGTGGGGCAAGGAATTCTGTCGCGACGAAAAATGCAACGCAAGGGAAAAGCAGGGCTACCCACGGCGTCTTGTAGATATGAAATCTGGTAATCTGGACCATAGAGAGTATGCCGGAGACTATCAGAGCTGTCGAAACCAAGTATTGCTGCATATCGGGAGGGAAGTTAACGCCGGTCGACCCCGACATCAGGATAGGAGGCGTGATAACTCCGGCTAGCATCGCCAAAGCATGCTGGAGGCCGAGGAGGAGTGCCAAAACAACAGGCATCTTATCGTTCAGGCCGAAGAAGGGCGAGGCTTGTCGAGACCTCTTCATGAACGGTAAGTTCGGCCTGAGAAGGAAGCCATAATCGTAGTCACCTACAAGTCCTTGTTTCGTGAAGAGAGTCTTCTTGACACTACGTAGTCGGCTGCTCAGGGTCTTCCTTGGTTCGTGCTGCGGCACGATTTGGGACGGGCCTTGGTCCTCGTCCATCTTGTCCAAGAGAAAATTTGAGCCAAGGACGCAAGAAGCGAGAAAATTTCGTGGAGCGAAATTCGAGCAGCGCTATATAATTGAGGCCGTAGATAGAAACCGAAACAATGCCTACGTAGCTAGGAGGTAGGTAGTTAAGGTAGGCAAGCTTCGTTGAGATTCGGCTATCCGCAACGGTGTCACCGGTAGGACCGGAGCTTGTCGCAACGGATATTTATCAGTTTGGGGGGTACTACGTTCGGAGGCTCGGGCTCGCAGGCGTGACGATATTAGTTAGCGACGCAAAAACCTCACACGCACATATGAATAAATACAGGTTGAAAGCTCAGCAAGCATTCAGACAATTTCGCCAATCTTAGAACTTAAAAAGCTGCTGAGGAGTAGGGCTTTAATAGTAAATAGCAAGGATTGCCATGGAAGCGCCAAAATTTTCCTATTTTATCTCATTCGAGGACGCGCTGCGTATCTAGAGCCGAGTCTGATCTCATGATACGCTCTTCATAGCAAGGGAAGAAAAAAAACATCGTAGCGAGACGGTATCAGCGGGGCTGACCGATGTCATTATACACTTTTAAGGGTTTAAGGACCCGGTCTTATTGTTCATGCAACTTGCCTGGGTAGCTGAAAATCAGAGCTGAAACTTTCACGTTTGGCATCCTTCAGCGGGATTATCATTGTACAATACAAGGGAGGCGAGAATTTGTCAGAGATACCTGTCAGCACAACCTGATAGCCTATAGCTACCTAAGGTAGGTTAACTAGGTGGTCTAGGAGGTGGTCTAGGCGGTTAGATGCCAGGTAGATAGCTAGGTACCTGTGATCTTGGGCTTAGGATTGATACTTTCCCCTTATCATGTCTACATCCATGCTCACCTGCAGTCCTCCACAGGGTAAGGCAATAAAATCGAGTTACGATACCTACCGAGCTCTTCTTCCCATCTTTTATGTGCCTTTCATATTTCTTATATTATTAAGTATACATATAAATTGGTTAGTCGAGATCCGAATTAAAAGAGCTGAATCCATAGGAATCCGTACAAGAAAACTTTCGCTAAATAACATACCAGACAGCTACACGAAGCAAAATCCCGGACAAAACAGGCCGTTGACTGGTTATAGATAAGCAGACAACAAAGTGGAAAGCGCCTCGGCCGAGTCCCCGTCGCGTCGACCCCCTCCCCCGGTCTACGCTAGTTGACTTTGGCTCTACCGTAGTCGAGACCAGTAGGCGGTGGTGTTTGGTACATAGCTGAACAATCGATAAATCTCGCTTACATCATGTACCTGATAAGACGGATGATAACCTTGTACCTTTATTATTGACACAGAGCTCACAGGACGGGGCCTGTGGGAAGAGTCCGACAATAAGGCGGCTCTCTGATTTCAACTCCGCCGGGAAACTTTCCGAGATACGCGAGCTCATATTTTTCGGGTCATACCGCCTAGTTCCGGGGTCGTCGCTCTCCGCCGCTTTGCCGCCAAGTTTTGTTTGGTAAAGGGGGATGTAATGTACGTCCGTACTCGACAGCCAGCCCAGCCAGCCCAGCCAGCCACCTAGGAGTTCGAGGCATGGAAAATACTTAACGCATGCACCTCAAGTAGGTACTAGGTAGCAGCTAGTTATTACATGATACCTACTTCAAAGTCTTAACTATCTAGGTACATATGGACCTAGATACCTACCTACCTGGCAGCCTGGGTAACTATCGAACGCCATTTTCGATTAGTTTGATTATTTACGTCGATCTGAGACTTGAAAATTGTACATCAGCCTATATAAGGTGCCTAGACACGCCCAGATAGTAAGGATAGGATGTTAAATATGATCATTTTATTGACTTCACACCTCCAATTAAAAGCAACCTTTCCTTACTACATATCAGGTACCAGCCTTGGTAGGTAGGTAGGTAGGTAGGTAGGTAATCCGAGCCGTATGTTGTCCGAGGTGTAGATATTCCTGTCTATAGTGAAGCTGGGAGTAGCAGCGGTAAGCATAGTATGTCCTTGAAGGAACAGAAACAAAAATAAAAAATTAAATAAATAAATAAAGGGTGCTTGACTAAGGTAGATAGCTCATAGACACCACGTAGCACATCGTTAACCTCGGTTCCTGTCAAAGGTGTCACGTCGACAGCAGGTCAGTGAGACATGGCTGTCTACCTAGGTAGGTACCTAAGATAGTAAGATTCCCCAGCGATTTCTATCGGGAATACAATAAAATATAAGCGCGTGTCGAGTCTAGCAAAACGATATAGAAGTCACCCCGCCAGAATTATTTCCTCAGGGTTTTCACTTCTGCTTTGGCAGTCTAACCATCAAGCAAAATCAAGCCAAAGCCAGCCTCCAGGAACACTTAGGTAGGCTGTCTTTCATGGTGCTCAGCCTTCACCTTGAGCATACCTTGAGCATATCCCTCGCTTGCCCTTGTCCTTCCTCTGTGTCGTAGGCCGTTCGTCCAAAACATCGATGTAACCAAATCTCTGGAATGCTGCTTTTCCTATGCAATCAGCCGCGAGCCGTTTGCTTAATTTCGAACCTTGTCTCGCCTACGGTCGTTAGTTACCTATGTGGCGCGTGGCTTGGTATGTACGAAGGGACCGTATCAGCCTCCGAGTCATCTGTTGCTCACGGCGATCTGTGTTTTTTTCTAGTACAGCAGGAGGACGGCTCCGACGGAACTAACTATGAGTAATTATTTGGATGCCTCGGTCGGTGCTCGTAACATCATCTATATATCTATATATATAGCGAAGCTATAAAAAGTTGGGAATACCCGTCCTAAAAGCTTCAACTTGAACGTAACCTTGCCAGTGGTGGCATGCCTATCGCGAGAACGAGGGCCGCATCCTTATTCCGACCTGAACACGACTCCCTTGTTGCTCTGGGAAGGAATAGAAAAAAGAAAAGAAACGTCTCTGTCACTCAGCCCCTCGGAAATGCTATGTTGTCTAACGCAGGGGCCCGCTGCTAACTCTCGTCTATTAGAACTCGGAGGCGCCGCGGTTTGTTCACGGATGTTACGGTCCTTGCTCCAGTCTATTTGGTAGCCGAGCGTGGTGCACAAGAATCGATACGCTCGCGAACCACTCATGCTTAAATAGCGAGATACCTGTCCCTAGATTGTTCACCTGTCGCTAGATTGTTAGAGAAAACCACCTACCTACCTACCTACCTACCTACCCACCAGCACGCCAGCTTCTCTAGCTGTCTTCTCCTCGTCTTCCCTCGTCTTCTCCTTACACCATGCGTAACAACATGCCTTGCAGATTAGCCATCACGTCCATGTCTCTCGGACGCTGCTGCGCCGGCCATCCTCTCTCGCACAAGCTGGACATGGCCAGGCTGTACGGCTACCGAGGCGTCGAGCTCTTCCACGAGGACCTGCTCCATCTAGCCAAGCAGCTGCCCGGAGGCTCGATCGCCGACAAAGAACTCGAAGCGGCTCGGATCATCCGCAGGCTCTGCCACGAGAGGGGACTCGCGATAGTCTGCCTGCAGCCGTTCGCGCACTACGAAGGGCTGCTGGACCGCCGGGCGCACCTCGAGCGCCTAGAGCAGCTTACGTTCTGGTTTCAGCTGGCGAGGGTGCTCGGCACGGACATCGTGCAGGTCCCCTCCAGCTTCCTACCGCCGTCCGAACTCTCGGAAGATCAGCTCGTCGCGATCGCCGACCTCAGAAAGGTGGCTGACATGGGTCTTGCGCAGCAGCCGCCGATACGATTCGTGTACGAAGCGCTCTGCTGGGGCACACGCTGCGACCGGTGGGAGCAGAGCTGGGATATCGTACAGGCCGTGGATCGACCCAACTTTGGCCTCTGCCTCGACACGTTTAACATCGCCGGCCGCATCTACGCCGACCCTTCTTCGCCGACGGGCCGCACTCCGAACTGCGACCAGGCCGTGCGGGAGTCCATAGCGCGGCTCGTAACGACGGTGGACGTCAGCAAGGTATTCTACGTTCAGGTGGTCGATGCCGCGCGGCTTGCCGAGCCGTTAGTAGAGGGCCACGAATTCTACGACGCTGAGCAGCCTGCGCGGATGAGCTGGTCTCGGAATTGCAGGCTCTTCTACGGCGAAGAGGAGCGCGGGGCATATCTTCCCGTCGCCCAGATATCGCGGGCTATCTTCCAGGGCCTCGGGTTTGAAGGCTGGGTCAGCATGGAGCTCTTTAATCAGAGGATGTCGGATACGGACGAGGAGGTTCCTCAAGAGTTGGCGAGTCGAGGTGCTGCCGCTTGGATGAAGCTAGTTAAGGACATGAAGTTGAGGATTGATCTACCCGTTTCCGAACGGGTTGCTGCGTCGCTATGACCGAAGATTAGCGAGGTACCTTAGGTATATTCTAACTAAAGTCCCTACGGTAAGAAAACGATTGGTCACTATATAGGTAGGTAGGTTAGCTACATCATTTAGGAGGACCGCTTATAGACATCCCGGCTCGCGGAGTTATTCCGCACGCTTCGTTCTTTGTTCGAGTTCAATATATGTATAGACATTACGTGTAGGTACCTAAGCGTTTGCGCTATCTTATTACTACAAGTCCATATCCACCATATCGAAAAGGCGCGAAAATACATAAGCGACAAGCCGGGAGACCTACTCGGCTACCCGGGGCGGTTCCAACTTCGTCCCTTATAAAGTATTTTGGGTATCTCGGCAGAGAGAAGTCGGAACCGCGGCGAGGCGCATAATATCGCTTAATCCAAGCCCTTGAATCGCAAGACCCCGTGAGGCCCGTGAGGCCCAAGATCGGCATTCGCCTTTCCCTTTCGTTTCTTCTTTTTACCTCTCTTCCGCTCTTCGTCGCTGTCCGAGTCGCTATCATCTGAGTCTCCGCTCGCGTGACGTTTAGCACCGTTCCCAGCTGTCGTATTTCCGTTCATGTCCTCGTCGTCGTCTGATTCGTCCGAGTCGCTGTTCTCGTCGCTATCGTCGGCGTTTGCACCTAACGAAGGCGACTCCTGCCACACCTTAATCACCTGTCCTCCGCCACTAATCATGCGACCTTGACAATCAAACCCGAGGCCGACTACCGCCTCGATATCGTCGTGGCGTAGGTGATCTTCGACCTCTCTTTTTACTAGGTCGACAATGCGTAAGCTGCCGTCTCCCACACCCACGACTACTTTTTTTCCTCCCGCGATGTCCTCCGGAATCTGCACGATGCAGTCGAGACTTTCGCCGCCTCCCTTTGCGGGATCGACAACGATGCGGTCTTGCTGATCGTCCCAAGCCCCCTTGTCCCACAGAGTAAGGACGCCGGTGCCGGTTCCCACGGCGACGACGCCGTTCTGGCGATTTTTCTTAGGTCCTATTCCCGGTATGAAGGCTGTGCATAGGAGTTCGTCCTCCTGGTCGTCGCTGCGTACCAGGACGCCCCTTCGCAGGTCAGTAACAGCTAGCGTCGTCCCGCCCGTAGAAACCCATTGCTTGCTATAGCCGCTCGTGCTCTCGGCGGATGGGGGGAGCGCGGTGATGCTCGAAACGAAGTCGTCGTGCGGGAAATGCGTCTGTTGCGGCTTCGAAGCTGCGAGCGCGCCGTCTCTCAGATCGAGCAGGTGGAGGGCGCCCGAGTCGCACGCAAGTAGGAGAGTCTGCGGCGAGAGGACGTGTAGTAGAGAGGGCGAGTCCGGAACGGATTTCTTAGAGGGGATAGCGATCTTGGAGGCTACCTGGCCGGTTACGGGAGAGAAGTGCTTGAGGAGGTAATCGGTACCAGCCGAGTATAGAGCTGTGCGCCTGTCGTGTCAACTTGGTGTTATTAATCACAGCAACGGACCCGAGCAACTGACCTGAGCCGTCCTTGCTGAATGCCAAGGTGCGGCAGCTGCCCTTATGTCTCTTGGTTCTCCATATCGTGTCGATGGTGCCTTTGCCGTCCGACAGAACGCTCACGTCGGCGTCGGCATCGGAATCGTCCTCGGGCGATCGATCGTTGGAAGGTAGACGGAAGCATTGGACGTGTCCGGTAGAGAGGCCAACCCCTAGGAGAGGTTCCGTCGGGTGTAAGGCCTGGGAGAAGAGTTCGGCGCTTAGAGGTAGGGTGCAGAGATTTTCGAACATGATGGGCGGATTTCAATTGACATGGCAATTGGCATGATCCAAGAACGGGTTCAATTGTAGTTGAGCTTCATATTTTACGTTTCCTAAATTGACTGAAATTGCAAAGATCTTGGTGGAATAAGTCAAAGACTTGACGCGCAAGAATTAAACGTTGGATAGGCTGATCGGCCGATAGGTAGAAATTGATAATTGATAAGGACTTGAGGATTTACATAAGGTGCCAGGGTCAGCAGGGTGCGTGCTACCTCTTATGCGGCTAGCCGCTATGTACCCGGCATTAACCTAATGCAAGGGTATAACTCGAATACAGGTAGGGTACCAGGTAGGTTAGGTACCTGAACTAGGTATGTGAACCCGTGAGTATCATACCTTAGGTTACCTATTCCTAAATCCTACCTATAACTAGTATTCAATCTTACATCATAACCTTTTAGAATAGTTAGATGAATTAAATGGTACCTAGCTGCCTGCCTTTTTCAAAGAGGTGCTCATTATTTGAACCCCCTAAAAGAAGCCTACTTTGGTATACGATATGAGCGATTTCTCTTCGACGGTTTGGTGATTCTCAGTCAACTACCTACCTAACTTGGTAGGTACCTAGGTATCGACACCATAATCGTCTAATCGTCTTCACAATGTTCCAAACCTCTCTTACGTGCCTCCTATCGGTGGCCGCGCTGGCATCTGCGATGATGCCCATAAGAAACATCATGTACCTTACAGGGTAGGCTACAGGATACGCTTTTGTCCATCCTGCTCTGCTTCTAATGATAGTATCGTTAGACAACATCCCATTACGCCTGAGCTCCATCTCAGCTCTCCCATCACCCATGTAGCCATGGCTTTTATGAGTCCTGACCTCTTTAACTGGCCTCCCGGAAATTCTACCTGGCCTTTGTTTATGACCGTCGACGAAGCCCGCTCCAAATTCAACCCCGGAACCAAAGTAATCGTAGCCGTTGGGGGCTGGGGTGATTCGGCTGGCTTTGATATAGGCGCTCGTACAAAAGAGAGCCGCGAGAGGTTTGCTCAAAACGTAGCTGCTATGGTTCACGACACGGGTGCCGATGGTTAGTCCCTAAATCTTACTCGCCGTGATTTCGTTCTGCCCCGTCTTACTTGTAGGATATCTCTCTGGCTGACATGTAACATATTGCAGGTGTCGATATCGACTGGGAATATCCAGCGTACGTCTTTTTCCAATCTACCTAGGCAGTTTCTCTCAGGCTTTTATTTTTACCTTCGGTGTAGAGGCTAATGCCGATCCAAGGGGCAACGGCGAGGACTGGAAAAAGGTTCCCAATAAAGAAAGAGTCTGGCAGATTGCTGCTTACCCCGAGCTCCTCGCCGAGATACGCAAAGCCCTGGGCCCTCGAAAAATTATTTCGGCGGCCGTGCCGGGTCTTCAGAGAGACATGCTCGCCTTCACGGCCGAGACCGTTCCCCGTATCATGGAATCCCTCGACTTCTTGAACGTCATGACTTACGATTTGATGAACCGCCGCGACAACGTGACCAAGCACCACACCGGCGTTCGAGCAAGCCTAGACTCGGTCCACGCGTACCTGGATAGGGGTGCGACGCGCGATAAGATTAATCTCGGCTTTGCGTTTTACGCCAAATATTTCCGCACCGAGCTCGCGCTGTGTGTAGAGGACCCTATCGGCTGTCCCACGGGTTTGATGGAGGATCCGGAGACCGGCGCTGATCTCGGCCGAGGCGGAGCCTTTTCGTGGCGGGATGAAGTCCCTCGAGACGTCGAGTCGTCGTTAAACAAAGCCGTGACGAAGGGGAGTTACGACGAAGTTGGGGGTGGTTACTATTACTGGGACCAAGACGAGGCTATCTGGTGGACGTTTGACACTCCCATGGCGGTCGCCGAGAAGTTTCCTCGGATCGTGGAGAAGGAAAAGCTAGGGGGAGTTTTCGCGTGGGGATTGGGCGAAGATGCCCCTGAATGGGCTCATCTCAAGGCGCTCAACGGCGGAGTAAGGAGGCTATCTATCAGAAAAGAGGAGCTATAGATATGTACATACCTATTACCTGTTACCTTACTTTAAACCCCCCAAATAAGCACTCCGGTGGTGCTAAAAGTGTGTAACTCTCCCGTTTAGCCTGCATTTCTATAGCAGAGGCTGTGTCCAACTATTGTTACCTGCCTACCTCTACCTACCTACCTAGCTAGCTAGCTAGCTAGGTAGATACGAAATATACGCTCGCGTTGAGGACACGCAATGCAATATCTCAGGTCCCTTACCTCTAAGAGGTGTCTTTGTGCTTTACGATGCTCTTCATTAGGTTAACTGTCTACCTACCTAGGTTCTTAAGCTAGCTGTCGCCATCGCACGGACTAGACGTCTGGGTAAATTGGCCAGCTACATCATTTGGACACCGTCGAGAGCACCTTGTTCCCAGGTCCCGTTAGAAGGTCAAAAAAGCCCGAAGCAGTTGGCATAGTAAGTGACCGTAGCGGACCAATCTGAAAAGATGCCCTGGACGCCGACTTGCTGCGCCAAAACGTCCACAAGTCTATACATGTCTCCATCCTTGTGCGTGCCGTTAGCGATGGTCGAATAGTACATATCGCCGTTGGCTGCGGCCTGAGCGAGCGGGCCCGACCGTTCGAGAGACCACGTGAGAATTTTAAGCCCAAGCTTACGCGCTGTCGTCGCATACGTAGACGGCACGTACTCTCCGTCTTCACCGAGCGCAACGAGGAACGAAAGCGGAGGCGCCACGACTTGTACTCCGGCGTCTTTGTAGAACGATAGGTTAGCTACGGCGGCTGGGAAAGCTCCCGACAGATCGCCGTTCTGGTCGAGCAGCACCGCCTGCCTACCAAACGCCGGGTCGGCGCGGAGCCAGTAAGCGACGTCGGCGAAAGAGAAGCTCTGCAGCCACACGCGGGACGGGTCGATTCCCGCCGCTCTGTATTCCTCGACCACCTGCTGCGCGTACTTCTCTTGTGTGTAATCCCCGTTGAAAGGCATCGGCACGCGGGGCGCCTTGAGCTCGGTGGTGAAGTCCCGGTCGTGCGAATCGACCAGCTGCAGGAATTCCTTGTGCGAGAGGACCGTGCCGCAAGTAGCGTAGAGGTCGGTCCGCCACGAGGGCGTTCCGCGCAAAAAGTCCTCCGGGGTGGAAGCCGAGACGTTGAAGCCGTCCATCTTGCCGCACAGGGACTTGAACTCGGCCAGCGTGATGTCGCTGGTACAACACGTGGCGGTTGCCGGGGCGCCGTCCTTCGCGGGTGTAAATGGCACCGTGCACTTGGAACCTAGCTCCGTCGCGACGATGTTAGTCGTCGTATGGAGATCGCATTGGTCGTGCCGGCACACGAGCTCGCGGTCTTTAGTAAAAGCGACGTCACACTCGAGAATCCCAGCGCCCACTTGAACAGCAAGAGTTAGTACTCGTCATTTAGGATGGAGGTATATAGGAGGTATATAGGAGGTATGTAGGAGGCATGTAGGAGGGTAATACTGCGTGTGCCAGCCTCGATAGACTCTCGGGTCTCTTCGGGAAATTGAAGACAAGCGCCGCCGCGGTGGCCGATGCTGAACTTGGACGGCCGCGCCACCACGTCAGAACATAGCGATAGCCGGTCCTTCAGCCAGCCTTCGTCCATATCTGCTATAAGGTATTGCGGGCGCGGCCCGAGCTCGGCATTCTGGAAACGATGCTGTGTCGGAGGCTTCCACGATCTTGGCTTCCACCACTCGGGCGCCTTGGGTAGGGCGGACACCCCGGACACCTCGCTTGCGATGAAGATCGCCGCCGCGATTGAGGATGTCTCGAGATGCATAGTGGGCGGTTAATACAAGCTTGCGGCGCACCAAGAGGGAGGAACAACGAGAAGAGGTCCCGGCCTGTAGAATTGACAAAGGACAACTATCGAGACATCAACAAAGGCGATAAGTCAGGGCGACAAGTCAAGGACAGGACTATTTATCAGTTTATCGACATGGCAAGCTTGATGCTTGGCCGACAGGCCATTATCCAATAGAAATTGGGATCTGCTTCGCATGTAGGGCTTGCCGAGTGTCTGAGCGTAGAGATAACACCGCGAGATATAATGCTATTGAAAATGGCATGGTTAGACAGTTCCCCAATGCAGTACTGCCCCCGAAAAAGGCCTGCATGCATAGTCCCCTTATGGCATTAGGCCCTTGCCTTAAACCTGCAGAGAACTGCGAATTCGAAGACGAGACCATCCACATGAAGCTCGGTATGGAAGCACGTGGGATTCCGGGGTGGCCTCTAGCCGGGAGCCCGATTTTCTCAGGGGTCGTGCTACGACGCCTCACGATGATTCGCTAACAGGTAGTACGGTTTGTAAAATCGCACATGCAGCTTACATGCTTTGATTCTGTCCCTATACATGATGGGCGCGATCAACTCTTCGAGAAGCCTGCCTACCTAAGGTAAAAAGCCAGGCTTCATGTGGGTTTTTATATATACCTAGGTAGGTAGGTAGGTATCCAACCCGGCCTACATAGTACATGAGCATCGTGAGCATCTTGACCATTCAGGTACAAACTTGATCATGAGCACGAGAGCAGGTTACAACCTTGACGGGCCAATCAAATCGACCGCGCGTCAAGCAGATTTCTAAATACGTCACCATAGGTCAGGCCTTGAAAACAGCCCTATGACGCAAGACAAACACCATTAACCTAACCGGCTACCTTTGTCCATTGATACATCGGATAACAATGCCGAATCAACACGACCCATGCTAGAGTCCATGTAGATACGGATCAAGCATAGTCAAGCCCAAAGTCCACGTCTCATTCGTGGCTTGGGGGGCAAATACGGTCGGTCCAAGTCAACGTCACGTCATCAGCTCGAGCGTTAGGACTCGAGATCCATGCCCCTCACATATCGTCACTTACATGATGTACCTTATAGACTAGCAGATTGCCTGCCTGGCAAGCTTGGATGCGCCTCAGCCAGCTTTTCCCGCGTCATGCCACGCCATGCCACATGTAAGTCCCTCTGCAAGCTAGATTCCAAGGCCGTGAATGGCCATGATGCCGCGTCGACAAGAGACATATGGTTTAGTGCCTAACCTAGGTAACCTTCAATACATATTATCTGGGCTTTCTCTTTGATAGCTGTTTTTTTTCTCCTCTCAAATATACCTAAACCCAACTTTACCTGGCCTCGTCTCTTCATACTCTTATAATCTGCGTACGCATATCGAAAAGAACGTATTTATCATAGCTTTATACCTCGTATACCTGAATAAACGTTAGGATCACCTACCACGATCTCCAGCAGCCCAATAATACATCCTAATGGCTTACGGGTTTATTCCTATCGTCCACATCGTGGCCGCCATCTTCGCCATCATCGAGCTCGGCTTGACAGCATATTGTATGTTACCTACAGCTAAATAGCCCGAGACCAGACGTGACACCATAACAAAGCTGCTAACTTCCTTTGTCTGCTACGTAGTGGCTAGTGGGTACGATAGCTGGTTCGGCTTCGGCGGTTACTCGCCCTCGCGGGTAAACTTCATGATCTTCAACTCGGTATGGTCGCTGCTGGTCCTGCTGTACGTGGGTGTAACGCCGCTGTACCTCACCAGCGTCTTCCACCGCCTGGCAGCCCTCGCCCTGAACGCCGTCACCACCATCTTCTGGTTTGCCGGTGCCATCGCGCTCGCCGTCTTCGTCGGTGGACCTTATAGCTGCGGGGCTGACACGTTTTGTGGTTCCGCCGAGGCTGCTGTCGCCTTTGGCTTTTTTCTTTGGTATGTTTTTTATTTTTTATTTTTTATTTTATTTTCTATATGTATAATTCCTTGCCATTGTCCCTTGACCATATAAGAGCATATTTTAGTATGGAAATGGCGGAAGAGAAATGGCTAATCTACCTCAGGGCTCTCTTCACGTTTCTCACCGTCATCGACGCTATTGACTCCTTGCGGAGTCGCGGTCACAACGTCAGCAAGCCACACGCACATCCTGGTGCGTAAGCGCGTAGTGTAGGCTGCTACGTAACTTCGATTTCGCTCGGTGGTTCTACACGAATTGTCTGTCGTGTTCAGTAAACTGCTGCTGCCTTGCCCGCCTTGCGCGTTTGAAGCTGAGATGCGAACTAGGCCGTTTTAGAGGTGTTACTTGAGGCGTGAGGGAGGCGTCGAAGAAACGACGATAATATACCCGGTTTTGATATATTTATGGCAGACAGACAGACAGGCAGGCAGACAGACAGGCAGGCAGACAGACAGACAGGCAGACAGGTAGCCACCTCACAAAATGTAGTCTTAATTACCCATCTACTAGTAATACGCATGATTTCATCAAGAACGGACTGTATACGGTGAATCCCCATTAATATTATCCTTTAGCTATTAAGTCAGTCTAATGTCAGTCAAGTCGTATCACCGATGAACCCCTATCGTCTCTAAACCCACGTTAAACCACGCCAGTTCGTGAAACTTGAACACCAAAGCCGCCACGCCATCCATTAATACATAGCAGGTAGGTGTCGAATGCCGTGCCCACCTCTTCCTATCGTAGGGCCGGTTCCTATCTATTCGGCATTCCTGCTCTTTCCACCATCTTTCAGGGGAGCGCAGTCGATATCTACGCGATGCCAGGCTGTGGCCAAGTTCCCCCTTAAATTGTATATGCTCTTATGGGTCTCGGGTTGGGTGTTGTAGGCGTCGTCCGTGGCTTTGACAACGACGGTAGCCTTGGAGCCGTCCCTGGAGCCTTTCGCGACTTCGGACATGGCGGTTTCGTAGCGCCACCTCTTCCAACACCAGGCTTTACTTCCTCTCTCGAGCTTGGTGTCATCTACGAGTTGGGCTTGGTCCCATGTCTCCCCGCCGTCGAAGCTTATATCGACACGCTGGATCTCTCGCCCGCCACCCGAGTAGGCGTATCCTTCAAATTGGACAACCGAGCTCTCGGCCGAGGCGCCCGTATCTTCGCCGGGCGCCTTCTCTGCAGGCTTCAACTTGGTACGTGTGATGGCGCTCGTAACGGGCATGACCTGGATAGCCTTGTACTTGTCCCAATCCTGCTTGACTTCGTTGGGTCCGAAGCACTTGTAATCCCGGCGCTGCCACGTCGTATTGCTTTCTTCGTCGCTGACCACAATTTTGTTCACCCACTTGACGCATCTTGCTGCTACGTGACCGGGAACGATTACTCTGACCGGAAAGCCGTGATCCCGCGGAAGCGGGGCGTCGTTCATCTTGAACGCGAGGAGCACGTCTCCCATGGGATCCAGCACGGGTGCGATGGGAATGCTGGCGCCATAGGCCTCTAGCCCCGAGAATTGGACGTGCTGAGCATCTTCTCCGGGTTCTTCAAGCGGCAGGCCAGCGTCGGCGAGGACGTCTCGTAATCGTACACCTTCCCATTTCGCGCAGCTGATAGCGCCGACCGTCCATTGCAAACCGTTCGTCTTGGTTGCGTAACGGGTCATATCGCTGCGCCGGTTGCCAGAGCATTGCAGAACAGCGGTGACGGCGTGCTGCTTGAAACGGGTCTTCAAGTCTTTGATGCTATAAGTTTTGCTGTCGCCGTCGGGAAGCTCGACGGTGATGGTATAATCTTCAACCTCGGCCTCGTCCACGAGAGGAACCCACATATGATTACGGACGTAGAAGATGTCATTTGGCGTGAGAAAAGATTCGGCAAGTTCCTCCGCAGGCGTCTCGGCATTACATGGCTTCCGCGTCAGCTGTATTAGCCTCGCGTCCCTAGCCGGGTCGGTTATAAAGGGATCTTCGATGTGGTCCTGCAGCGGTCTTCCATTATCGAGGTCGTCCGGGTGTACCTTTCCGATGACGTACTGATCGAGAATTTCGCGGACGTAGGGCGACTTGTGAATAGAAAAGATATCCCAATACGGTTCGATACTTCCACCGGCAGCGCGGAGAATCACCTCGCCACCGGGGTGAGCGGGGACCCAGTCTGTTATGTCGTATATCTTATCCTCGTATATCACCCAAGGCCTTTCGGATTTTGGCCCGTGCTCTTTAACTTCCGAAAGTCGATAGCGCGGAAACCCGTCGTCGTCGTTATTACTAGAAGTCGAATCAGGCGGTGGTTTTTTGTCTCGAGGAACTTCGAGAGGCTCATGGGAGACAGGTTGAAAGATGGAGAAGAGTGCGGTGAGGAGTCCACCACCTGCAGCAAGGACGGGGAGGGGACGCAGACGGCGAGGATTCGGGGGGGATTTCGGAGGGGATTTCGGAGCGGCCTTGGGCGACGCAGTTCGAAAGGCGGGCTGGGAGTGAAAGTATCTAGCGTGAGAATATCTATCGTGAGAATATCTAGTGTGGGAATATCTAGCGTGGGAATCGGCGGGCTGTCGAATCTCGCATTTTTGAAGATATCCAAAGTTTGGGCGACATCGTCTCGTCGCCCTTAACAACTCCAAGCCTAGCTGCCGCGAAGTTGGTATCGACATGGCTTTTTAATTGGATGCCTTGTCGAATCTTACCCAGGGCTAAAGTAGAATCTAGACGATCGAGTGCCGTGTCCATAACAAGCGATTAAGTACCTATGGAGAGGTAATTCCTCGACTCGTTGGTCCGTTGAGGCAACGAAGCGCGGAACCTCTCCACACGGGCAAAGTTGAAATCTTGTGCTTCAACTAGGAAAGCTAGCTCGGATATGCCAAGGCAAGAGATGGCAAAAATAGCAAAAGAAAACTGCAGAGAAATGTAAGAAGAAAACAACGAAGCGTGACAGAAATTCTATCACTAGGAAAGCGACGGTGACTTGAGAAAAGTGATATATATATAAGGTAGGTATATATATAAAGAAAGGCCCGGGAATCGATGAACCTTTCGGCTGCCGGGTGCCGTCAAACCGTGATCTTTAGGTACCTATGCAAGCCGCTGACCAGACGAAAAAAAAGGAGAAAAAGAGAAGAAGTCGATGGTGGATTAAGAAAAAGAGATACACATCGATAGACGATGAGTTGTAAACATTACGAACCGGCGAGAAAGAGAGGACGGACTGTTGGGCAATACAGCCAGTTAGAGACGAAATCTGCTAAATCCAATCAAGTCCGATTTCGCTGCATTTCCGAAAGACGATTCACGTCTGTATATGTTTGTTGACACAGGTAAACGCCTACTTCAGCTCTTTTTCTCTCTCTCTCTTCACTTACTTTTGTACTTACCCATGATGCTATTTTACAAGCAAGGAGGGACGCACGTAGGTGACAATTGAAAGGATGGGATGGTTAGAGAATGCGGCTTTCAGGGCTGGATGACACAAGGACAAGATTCGGAGAAGCTTATTCACCGCTAGAAAAACCCCTGTAAGCCCTTGCATTTGTCCATTTACAGGCGAGTTCAGCTAGGTAGCGGGCTGAGCCGGGGACCTTGCTACATACAGGTAGATGGAGGTAGTCAGCCCTAATTGGTCGGGTCGTACCCTGCTGACCGTTAGTACCTCACACACCTACGGGGCCTCCTATGTGATACCTATGCAGTAGGTACCTATGCCGTTAGAAGGAAGCCGGACGGAAGATGGATACAGTAAGGGTGAGTCCCGAGTCCCGAGTCCCGAGCCGGTTTATAGCAGCACCCTACCTACCTCCTACCTGGATTCATATCACCAGTCCGCCAGTATGCAGTTCTTTAAGCGCCAAGGAACCATTACAAGATACCTAGCTTACCTATATAGTACCTATCCCGAGCTGCCAAGATTTCGAGGTTTGTTTCAATTAGGTACTTACGATATCTATCGGAGGCAAATCGTCCGAGAACCATCAGGGCCCTAGATGAAGTGGGTATTATTGAGCGGCTTAATATCAGCAGATAAACTGCGTTGCATTTACCAAGATGCCCGTGGGAACCATTAATCCGCGAAGGGGAAATCAGGCAGAACGGCGTCAAAAAAGATGCCCCACCCCAAACCCAAACGTATTACAACTTCAATTAAATGTAAAAAAGTCAATTCTAGGTCAATTTAATATCAAAAACTATTAGAAGATAGCTTTAGTATTATTCTGCAGGTTTACAATATATGAAACTAATATGTTATGTTGCTAAAGCGTTATTAACAATGAAAATAAGAGTATATTTTAAACTATTAAGTACTGGCTAGGGGGGGCATCTTTTTTGACGCGATTCTGTCAGGGAATAAGATGGTGCTATAGTAGAGCGAGATATTCGTGGAGCTCGGCAGGGGAAGAAGGGCTCATTATATAGATGTGATGTAAACACATAAACTGCCAGTTTGTTGGCGTAGATCGTTCCAAACCTGTCTTGAACTAGATATAATCAGCGCTACAATACCATCACCAGCCATGCGTTTCTCTATTCTTGCCGTGACCTTGACCTACGCCTCCGCGGCGTCGGCAGCGATAACATGGACGTTGCAGAAAGCCTCCAACCCAACGGCCGACCAATCCGAGGCGTACTCCCGCATCGAAGCAGCCATGAAGCTTGCCGTCGCGCGATACTCCCGCTTCTCCAGCGCCACCAAGACGATCCGAGTTTACTACTCTCCCGGCGTTCCCACCGCGGAAGCCAACTACAACGGGGACCTGCGATTCGGCTCGGACCGGTCCTACATGACCGAGCGCACGGCGATGCACGAGATAGCCCACACGCTCGGCGTCGGGCAGACCGCTGCCTTCGACCAGCACTGCGCGGCGAACAACTGGCCTAAAGCCACGCCTCTGCTTCGGTCGTGGGATGGCCCTAATGCCAAGATAAACTGCGGCGGCGGCCACTTCTGGCCTTACGGTCTGAACTACGAGAGCGAGTGGAGTGAGACGAACGGGGACCGCCATGTTCAACTGGTTAATGCCATGTTGGCTGATGGAATGTAAAGGGGGCTGGGGTTTTGATCATTGATGGCGTGTATAAATACAACGTTCAAAACTACCTACCTACCTGACCTACTAGGTACTTAGTAGGTAGGTACTCTTCTGGAATCGACAGTGATAAAGAGTATTTCCATGGAGCAATAGATATGTATTTAGAAAAGGGGGCGAAATTTACCAGAGAAAAGCGATATTCTTGGGCTTAAAACACCCGCTAATTATTATTGTGCGAGACTGGATCGTCTATGTTACAGCTAAGATACAGGTTCACACGGCTAGGCTATCTAGGTGCTACATCTAGTCGTCGTCTTCCTTGTCGGTATAGTACTCAAAATCCTGAGGGACCGGCGCCTCCTCGTCTCCTTCGCCATCCTCGTCGATCGTGGTCAAAACACCGGCGGCGGCAGCGGCGCCGCTCTCGTTCCTACTCGGAGTAGCGAGCTGGTCTCGTCCGAGCCGGCTGAGGAGCGCTTCTTCGACGGATCGTGGATTGCGCGAACCACCGGTCCCGGCGACGGGAGCTTTCTCTGTTGCGACCTTCTTGAGCTTTTCTTCGATGAGCGCCTTTTCCTTGTCGGGCTGCGTATCGTGTAGCAGTATAGGACCGCCGGTAGGCTATATTCGTAGTTAGCATAACCAAGTAATCAAAATTTACCGGGTCGCCTTACCAATGGGCCAGGTCTCACCAATTTGACGGGCCAGTAGCGGCCCTTGGCGAGGCTGATGTACTTGAGCTGCGCGGGTAGAACTCGGCTCATGTTCTCGATATCATAACCCGGCTTCTCCTTTTCCGACTTCTTCTTGACATCGGCGGGAGGCGTGGATTCTTCCTTGTCTGTCAGCGCGGGGGTCTCGCCCTCTTTCTTTTCCTTCGCATCTTCGCTAGGTTTGGTCTTCGTGTCAACCTCCATCTTGTCGCCGCCGGCGCTAGGCTTAGAAGTGGTCGGCGTAGCGGTGGAATCGATATCCATGCTCTCCCGTCGCTGGGCCTTTTCCTTCTTCTGAGCTCGGCGTTTGGCTTGGGCGGTCGTAGAGAGGATCGCCGTGGCGATCAAGGCCGGCCCCTCTTCCGCCTTGACCTCCTGCTCCGGGGGATAGTCGAACAGGCTGGGTTTGGTAGCGCAGTGGAACTTGACGTCGATGATATCCAGCTCGTGGTCGAGGGCGATGATGGAGGTCGGGCTGAAGGCCAGGGACAGGAAGTGGGTGAAGGGGAACCAATACCAGTACTGGGTGAATACGGCCATGCCGACGATGCCGGCCATGTTCAGATTGCCTGTTTGGGTCTGGAGGCCGATGGTGCAATTACGCCCGCCTGCGTCGATGATACCTAGAGCTACGGCGGCGCCAAATTTGGTCATGGCATCCTCGTGACGGTCGCCGACGACCTTCTTTAGCGTCTTGCGGATAGAGGCGACCTTGGGGTTCATCACTTCGTTCTGCTGGATCATGATCATGGCTAACGCGATCAGGGCGCCTTGCCTGACGAAGTCGGTAGGATCCTTCATCATAGGCTCCAAAAGGTCGATAGCCTCGTCTAGGCCGGTTCCCGCGCACGAGATGCCGAGGGCCATGGCGGAGCCGTAACGTACGTGAGGATTGTACGATTCGGAGAGCAGTTCGACCATGCGAGGCACGCTTCCAGGCTTGCGGAACAGGATGAAACCTAAACTCATAACCGCGATCCGTCGGACGTCGTCGTTCACATCGCTGACGGCGACGTGCAGCAGCTTTCGAATCGCCTTGTTGCTGCCGGTGCCGCAGTAAGCCATCGCCACGGTCATGATGCCGCCGTATCGCAAGGACGGGTCCGGATCCATCAGGAGGCCTTCGATCATAACGTCCGCGCCCTCCTGCTGACCATACATGATCAAAGCCATACCCAAGGCCAAACCTCGCACGCTCTTCTCGTGGGACGTCTCGTGCGCGTAGGCCACCATATCTTCCAGAGCCTTTACGTTTCCTGTGCCTAGCATGATTAGACCCATCGCGAGACCGACGGCCTCGCCGTTGAGAGCGGAGTCGGCGTATAGGACAGCCTTGAGGTTCTCGAATATCTCCTCGTTTCCGCTGGCCATGCCGGCTAGACCAAGACCCAAGGCGCCGCCGTGCTGGATGACCTCTTCCTCGGCAGCGGTAAACTGGGTCTTGAGGTAGTCCAGGGCGTCGGCGCCGTGATTCGCGTGGATGAGGCCATACGCGTAAAGGGCGCCGCCTTGAGAGTAGGGAGAGCCGCCGCTAATTCCACCGGCGCCCCGGGGCAGGTAAGGCTCCAGGAGCTTCCTAGATTGCGAGAGATTTCCGCGGTGGATTACACCTAGAGCCGCGGTGGCGGTAAATTTGGACCAGTTCACGGCCTTCCCCAGCCAGTCCAGATTGTCCCTGAAGAATTTGTCGTTGGTGGTACCTTGGTTCATGAAGGCGTTGCAAAATGTGACGGCGGTGTGGAAGATGGAGTGTCGGCCCTCTAGGCTATCCCGAACCTTGTTGAGAATGCTGAGGTCGGTACGGTTGTTGCGGTAGAGGAACTCGAGGTTGAGCTTGATGGTTTTGGTGCCGTCGAGGATGGAGCGGATATTTCCGTAGATTGCGGCTTTCTTCTCGTCCACTTCTCCTCCGGATTCCACGTCGCTAAGTAACGGCTGCCTCTCGGATTCGCCCGCAAGCTCGCCCTCCTTCTTCTCGGCGGACGGGTCGCCCTTGGGCAAGCCTGAGATGACCTTGCCAAGAAACTCCTGCGTTCCGTTGTCGTAGAGGTCGAAGGCGAATTGGTAAGCTATGGCAGTAGCCTCGACGGTCTCGGCTTTGACGAGATGCTCTATGACGGTACGGGCCTGCTCGTCCTTGTTTAGATAGACGATGCACTTGGCGATGGAGAAATAGTCGGGATCCTTGGCCCGGCCGCTGGTGAGGATGTCGAGAATAAGCTGCAAGATGTCGTCTCGGAAAGCCCGCTCTTGCACGACGTCCATGCATATGTTTAGGCAGTAGTCGAGTAACTCCTCGGCCGGACCCATGGTGTCTTCCTGCGTAGATTTTCCCTTGTTGTGCTTGTAGTCTTTGTCCGCGCGCTGGATAACCTTGCTGACAACATCGAGCCGCTTCGCTTCGACAGCGATGCCTACGACTTGCTGGTAGCGTTTCTCTCTCAGGCAGCTCTCAAATAGCCGCTCTATGACGCTGTCGATGGCGCGTCGGGTGTCGAGTTCGTTGTGAGTTAGGGCGATGGAGGAGGATCGGTGCTGCTTCTTCTGGGGTTCGAAAGAAGGCTCGAGGATTGTATTATCGGTGGACGCGCGAGACAGGAGAGACTTGGACGGCAAGGTGGACTGGGAGAACGGAGTGGTGGGGGAGATAAGAGCGGAGGCGTTTCCGTCGGCGGCGGTGCTCGAGAAAGCCGTAGCGAGGGAAGGTAAGGAGGCGTCCCCGTCCTTTTTGCTAACGACGGTGTGGTTCTCGTTCTTGGCAGCGATGTAGTGGTCGACGCACTTGGAAATGATGGTCTCCTCAAACTCCCCGGGGTTGTCGAGCTTGAACAGCTCGCCCGCGGCCAGGGCGAAGAACATGCTCTCATCGTAAGCTTGAAGGTGGTAGTAAACCTTGGCGAGAACGAGGGCGGCCAGCTTGCGTTCGGGAAAGGATTCATCTTCGTAGAGAGCCTCGCTGGAAACTCGGCTGGTTAATATCTAATTACCTGAAGATAAGTATTTGAATAATATAAAAGTTTTTGCTTACATCTGGCCTAGAGCGTTGGCGACCTCGAACCAAACAGTATCGATATCGTCGTTGAGGGTCTGCAGAGCAAACACCTTGAGCTCGGGTTCTTCATCGGCTAGGAAGGCTAGCACGCCAGTGGCAGTAACCAGACCAGGCATCTTGAAGTCGGGTTCGTATAAAGGACGATGGGGAGTTTACCCAACGACTTGTTTCGGGCCGTGGAGAGGGAGAGAAGGGAAGAGAATATAGATGAACCGAACCGAGTCGATTACAGGATTGCGGCGACAGGTTACGTATGCCGTGCTGTGTAATGCGACTTGCGTAATGCTGTATCTTGTTTTTATATGGCGTATTTTTATTTATTTCTTTTTTTACTTTAAAAAGGCTTGACGTCGCCTGTTGGTGGGCAACTCAACTTATTTCAACAGAATCAGAATGCGAAGCTTGGATTTGGTTGAAGCAACAGCCGAATATGTAAACCTTACAAACTTGGCGGGCCGGCTAAGCTGTTAAGTCCACGTCAGGCACAGCTCTGCCTGCCAGCCTGCCTTGGCAATATGTATTACCTAAAGTGTACAATACCTACACCAGCCTCCCAATACACCAGCTTCCCAAGGAGGCTGAAAGTGGCTTTATAAGTTCCAAGGTTGTACTCGACCTGGCAGCCTGGTTCACCTAAAGTATTTCGAGTCGGACTTCTTTAGGAGCTTGTATGTCCTTTGATGCGGATCATTCCTCGAGACTCACGAATTCGACGCCTTCTTTCTCATTTCGTTGTCCTTTAGGCGTTTATCTTATTGTTTAATTAATCAAACTACAAACTACATTATAGAAGCTACATACATGTACGCATGTACGCGGCATACCTAGGTACCTGTAGCTCCCGCTACCTAACCTACTACTTCAATCTTGAATCACCCTGGCATCCCAGTACTTATACTTTAACTTACGCAATCTCCAACGTAGCGTTATAGGTACCTATACTTTTACTACCTAGCACGTAAGGCAAGGATAGGAGAGTTTAAGAGAAAAAAAAAAATTATATATAGGTATATATCAAAGCTGTTGTACTGATTAATGGATTCATCATGTGTGTCACGCACTTCTTTCGCATTCATCCCTGGGTTAATCTTTGTTATAATTCGACCCAAGTCTTGTACAACTAGGAATAAAAACTAGGAATAATAGTCATCAGCCAATTCTGTCGCCCGTCGCGGATTATTGCGCATAATTTTCATAATATCTATTTACACCCTCGAGAGCAACGTAGAGCAATTGCTACAGTTTTGCTACAGTTTTGCTTCAGCTTTTCGGAGAGAAGATCCGATTCGACGGCGGAAATATAAAAATTGATACTTTTCGCGATATTGGCTCCAAACGCGCGGACGTCCAACTCAACCCGACGGGCAGACCGTTTGCACCATACACCGACTTGTTCCATACCCTGATACGATATAATCTAGGCTTTTATCAACAATCCGTCGCATTGATTTCCTTCGTCCGAATATCCAAAAGAAATATACGAAAGAGATCGAACAGACACACGAATGCATCGATGACGCTACGCTAGAGCAAGCGGGTTTGAGTACGAGCGAAAGAGTGATTGTGCGCGCGCGATAGAGAAGAAATCGGGGACATAGAGAGGAGAGGAGAGACGAAGATAGCGCGCGCACGCATATCGTCCGTTGCATGTTGAATGTTGCATGCGTGTAAGTGATAGAAGTGTATATGTGTGCGTATACGTGTTGTACGTGTTGCGCATTCGATTGCCTAGTGTAGGAAGAGAAGAGGAAGAAGGAAGAATATCGTTAAAAAATTTAGAAAGCTTAGGTGTGCGAGGCGAGAGAAGAGACGAAACCAACACAGAAATATCAAGAGAGCAAACAGCCGACGTCACGAAGATGGATCTACACAGCATGCTAAACAGACCAGACGAAGGCGCATCGAAAAAGCAGCAGCCTCAGCCTCATCCTCAGCCGTCGTTACAGACATCGCCATCTGTCATATCGATTCCGATTCCGAACTCAAACCCAAACCCAGCCGCGCCCTCGACGCCGGCTCGTGCTAGTCCGCATCCCCAGTCGTTTAGAGATTACGCTCACCAGACCCGAGCCTCACCGAGCCAACGCCAACATCCTCACGAATATCCGAGCCATACACCAAGTTCTGCAAACCCAAACCCGTACCAATCTCCTACCTCGTACAATCCCCCAACGAACGCGTTTGCCGGTAGGCCTCCCGTTCCACCGCTACAGCCACCTGGCCCGCACGATCCACGGTCGCCAGGAAGCGCTTCCGTATCTGGCCCGTCACCTTATAGACGAACACCTACGTCGTCGGTTAGTACCGTGAGCGGAGGCTATCCCTTTCCTTCGGCGCAACAGCCACCCGCGAGTCCTGTGCAGAGACACCAGTACGGCCCACTGGGTGCTAGCGCTGGTCCGGGTGTTGTTGGTCCGAGTGCGCCTGCGGGTGCTTATTCTCATTCTCGCGATAGTTACAATAATTCCCATTCCCATTCCCCATCCCAATCTCAACCCCAGCCTCAACCGCAACCACAACATCAACCACAACATCAACATCAACACGGGTCTGTTCCTTACCCTCACAGCCAGCAGCCAGCGCAGCACTTACAACAATTACCACCGCAGACGCCTCCGGTAGGCACGCCTGGCGGCAGCACTCAATATTTACACCAGAGATCCCATTCGATCCAATCGAGCCCTACTCCCACCTCCGCGCATAGCCAATCGGCTCCCTATGGGCCCCCTTATATCCAAGGCAGCCCCGTCGCGACCATACATCCTCACCCGCTTCTGATTGACCAGCAGCAGCAGCAATCCCAACATCAGCGCCAACCATCTCAACCTCCGACACCTCTGGGCCAGCCGGTCCCCCCGCGACTTTCGCCTGCCGTAAGTTACAAGCAGCCACCAAGCCCGTACCAAAAACGCGCCTCTACCGTTTCCGCCGCGTACCCTCCTCAACCGCTGCAGACATCGCCCAAACCTCCCCTTCCAGCTCCTATCCAACGCATGTCAAGCAGCAGCAGTCACGGTACTTACGACGCCGTTGCCGAATCCCACCGCGGGTCACAATCTCGGAGCGAACGTGACAGAAGTGTCAGTGTCTCACCTAAAACACGTGTTCCTAGCCTACCTAGCAGCAGCGGGCATCGCCCTTCCTCTATCAGCAGCGACGTAAATCCTTACCATCCCCAACGTCCTCCGCAAGCTCCCATCGTTCATAACACCATGGAATCCCAACACGCTGGCGCTCCGGCGAAGCGAAAGCTGGAGCATAGGGATCTCAGACCCGACGAGCTCGAGAACGACCGAAAGGCTCCACCGCCACCTCAGCTGAATGGCCACCGTGCCGCCGCGGTAAATGCTTCAGCGCAGCCGTCGGCGTCGCCGATGATACCGCGCCGAAAGCGTGTTAAGTACGACAGACCGCCTATTTGGGCCCAGAATAGTAGAGATCCCGACCAGGTTAAGGTAACGAGCCGCAACTTTTCGCTGAAGCACCACATCCGCCACCAGACCAGCCCGACCGGACCGGTTAACGGAAACAATCTACCTGACGCCGGTGGACACGCGAAGCCGGACCACGTCTCCCGACACACCTCCCCCGAAGCAGCGAGGTCTGCGGCAGCTCCCAGAGCGGAAGAGCCTAGCCACGCAGCTACCAAGGACCCCTTTACGTTCAACGGCCAACCGTTCCCGTGGGAGCCCAGTATCAGCAACGAGACGCCGAAGAATATCCTTTGTCGCGAGGTTGCCGACTTCTTGGGCATCAACGTGCTCCAATTTCCTCATCTCGAAGAAGTCCACAGCCGGGGCGCGGTGTTCGAGATCGAAGCTAAGCTGGGCGTCATTATTGATAAGATGACCAACGACCGGATCTATTTTCCCGAGGTGAGGGCTGGCGAGTGCGTGTTAGACGGCAATAGGGTCGCGTTTCGTAGTTCGATGACGGAGGTAAGTTGATCTCAGATTTTCCTGCGCGTCTTGTCTCGTCTTGTCTTGTCCTGTCGACTTGCTAATCAGTCCTATTACCAGAGCCAACATCGCGAGCTCAACGAGTTCTTGAACGAGCAGGTGAAAGCCTCATTCCCTCGAAATCCTACGGCGGCGTCTCGCGTGCAAGTACACTACGTCCATCGCCGAGAGGTTGACCGATTTTACGAGCTTGCACCCCATATGCGTCAACGCGTACCGGCCTGCATTTCTGGTCTGTTGCAACAAGGCGCACCTATAAAGGCCCGGGTCACCGTCCACGAGCAGAATCCCAACAACGTCATAGCCAAGATCGTCAAGGCTCGAATTGCCGATTTGAATATACATTTCCCCCACCTACCCTTAGACTGCCGCATAAGTATCAACTTGGAATGGAACTGGGACGGCTCGGCCGAGGAGATCGAGCGCGGTCAGAATCCCAACAAGGAGCGACCGCCGGACCGCATCAAAGACCGGCTCAGCTACAAACACGGTTTCTACCAGATCGATCTGACGCAGGTGAAGCAGGGACCCGCGAACGCGAATTCGGGTGGTCAACCTGGTCAAGCGCCCGTTGGGTCCGCGAAGGAGCATGAGCTCGAGGTGGAATTGGATGCGCGTTCGCTGATCGAGCACGGCCGCATGCTCATGCAAAGGAAGCCAAACAGGTACGAAGACCTCGTCGACGGCCTCGTTAATAACGTACGTGTCTTAGCGCGACGGTGTCCGCCGCCGCATTATCATAGCCAATCCTAGCTACTGCCAAAGGCATCTGTGTATAAACCCCTCCTAGTTTAGATATAGCCTATTCATCATTATGTACCTGGCATTCACGTACCTAGCAAGTTGGAGTACTTGACACCTTGACCGTTCTAATTAGGGTACGCTCTTGACGTAGGTAAGGATAGTGGACAATGTTTCGTGACGGGTCGATATACGAGCATACTCCGAAAAGCAGATTACTATTTATTACTACAATGACCATAACTACCTAACCTAGTCTACCCAGGCTATAAGCCGAGCGAAATATCAGCTACCCTACCTAGCTACCTAGGTAGATACCTAGCTAAGTAGGAGGTAGGTAAGTCAGGTAGGTAAATATTCTAGGTGAGGTTAAGCCCCTTTCACTAAAAATAAAAGAAAATCCAAACCGTAAAGATCAAATGCGCTTCTATCCTCGTACATCCCGCTCTCTAATCTACAGCTGTACATCTCAACTTTGTTCGATCTAATTCCCATCCTCCCGCCGGGTGGCGAGTGGTAGGCACCTCTTTACCTCACTTCCCTCGGGTCTGAGGTCTTCCCGAAGGCGGTCCGGAACTAGACCGCCGGCAATCTGACACGTCGGACATGGGCGGATTGGTAGCCGGCGGCTGGGAACCACGCTGGAGATGCCCGACGACTCTGTTCATCTCTTCCCAGATGGGCGGGACTACTATTAGGGGTTTCCACGCCGGCAAGCGCGTGCGTTTGTTGGCAGGCTCGGGGGTATCTGCCGTCGCCGGCGTGGCACGCTTCTTGGACCCCCCCGATTCGTCTGTCTCCAAGTCTCGAATCGGGTCTAGAACCGCGCTTCTCTCCGAGTACTCCTCCTCGAGCTCGTCCGCGGTGTCCGCTGGCTGCTTGTTCGGATCGTACTCCTCGTCCTTTTCGTCGTAGCCGCTTGTCGAGCTTCCTTGGCTGTCGTCTTCCGTCGACTCCAAAACGCTGCCTTCGGATCGAGCCTCGTGTTGAGAGTTAGGCGCTTTCTCAGCATCCCCGTTTTTTCCGGATTTGATTTCTTCGTCTTCGAGAACGTCTTCGACTTCATCATCTTCTTCTTTTACCTCTTCGTCTTCGTCCTCTTCTTCTTCTTTTATCTCTTCGTCCGACTCCTCGCTGGTCAAGCTCACCAAGCTATAAACTCCCGGCGAATCTGGCTCCGGCCCGTTCAACGGTATCACGAGTCCTTGGTACGGTGGCCACGGGAGCTTGTCGCCCCGAGCTTCCATGTACGCTGCCCCTTTGTAGTTCGGGTCGTCTTCGATGGAGCCCGTCGCCTTGTCCAGGTTGTACGGGTTTTCCCAGACCGATTCCACGCTTTCTTGCCGCGCGGGGAACATGGTGTGTCTGTACGCCGGGTATTCGTTGACGAAGTTGTAATACGCCGTCTTGAAGTCGAATTTCTCGTCGGGGATGATCCATCCGCTGCGATTGGGCACGGGGCCGTATCTTGTGGTGCCTAAGGTACGACGGATTTTGCAAGATCCGCGCTGGTCCATGTGCATCTGTACACGATCGCGACGTGTCAGCTTATTATATATTATCGGCATAGATCACGTCGGAAGCGTGGGTACTTACCTCTATCTGGTTCAAACTTCTTCCCGCGGCTCGGAAGCATCGAGAGCATCTCCAGTCGGCATCCGGGTAAAAATCCCAGGGTTGGGACTGCGGCTCGAGAAATTCATCCCACAGGGGAGAACGGGGTCGACGAGGAGGGAGCGGGTCAGTCGCGGTCGCTTCTCTCCATCGCGCGGGCGTCCCCATCTGTTTATATCTAGTCAAAGGAGTAAGTTTCTGGGGCGCTTCAGGTTGTTTTTCTACATCTTTCGCCACATCTTTCGCCGGCTCCGGTTCAACCCGTGTCTCTCTCTTAGGCCTAGGCCTAGGAGCGGGGATGTCGTTACGAGGGCCGGGAGGGAAAGAGTGGTTAAAAGGCTTTTCGCCTTTCCCGGAGCTCCCAAGCACTTCCCTCTTAACGCTGTCGAGGTGTTTGTCAAGGAAGTGCTGCTTGATGCTCTGGGAATCGTAGAATGGAAGGACGTATTTCTCCTCGTCGCATAGGAAGCACTGAAGGGTCGTATGATCCTCTCGTAAGTGTCGATCGAGCTCGCTCTTATCCTGGAAGCGGAAGATTCTCTCGCAGTCCATGTAAGGACACTCCCTAACTCGGTCAAGAAGGTTGCCCCGTAACGAATGAACTTCTCTTTCGAGCCGCGCCACTTCGCTAGGAGTTCGCATGGCGGTGGTAAACGCCGGCACGTACGGCCCCGTCCTGATGATGGTCTCGATAGGCGGACCTTGGAGCGGCATGGCGGGTTTGGTTGGGTTGGTAAACATGCTCATATCGTCCCAGAACAGCCTCTCTCTCAGCCGCAGCGCCCTCCTGGCGCCCTCTAAATTGTTCTTGGATTTTTCAAACAGCTTTTGTCCGGGTGGGCCACGCGACGTGAACCTCTTGTCCATCGAATCGAACTCCGACGTTAGCGACAGCGGCTCTACGGTATCGTAGCGCGGTCCCCACGTCGTATCCTTTTCCACAGCTTTTACGCCTCGGGTTAGCCAGACGTGTCACGATATATTACTACTTTCCTCTCGAAGACTTACCGCAGTCATCCGGCCAATACTCGACGGATACGGTTATATCCGGTTCGGTGATGTGCCTCACAATCCATCTCCACCCGTACTCGTTCGTATCTGCTCTGATGGCGAAATCGATCGGATTCTTCGACCAGGTAGACTGCACCAGATGCAGACCTATCTGCTTCAATTCTGGATTATACCTGGGGAATAGCTTGGACTTGACCTCCTCTCTAAACTCCGACAGTTCTAGGTCGTTGAGGTTGACCGAAAACTGGCGTTTGGCATCGTTCTTCGCCGTGATCTTGTAATTGCTGAACACGGGTCGAGCTACGATGCCTACCTTGCCAGGTTCGGCGTGGACTCTCGGTCCTTGGTAGGCTCGCACGACAGCCTTCCAGTTAAATATCGTCTGCTCGTTGATCTCTGTATCCACGAGGTTTATGAACTGTCCAGAATTTACGGTGTTCAGGAAGTCGTCTCCTGGAAGCCAGACTTCGAATCCAATCTTCTTCCTGTCGCTCATCACCAACGGGTTCGCAGCATTTACCGCGCTGATCAGCTTCGATAGCCCGACCGTGTCGTTAGTCCCGTCTAATTCGAGATCATCGCTGCTGAGGGTGGTTACGGGTGGTTCGCGGGACGGATCCGAGAAGTCGGCGTCGTAGGAGTGGAAGCCTGGTATGAAAACCGGGACGATGTCGTCCGGCACGTCGATCCCTTCAAAAGACAGGAGAGGCAAGTGGTCCGCGTTTGCTTGGTCTCGGATGAGTTGATCCCAAATTCCTGCGGGCGGATCAAGTAATCCGTAAGTGGAGGCGTTCCCGACCTCATAAAACTGCAAATACTGATGGCAAGGACGTGGCAGCAAGAACCTCATCGCGCGCAGGTATTCCTTGCTGAATTGGTTCGGCTTGAGATTCGAAGAAAGGTCGGTTGGGACCTTCATATACGACATGTTCTGATTTTCGGCATCCCAAACGCGGACGATGTATCGGTCGGCGTCGCGGGACGGCTGGTAGAACTCGGGAGGTTCCTCCTTGTCGAACAGCACAAAACCGCAGTATCTCTCGTCCGCATTTCCCTTGCTGAACAATCGTTTAATCAACGAACTTATCTTATCGGCTTTGCCGGGCTTGGTGTTTTTCTGGTATATCATGCCCGTTTCTTCCGCGACGGGCTCGGTGTCGGAGGACTTTTGGTCCCATACTTGAAGCCGTATAGAATAGTTGTATTTGTATACCAACCCCAGAAGCTTGTCTGCGGCCTCGACGAAGCTCTCATACGCGGAAGAAGGAGAATATTCCACAAGAACCGAGCCCTGATAGCCGAAAATCCTTACGGCCCTGGTCGTTGGACCGGCAGCGCCGTCACCTTCTTGCTCCCAGTCCATCTTCGCGGGCGCCGCACCGCCGCGAAGTCTCAACGATGAGAAATCATCGTCGTCATATGGCTTAGGGCGGATACGCAGAGACGTGAACTCCTGCATCTGCGGGAGCTTGAAGAAATGACGATCGGGAACGTGTCTATTAGGGTCGCCGTATGATCTCTCGGCGTACTCGTCCAAGAACCCGAGAGGGTCGACCGAAATCTCGAGCTTGTCCTCCAGGAAGTCTAGGTCCGTGATGACCAATTCTTGAGACATGCCGGGCTTCATCGGAGCGACGGGCAATCCGAAGTAAAGCAGCGCCAACTTTAGCTGCAGCGTAGGGGCGTGGCCCTGGAAGCGTGTTTCCAGAATCTGCTGATAACGAAGGGAGTTCCTCTTCTGCAATCTAACCAGCTCTGGCGGATGGCTGACCGGTTCGATGAGACAGATCTCGTGAGGTTCAAAGGTGTTTTGAAGTATCTCCTGGATGGTAAGATTGGTATTTCGGAGCAACGTGAAGAAATAGCGTTCGATCCTCATAAAATTCGGATGGTCCCTAGTAACAAGAGGGTTCGCTCGAGCGGCGAAGGACACTCTCTCTGTTAGACCGCTTGACTGGAAGACCGGCGGCGTCCGTTGGAAGTAATCCCTCGGTTGTGGTACTAGCTGCGGGACTTGAGGTTGAGGTGGTTGTTGAGGTTGTTCTTCGGCGGGTTGCTGCGTATGTTCTTGAGATGGCTGTCCAATTACGGAAGTGGTTGTGCGGCTCTGCATGGCGACGACACGCACGATTACGCTTTACGAAAGGAGGTTATTACGACAATATCAAGAGTAGCATCAAGAAATAGCCTAACATGCCGTGATGCGCGATGCGCGATGCGTTATAGAAACGTGCCTTCGGGCGTATCAGAATAAACTAGAGATGAGAAGAAGAAAAGAGGCAATGATTGAATCGCCATCTTGAAGGGACAAAGATGGTGTTCTTAGCCTTGTAAATCGTAACCAAGCATCTTGTTCTAGCTACACGAAGACCAAACTGGCATTCCTATTGTTCGATGCATCGAGAAGAAAGGGGCACCAGAGACGAACGCATCCCAGACCATCTCTTTGTCGTTGCCAAATATTCTTGATGATCTGAACTGCCCGAGAGGACAAAAGACGTGTACCTGGGTGTTTTTAGCCTTATTCGGTTGGTATATATGCAAAAGTCTTTCATATTCGTTGATGCTAAACTACTAGGGGCCGTTTCCGGATGCGTCAAGACCTGAAAAATGTCTCAGCGGCTAGAGCTGTTATAAAACTGTAGATAGAGGGGGGGGGGGGGCTTCAAGACAGCATTATGACTGCCTAAAAGTGCTTGCTGGTGACACATTTTTATATTTTATGGTCTTGGTAAACCTGTTTGTTAATCTTGGGATGTCTATGGCATTCTTGAATATTTGCATGCAAAGAACGTGGGTCGCATTCCGTCAAATTAGCCCTTAACCCCTTTTGTCATACACGATGCCCTCTTTTAGAGTATGCCTTCAACCTTTAAGGGCGTCATCTGATCTAAATAGCAGATACATAATATAGCAATATGCGAATCGTGATATTTATAAATTACGTACCTGGTAGGGAGATATAGATAAATACCTAACCTACCTCCTAACCTAACCTCCCTAAATAGCAACCTCGGGCTCGGCGCCGCTTGGATCCACAAGCGGGCAGAAGTCTACCGAGGGGTCGAGACTTGAGAACAGCGAAGCCGGGATTAATATACCCGAGCTTTCAAAACTTCCAAGTAAACTTAAATCGTCGATGATATGAACGACAAGGTTAAGACGTAAATTCCCCCGCTTCATCCGAGATCGCTGGTCCGTTATGTTTCGGCCGAGGTTAAGTGGCGTAAAAATATCCAATAACTTCCTGTAGATAGACAGCGGGGAGCTGGCAGCTCCTATCATTATTCCCTCTCGCCGTATAAAGGTTCTTTAGGTCTAGGTAGTTAAGCCTGACGTTAACGACTCTTACCGCTAACCGTTACCGAATAGAACGTGAGATATCGGAGAGGAAAGATGAGTTCGCAGGAAACCTTGTTAGACGTATTACGGTCGCGTACAGCGGTGGACTGTGATACTTTTGATGTCGAAGGTAGGGACCCGTCCGCTGGTCTAAAGGAAATATATATGAGAAGGCAACTTGAAGCTTACAAAAACAGTACCGAAGCGGCTTGGCCCGTTCGTGGATTGTACGTCAAACCAGGTGAGCCGACTTGTGACGAAACTCGCTACGGGAAGCAAGGGATTAAAACATCCTAGGCGATCGCCTACCACGAGTTGATACGCCTCGACGAACATGGGAAACCTGTTCACGCCCAGCTAATTCAAGACGCCATCGACTATGCGTTATCGAAGCGTTCGTCATATCCCGGCGTGGGAGCAGAAGAGCTGGCGGTGGAGGCTATGATGGTCAAACTGGCCTTGAGGATTGTACCCTATTTGAAGGGATACTCTCATATACAGACGAACCCGAGGTACTCCTACGACAAGCAAAAGACAATCGAAAATGCCAAACGTACGTGAATGACTTTGGCGTGGCTAACGCAACGTGAAATCGTAGTGGTTGGATCGCTAATGGAAGGCATCATAGGTATCGTTGCGATATTCAAGGATCTAGACCCGGCATACGACGCCCGGAGGGTTTGTATCAAGATACCTTCGACCTGGGAAGGGTTACAGGCGTGTCGGGAGCTGGAAACCCAGGGTATCGCCACCCTGGCAACGACCATGTTTTGTCTCGAACAAGCTGCCCTAGCGGCTCACGTCGGCTGCACCTATATCGCGCCGTATATCAACGAGCTGCGAGTGCACTTTGACGAGAAGTACGTGTCCCCCGTCGATATTTGGTTGTCTGGTGAGTGTAAAGGCTGATCGCTAGGTAGTTACGTCGGCCAGCACAAAGCATTCGACTTTTGCGGCTCCGCTCAGCGCTATTACGAGAAGATCGGCAGCAGAACCCGGGTTTTACCTGCTAGCCTGACATCTATACAGGAAATCATGAAGCTCGCGGGTGCTCACCACATTACCGTTGCGCCAGATCTGTTGACGAAGTTAGCGGAGACGCCAGCTGACTCGTGGGAAGGCGAAACTGGGAGTGTCTTCAAGGGCAAAGCAGAGGAAGAGGCGGGCAATTACAGCGATATAGTGGAAGACGAAAGCGCATGGCGCTTAGCATTCACTCGGAGCCAAGAGGGCAGAGCGGAGGTGAAGATTATCCAGGCTATTAACATATTCTGCGACAAGCAGGTTGGTTTGGAGGGTTTAGCACGACGATGATGTCGTGAGAAACCTTGGGTACGCAGCTACGTTACCTGTTAGTCAAGTTTAGAACAGGTACCTATAGCTTTGCGTATCTTCCAGGTTCTCTGTGGCTTAATGTACGGATCAGAACACGGTCCAGAAGTAGGCCCCTGCCATGCCGCCGCGGCATTCACCCGAGACATTCCATACCTATTACGTTCCTTTGTCCCAGACTAGACACACAGATTATTACATAGGTCCATAGGTATGTTCATCTCGAATAAGTACCTAGTAAGGAATATGTATAGGATTAGGTACCTAAAGGACTACGAAAATCTCTGATAAAGCCCTTGAGTCTTCGTTACTCGCTCGAGATGGACGTGCCAATTCAAAGTCCAGCCTTCAGCTTGCCAGGATGCTCTGGATCTGGTACGTGGATCTGGGAAGGCTGATAAGGATCTCGTTCCTCATTGGATTCTGGGATAGCTGAGAGGCTATCTCGCACCCCTGCGTGTCTTGCAGCTCTCTTATCTAGCATCGTCCCGTATCACTGGCAGCTGATCACTGGGTACCTACGATGCGCCAGGTAGGTATATCTACATCAGTCCAAGGTTGCCCCTAAGATGAGTTTACATGGTACACTTCAATAGGGCTCCTCTTCGCGTCTTCTGCTTCGAGTCGGTTCTCGTCTTTGGAAACTCGAGAGTTCGGCAAGATGGTTACGCCCAAAAAGCCGTCGGCCGCTGAGCTTAGGCGGAGGCTTACCTCCCTTCACTCTTGGGAACTTCCCAAGCAGGCTGGAGCGCTGGCCCCGTCGCACGTATGGACGAACCACGATATGGGTAGAGTTTCTCCGTCTAGAATACTCCACGAGGCATACTGACGCGGGCTGGCTTGCTAGATCCGACACCCGTCGAGGATCAGACGTGGGACACGTGGACGATTCTGGCCTACTGGGCTACCGATACTATCAACCTTGCTACGTGGCAGACGGCCTCTGCGATCCTCGCCGTGGGCTTGAGTTGGCGCGAGGCCATTCCCGTCATGATAGTAGGGACGTTTTGCGTCGCCGTGCCTCTTGTGCTTAACGGCGCCATCGGCGCGAAACTTCACATCCCCTTCTCCGTGATCGCTACGAGCAGTTTTGGGTACTATCTAAGATACTTCTGCATCGTCAGCCGGGCCATTCTGGCCATGTTTTGGCTGGGTATACAGGTAATAAAACCGGAGGGAGAAGAGGAGAGGCGCTTGAGGACGACGGGCAATAAGATTAACGTGAAGTTATAGGGCGCGAACGGGGCTCAGTGCGTCACGATTATGCTGCGCGCGTGGGCGCCGTCGTATAACGACATTCCGAATCGGCTGTCCCAATCTGCCGGCATCACGACTCAGGGGATGCTCTCCTACTTTCTCTTCTGGATAGTTCAGCTGCCGCTGCTCCTAATTCATCCTACCAAGCTGCGTCCGCTGTTTTGGGTTAAGCTGTTCGCCGCCCCGGTGGCCGCCATCGCTACGATGGGGTGGTGTATAAAAAAGGCTGGAGGGGGCGGTGATATCTTCGCCTTGCGAGCAACGGCAGGCGGGCAGCAGTATGCCTGGCTGTGGCTAACTTGCATGTCAAGCGTGTCCGGCCAATGGAGCACGTTGGCCGTAAACATACCTGATTTTACTCGTTACGCAAGGTCTGCCAGGGGTCAATATATCCAACTACCGGCGATGCCCATCATATTTACGTTGTGTGGCGTTTTGGGTATCGTGACGACGTCCGCGAGCAAAGTCTTTAGCGGAGACTATCTCTGGAATCCCCTGGATATCATAGCAATTTGGCTGGATTACGGCTCCGGCGGGCGATGTGCTGCATTTTTCGCCGCCCTCGCCTGGTATATTGCGCAGGTATGTACGAAAGATCCAACGCAAAGATCCAAAGCAATAATCCGTAAGGGGTTCTTCGTATTAAGACCATGCGAAATAGGTCGGTACAAATATCACCGCCAACTCGATTTCGGCGGCCAATGACTTGACCGTCCTTTTCCCCCGCTGGATCAATATCAGGCGTGGCTGTATTATCGCCGCGCTTGTTGGAGGTTGGGTGCTGGTGCCGTGGAAGATCCTCAGCTCTGCGCAGACGTTCCTCGCCTTTATGAGCGGGTATGCCGTATTCCTCGGACCGATGGCTGGCATAATGGCGTCCGACTACTGGCTTGTGAAGAGGGGGCGTATCGACATACCCGGCTTATACAATCCAGATGGACGTTATCGCTACGTCGGCGGATGCAACTGGCGAGCAGCCGTCGCGTTCATTGTGCCCGTCGCGCCTCTTCTCCCAGGGCTAGGTCTGAGTATCAGCGGACCCGAAACTATTCACATCAGCGACGGTGCCGCTAACCTCTACACCTTGAACTTCCTGTTCGGATTCGTGACTTCGATCGTCATCTACACGGTGCTAAGCTATGCCGCTCCAGCAGAAGAGACTTTGTTGAAGGACATGGTTTGGGGACTGGACGACACCGTGATCGAGGCGCATGTGCAAGACGATACAGATGTTGAGAAGGGTCGGGACAACCGCACCACCCGAGAAGATCAAAGCTTAAGTTGTATCGCATATTAGTCTAGATAGATCCGATTTCTCCGTTTTTCAAGCCTAGAGTAACTAAAGAGATACCCTTACTACATGAGGCGTTGGTAGATTAAATAGATAATAGTAAAACGGCCCTCTCCTCGAAGCATCCCCCTGCCTGTTCCCCCACTCCTCCCCCCCTCCTTTTTTTTTTTTTTTTCTTTCTTCGTCGCAAGCGATCGCAAACACTTACACTATCGGATATCACTTATACAAGATAGCGCAACGGCTACCTAACGAGCCAGCAGCTCTGACGGTGTTTCGTAAGCAGTAATCGGAGCCCAAATCCCCCCGTCGTGAGTCATGAGCTTCTGAGTGATTTGCGGTGTTGACAAATGCAAAATCAAAGTGATGCCCAAAACTACCTAGAGGTACCTAAATGGAAAGGCTAATTGAAGGGTGAGGGGGGCTAGTTATCTCTTATCTCCGGGCCAGGCGGATATGGTGGATGGATGTATGCTGACGGGATCGCTCTTATTCCCCAGTGCTGTGCTCTAGGAGACAGTCCCCTGGTAGGTATAATGTAATACATCATAGTTGCTCTAATGACACGATTTTAGGACGTCGACCCTGCAGATCATAGGCTCAGGGACAGGACGGAATCACTCAACCCCGTTGGCTTAACAATTTTGATTGATAAGATCAACTATTCCCGGTCTTTAGGGGATGGAAATCGGCAATAACAATAACAACCCAATACGAAATCTCGCATTGGTAGCCGGCAAGGTTGACGCAATGCTGTCATGCTCATCTCAATGCTACGCTACATGCCTGGTAGCGTCGCCTTTAACACTAAGCGCGAGCCTCCAGTCTGCTTAGCTCATTATGGACGATTTTATTTAATATCCTTCTCGGACCTCTTGGATCGTTTACCGATATGTCTTTGTTCCAATGCTTCGCGCCCCGGACCTGGGAAAGTAGAAATACCTATTCGAATAACTATGGGACGTCTTATACGTATTCTGTCGCGGGCTACGGCGAAGCCGTATAAGACTGCCGAGCTGGAGTTTGAAGAACGCCCGTACCTCAACTCCAATGGACACGTCGATTTCGAACCCGACGATATCGAGAATCCCCATAACTGGTCTAAACCCAGGCGATGGTACGTGACAATATGCGCGGTTTTACTTGTTGTGAACGCTACTTTTGCATCGTCGGCCCCTTCCGGTTGCTTTGGTGTAAGCCGTTGATTTTCTTATACTCATATTTTTCTATCAGGCATGTCAAGATTGTTAATGCGATGTGTCATAGAGCATATCTAAAGAGTTCGACATCTCAGACGAAGCGGCAGGACTCACTATAACCCTCTTCCTGTTGGGTTATTGCGCCGGACCTCTAATCTTTGCCCCCCTATCGGAGGTATGAAGTCTCCCGATCTTACCCCTGAAAGTAGATAAAGTACTAAACAAAGAGGTTGAAATAGTTCTACGGAAGAAGATGGATCTTTTATAGCACCTTCTTGCTGTATATCTCGTTTAATTTCCTCTGTGCTTTCGCGCCAAACTTCGGCAGCTTGCTCGTCGGCAGGTTCCTCACCGGCACATTTGTTAGCGCTCCGCTTAGCAACAGCCCCGGCGTGCTCGCGGACCTATGGGGTCCGGCCGAGCGCGGTTTCACCATGGCCGTCTTCTCGTGCAGTATGTACCTGAATGTTGGGATGCTTTCCCCTTTTACGCTTGTTTCGGGGGTCCGTCGGTCTCGGCCAGGACGAAGTCGTTGATGCTGTCAAGCTACGGCTATAATCCCCAATCCCCGAACGTTCTAACTGACTGCTAACTTTATGGTAGTGGTTTGGGTAGGGCCAGCCCTTGGACCGGTCGTCGGGGGCTTCCTCGAGCTTACGAAGAACTGGAGATGGAGCTTTTATGTTTTGCTGTGGCTCGGCGGTGCTACGGCGATTCCCATGTTCACCATCCCCGAGACGTTCGGTCCCATGATCTTAGTTCATCGAGCTCGTCGCATAAGGAAGGCGAAGGTTCCTGGTTACGAAAATGTCAAGGCCCCGGTCGAGGAGAGCGATCGCTCGTTAGTAGGGATCTATAAGGTGGCGTTGACGAGGCCGTGGATCATCCTTTTCGATCCTATCTCCTTCTTATGTGCCGTTTACATGTCTGTCGTGTACATGTTGCTCTACATGCTATTCACCATCTACCCGATCGTCTTCCAGCAGAGACGAGGGTGGAACGCCGGAGTTGGAGAGCTCCCCTTAATCGGGACCGTTATCGGCTCCTTCATCGGCGCTATTATCGTCTTCTTCGATTCCAAACACAAGACCAAGAAGATGCAGAGGGGGATACCCATAAAACCTGAAGACAGGCTGACTCTGGCCCTCATCGGCGGCGTTCTTTTTCCCGTTACCATGTTTTGGTTCGCGTGGACCGCCGAGTTCAAGTAAGGCAGACAACGCACGATCGATACGGGAAGACGACTAACATGCTCGGCAGCTCAATCCATTGGATCGTTCCGACGATCGCTGGCGTATTCTTGGCGACTTCGCTCATGCTTATCTTTGTGGGATATTTGAATTATCTGGTCGACTCCTACTTGATGTACGCCGCGTCCGCTATCGCCGTAAATACTGTCTGTCGTTCGGCTTGCGGCGCTGCGGCGCCGTTGTTTACCAACTACATGTTTGAAGCGCTCGGAGTCGGCGGCGGAGGCTCCTTAATCGGTGGCGTCGCAACGTTGCTAGCGGTGATTCCCTTCGCCTTCTACAAGTATGGCGAACGTATCCGTGCCCGCTCGAGGTTCGCGCCCACCGGTCCTAAGAAACCTGACGAAGAAGAAGCGCAGCAAGCCGAAAGCGAGAAGCACGTAGCGCGTAGTACCGACCATTCGCCACAGTTGTTAGAATCGTCTAGCACGATGAACGATGAGGAGGCGCATGATTCGCAGGTTGAGAAAAGGGAAAGTCGAGACGATGTACAAAACGCCTTAGGGGAGCCGAGAGACGAGAACAAAAGTTTCGGGAGACAAGCGTAAGACCGCGTTCACCTTAGGCACCTGGTATAGAACGTACAAGGTTTAAAGTGCCTATCTATTAGACTATTAGGTAGGCAGCTACGTATAAATACAGTTCAAATTCAAGATATGCCTCCTACCTAGGTACCAAGTGAACTCTAGATCAATCCACATAGGCGGCGGCATCTTAGATTAGACCTATGTGGACTTGTGAAAGACTTGGACCACCCTCGGTTCTGGACAATTTATATCTGGACAATTTACAAGCCGAGTAGGGTATCATGCTAGACGTGAGGTCATTATTCCTATCCAAACCTGTTGATCTTGCGATAATTCATGCGAGGAACTTTTCCATGCCTCTCACTTCTCACTTCGCTCAATCTTCTTCTAGGTATCGCGGGGCTAGGTATCGGAGATATTTCTGCGTCCATCAATAAAACTTCCGCCGAGCAAGGCTCTCTGCATGTAACCCCTATGTCTGCCTTAGGAATGTAGGTACGTTCTACCTTTGGAGGAGATAGATTTACTTAGACATGAGCGGCTACTGAAAATAAAAAGCTCTTGATTTATCGTGCTTTAGAGGTGAGAGCGTACGTATATAGTAGGTTACCTTAGGTAGGTAGGTAGGTACATAGTTCCCTTATGCCTGTCTCTTCTCAGATGAGTAAGTCTTGTGAAATTTGAATAGCACAGCTCAACACCTCTTTCCTATTTCTCAGCAAGGTCAGTGTCGATCAACGGTGGGGGTGATATTGTGCTTACTATTCTCGAGTAGTATCGCGTGGATGAGGCCATAGAATGAATGGGATCTCGGCTTGATTGTGCAGTCCCCACGACGCGGTTGTAACTACGCCGATGCCATCCACCGCGAATGATACATAACGCATTCTCAGTTGTCCTTATCAGAACCATCGTTAGAATTTTATAAGTCAGCATATCGAAAGGATACGCACCAGGATCCTGGGCCATGAAGTTCTCGTTTTCTTCAAGACGCCAGTCACGCAAGTTAGTAGCCTTCTCGAGCTCGGATAACCTACGAAGAGCTAAGTAAAGCAGCGGGTGATCTTCCTATATAAAATGACGACCGTCAGTGAGCCGGCGGATCCCCTCGCCAAAGGCATAGTTGCAACCGCAAAGCAATCCTGGAGCGATCTCTTCCGATGGAAGCAGAGAGTCCTGGTTACGAACGAGCTCGGCGAGTCGGATACGGTGTGGCAGTCACCGGAGAAGCTGAGAAACCCCGTCTCGCTTTTGATGATGTTAAGTGCGAGAGATTGGATTTACTTTCTTGTAGGTTTATTCGCGTGGACCGCCGATGCCTTCGACTTTCACGCCTTGGCGATCCAGACGGTCAAGCTTTCGCGTTATTACGAGCGTAGCAAGACTGATATCACCACCGCCATTACCTTGACGCTGCTTTTGCGATCCGTCGGTGCTGCCGTATTCGGTCTTCTTGGTGACCGGTTTGGTCGAAAATGGCCGATGGTCACCAATTTGATTTTTCTTGGTAAGAACTCAAGCATCTTGGGGTAGTTTTAATAAATCTGACGCCTCGATAAGGTCTCTTGCAAATCGCGACTATCTACAGCGTCACATTTCAGCAGTTCCTCGCTGTGCGATCTCTCTTCGGCCTGTTCATGGGGGGCGTGTACGGCAACGCAGTGGCCATGGCTCTCGAAAACTGCCCGTATGCTGTAGGATCCTGTGTATCTCCGGATATATAATGCTAATCGGCCGTCTAACAGGACTGAAGCGCGTGGTCTCATGAGCGGTATCCTGCAGCAAGGGTACGCTCTCGGGTATGTTCTCGCCGCGTGCGCGAACCTTGGAGTCGGGGGCGATACGGATACGTGGAAGACGGTCTTCTGGATCGCGTCTGGCCTTTCTATCGGTGCTGGCCTCCTCCGCTGCGTGTTCCCGGAGTCGAGGCAGTTTATAGAAGCCAAGGATGCCGGTCAGCACATCACAGCCAACGACTTCTGGAAGGAGACCAAGTCGATGATTGCCAAAGAGTGGCGCATGTGCGTCTACTGCGTTTTCCTGATGACGTGGTTTAATTACTATGCGCACGCTAGCCAGGACAGCTATACGACGTTCATGCTAGAGTCCAAGGAGCTCCCAAACGATGCTGCTACGCGAGCCAGCATCCTTATGAACACGGGAGCTTGCGTCGGCGGCACTATCGTCGGCTACCTTTCTCAGTTTATCGGACGTCGTAGAGCCATCATCGGTGCGGCGCTCATCAGCTGCTGTCTTATTCCGGCCTGGATCTTGCCCTCGGAAGAATCAGGACTCTCGGCTTCCGGGTTTGCGATCCAGTTCTTCGTCCAAGGAGCCTGGGGCGTTATCCCGATCCACCTGAACGAACTGTCGCCGCCTGCTTACCGGTCTACTTTTCCAGGCCTCGCTTACCAGCTTGGCAACTTAGTCTCGTCCCCGGCAGCGCAGATAGTCAATGCCATAGCCGAGAGCCATTTTGTTACTGGTAAGAGTGGAAAGCTAGTTGATGGGTACGGACCGACTATGGGGATTGCCCTGGCGATCGTCGCTGTCGGTATTACGATTACAACCGCGCTAGGCCCTGAGAGACGTGGTAGATCTTTTGAGGATGCCGGACCTGCTGGGGCTAACACCTATAACAACGTTGGGAAGGTCGTGGATAATGGGTCGATCACCGATTCTACTAGAGTTCGTGACGCGGAGAAATTTGAAGTATAAATATGCTGACGAGTAACATGAGGGCTAAGACTTTGAATTTCGCTGGATATCACCGGAGGGCCCTTCATTATCTAGATACGTCGGTATATATATCATAAAGGAGGATTTTAAGCCGAGGATTCTGAAGATTCCAGGCGGCGTATCCATCAAATATAACTGATTGCCTCACTCTGTCCGTAACCCAGGACAGCCACGTCATTGTTACCTTTGAGCGTGAAGTGAGAGGTTCAAAATTTGACATTAGCATTGACATTGAACGTTAAACGCTGTATATTTAACGAGATGGTACCTATAGGCACCTTGGTAGATACCAAGTAATAAAGGCATCTAAGAGACGCACTTTTCACAACGCCTCCTAAGAAAGCTCTTGATTAGCACTATCGTAAACTTTATCTCACTTAGTACAAAATTATAAAGTACCTGACCCAAGATACAGTACATAGAACTACGTAAGTTCACCCGCCTTTGCTGTTGCAAATCCTGCTGTAGTCACAAACAGCGCTGCCCCTTTCATCACCACCCTCATCAGTCCCCACCAACTTTGGCTCACCATTCCGGGGCTTGCAACTGTCAAACTTTCTTACGCTCTCATACAATAATCTTTCCATGCTGTGAGCCTCACTTATGGTTAGTTTGATCGAAGGCATTGGAACTTGACACATCTTTTTGCCTTGACATAGGGTGTTTTTGATTGCTTTGTACAAACACCATCACGGATCCCCTCGATTCTACGCCCCTCGATTTTACGCAACTCGCAACTCGCAACTCGCAACTCGAGAACAATCTAATATTTGGCACCCGGAATGTGCTTAGGCGCCTATCTATCCCATCAAAATTGACTCTTCCTTCTTTTTCTTTTCTTTTCTTTTTTTCTCTTTTCTTTTCTTTTCTTTTCGCAATCTCGCTGCGCTGCACTGCTCACTTCTATACCATAGTGGCGCTACCCCTATATACTGCTCTTACCACTGCACAACCCTTTAGCTAAATTCCTCTTAGCAAACCAGCAGGTGTTTGGACCTTTTAGGGTGCCCTTGAGTCATATAGGAGAAAGAAAAAGACTGAGAAACACCCCAAATATTCAAGCCATGGATCCTGGAGCAAATGCCGATGCTCAGGATGGTAGCAAGTACATCTGTACGTTATTTTCCTTCAAATTCTTTTACTGTCTTTCATATTAACACGCCTGCAGCAAAGTTCTTCCCTCCCAACTCTGGTTAGTAGCCCCCTAGCATAACAATATGCCCTTACCTTTAACCATACGTACAGCTATCTTCAGCCTGGTCAATCAAGCCAACCAAGAGCCCCTATTCCATTTGGTTCGCCAGACCATCTTGCATCACATGCGCAGTGGCCACTCCTTAATTGAGTTGTGGAAGGAAGCCTTCGACGCCGGGTATGCCGAAACCGAGACAGGACCGTATTCGCTGTATTTGACAGCCGTGAGAAAGACGCTTGGCCGTAAGTGTACACAGATATATACGGATGCTGTGCGGTGATGCCTACTAACACTATAAGGCATGTTTAATTTGGACTTCAATAAGCCGACCAAGGCCAGTGAGCAGCTTGAATTTGGTCCTCCAAAGGCTCTTGCTGAAGGACTTCTTCCCACCGGCCCCGGAACCGAAGCTGTCGTTAAGACGGAGTCCCCAAGCCCAGCCAATCCTGTTAGGACTGGATTAAGCCCTCTCGCCCCCAGCTTTTTGCCAGGGAAGCCCGTTGCTGACAAGCCTGCTAGAAAGCTTGTCAAAAAGGAAGAAGACAGCCATCCTAAGAAGACCGTTAACCCTCGATTGGCAAGCTTTGAGAAGCGCTGCAAGAAGCTCGGAGTGCGAATTTCATCGGCAAAGGAGTAGAGATGAGATTTATAGCCACATCGTCATGTCCTGAATAAGTAACGGTAATGTGGAGGTTGGTTACTTGGCGATGGGCATCAAAAGGCTATAGCAGAGTATTTAAGTTAGTTACACCCTCTATAATTTGCCCTTTTCATGACAAACTTGGGTGTAGAAAGCAGCTGTCTCATCCAATACACGAGGTATGCCCTGAGATAACCGACGTAGAGAAGAGACGTGACATGATGCGCAAGGTATCAATTCGACTGCTCAGGTTTTTGACCATATCCCACGCTCTATCCCGATGATTTATACCTAGAGTACCTAGATAGGTAGCAATGCTTTGCCATACACGAGGGTTGTCTAGATTATCTGAGACAAAAAGCACAACTATTATTGCGCGGCACATATTGGAGAAGCTAATGGAGATGTGTCTTGTTAAAATCGATCCAAGTACCGTATCTAAGAGGGTCTTGGTTGATGCGGGTTCCCGAGTGCGTACATCTAGAGCAAACACGCGAGATTCCTCGACAGGATGAAGCGGTTAGGTTTTTTTTTTTCCTTTTCCTTTTCCTTTTTTATCTTTCCTTCAATTGACGCGAATATTCGTCGAGGACGTAAAGGATGCCCGAGGAGACACGCCAATATGCCGCGGTTAAAGAAAAACTATCTTAACTCTTGATAATAACGACAATAGATGATGGATATGAGAGCTAGATAGCTAGGGAGTGGATATGATTGTAAAACAATTCAACAATATTATCAGGGAGACGCGAAACAAGCAGCAAAACCAGGTCGAAGTTAGCAAGTTCATATAATTAAAAATTCCAGCCAGCATTGTACAATTAGGTACCTTATCGTGATACCTGGGATACCCGTGGACAAGGTTTAGCTACTTAACCGGCCTAAGTAGGTCCTGAATAACCCCTGGACGTTGTTGGTGTGGAGCTGCATATCATCGTAGGGATGGTAATTCCACCACCTACCTCTAGCACCTAGGTACAATAGAATTATCTCAAATACCTGGTACCGAACAGACCCGGGCGTAGGGCAACCCCCTACCCCGGGTACCTCTTAAGGCGGCGCATCATACCTACTAGGTACCTAGGTAAGCCCGGGAATCTTGGATGGGCATTCCCTGAACACCATGTTTAACGGTTGTCGATCAGAATCCCTGGCATCCCCCACATCGATATATCTCGCATTCATATATCTTAGGTACCTAACCTACCTAGGTAGACTTCTAGCCTGTACCTCCCTCGATACGGATAATATGAGGTGTAATTAGATAGGCGAATATCATGCACATTCCCTCCGTGGCTCGGGCCAATTGCGGATGTAGAACAGTACAAGAGAAGCTCGACATGCACGGGTGCTCTTCTCTCTTATACGGGCAGCACTACCGTGTGAATCTCGTCGCAGTTGAACTTGTAGAGTAGAAGAGGGGTTCCTCAATGTCGCAAAAAGCAATAATATACGCCACATGAAGCGATAGCTATTCACGTCGCCTACTATTCTGAGACCGTGTCCTAGACTTATCGATTTCCCCCTATCAGTGCATGACAGTGTGCATGAGTATCAGCATTTCAGTCTCTCTCAGTTACATACCTATTCGATTACGTGCGTACGACTCCCACCCAGCTGAGCTTTCTCACGTGGCTCAGGGGTTTTCCTCTTACTTGGCATCTATGTGGCCTGATCGCGGAGTTACACTTAGGTGACCTGCTTCTTTCGACTGACAAACACTCGCGAGTGCTCCTCAAGCTAAACTTCGCGGCTCTTTGCGGACACGCTAACCGTGACCGAGCTTCTATACGGCGTTATATGGTTTTTGAATAGTCTTCCGCTGGGTCCCCTTGGAAAAATTCACATCGCGGAGATCGGATGAGTTATACGAGACTGCAACTAGGCCCTATCGCGTCTCCGGAAAAGCCCTCAATTCGACGTTCTCCGTAGTTCTTTGGCATCAAGCTCTACACGGAGTTCAATCTTTTAAGATAGACATACCTAATCCCAACCAAGGGAGAGCAGACTGGCCATCTCGCCTGCGGTGTCATGTCGGGACGTAGCGCCTACGTCCGAAAAAAGATCACCGACACGAAATCGGGTGGACGGTCCTCGGAAAGCCGTCGTTACTCCGAGAGCGACGACATTTCGATAAACGACCATGGCTTCCCGCAAGGCACCGGCTATGGTACAACAAACGCGCGGTTCCTTAAGTTCACTGAGCCGTCGAGGGAGATAGAGCTAGCCAACTATCGCAGCTACATCATCAACTCGGGCAATCCTAGCAGCAGCAGTCAAAGCGGCGGAAGCGAATCCGGCAGGAAGGATGGCGGCAGTAACAATAGCCAACCGCATCAGGGCCCGATGCCCGACTTCGCGTACGCCAGGACGAGGAAGCCGGTCTTGAGGACGGAGGACGTGTCTGGAATAGAGCGATCAGGATTTCGAAGCGCGGTAGACAAGAAGAGTGACGAGTTCCGCAAGAATCTCACCAAAGCCTTCACGTTCGGAGCTAGGAGGAAGAAGCTCGCCGAAAACGCCAGGTCCGAGTGCTCCGCCGCTACAAGATCTTATAACGATTCCGAGTTCTTCGACGTGCACGAGCTTCCTTCGACGTCTATCCAAACCCCGCAGCAGTTGGTGTGGGATCCCGAGTATCAGCAGATCGTCTCGCCGCCGCCGTCCGTCAAACTACCCCCAATTCCTCCCCCTTCGACGACGCCTCTGATTAAACGTTGGATCAGTGCCGGAAGGCCTGCTCAACGGTGGAACAAGCTCCGAAAGGACCCCGAGCTGTGGGATCCCAACGGCGACGTATTGGTATTCTTTGGCCGCAGAGGACAGAGCCCGCGGCCAAACCCTTCTTTCCGCTTGTCGTCTCATATAATCGAAGCCACGGAATCTCGATTCCTCATTACCCTTCTTCGTGAAGGGTCTACGGAGGACGAGTACGATCCGCGCGTGCACGTATCCCAATCGCCTATCGGAGCGCCGCCGATGCTGCGATCGCATAGTACGCATCCGCAACTTAGTTATAACTTGGGTCGGAACGGTCAGCCCACGCCCCCGGTCTCTGAAGACACCAGCCTTACAGACATCGACGGTCAGATTTCCTACGAGATGTACTTCCCCACGCCGCCGACTATGGGGAAAGTCGAAGCCCTCCGTTACGCCATAACGACGCGCAATATTTTCGCGCTTCTGTATCACGCATCTCCAGTTGGCTTATCGCTCTCCCAGGCGCTATCCGACCTGCTTGAACGCCTCAAGGCTTACATGCCCACCGAGGCGGACAACCTGGGCACGATCCTAAATTACCTATCCGCTCGCGGGATCGACGACCCCCGCAACGACCCGGAAACGGCCGTTTCTCTCCTCGCGTGGTCGGAAACGCCAGAGGTGCGGTGGGAAGAGGGTTGGTGCGAGGCGTTCGCGCATTGTACCGGGATGTACTCCCGACTAGAGGCCTGCGCAGATTTCAAATTCGTCACCCCCGTCACTCGGGCTCTCTTAGACAGAGCCTACCTCGAGACGCAACTTCGCGTACAAGCTGCGGAAGAGCGCCTCGCCGAGTTTTCCTGCGAGGATATCTGGCCGACCACCGGCCCGGTCGCGAGAGGTTCTGCGAAAGACACGGCCGAGCGCTTGCGCCAGTTCTTCATATCGCATTACGCCAAAGTCCACGGCTACTGGCCTCCGCCTGAAGCCGGCGCGAGAACCGCCGAAGGCGAGGAAACGTGGCTGAGCAGGACGTTGGCAAGGCAGATGCAAAAGGATTTCGGAGCGCTGTATGACTACCTGGTTAATCGAGATATCGTATGGGACGAGACGGAGGAGCGAAGTAGTCGGAAATGGATGATGGTTTCGGAGAGCGGCAACAAATCATTCGAAGCCGACACGCCCGACCTGCCTCTCACAGACATGCTGATCCAGTTCGACAACCGCATGCGATTCCCTCATATCCCACACCCTTATCCTCTCGTCCCCGAGTCGATCGTACTAAATAATACGTCTTCGGCTAGCTCGAGCCGAGAGAGGTTTAAGAAGGACAAGAACAGCAGCGCCAACAACGCGAAACAAGCCTCCGACGATCGCAATGCCGAAAGACGCGCGCAGTTTGCATATACCGAAGCGACTAACATATACATCTTGGGGTCTGATTTCAAACATTCCGACCTCATCGAGAGCTTCGTCAAATTTGAAAAGACGGACCAAGTCGGCGCCTTAGACCCCTTCGTCGCGCGTCGTGGCCGTTGGGTGCTCATCTACTGCATCTTGCAAGCTCTAGCTAGCGTGTCGGTAGACGCGCCCAACATTAGATATAAAGACAACGTGTCGTACCACCTCTCTCCGCGCTTCAAAGACAGCAAAACCCCGCCGTGGAAGCACGGCGCGTCCGCGCCTGATGCAGAAGCCTACCACAAGCTCTCGCACTGCTGGCTCGCGCCCTGGACGTGGCAGCAGAGCGGCAGCGGCGGCGAGAGTGCCGATTCGGACGGGTCTACGGATTCCAACATGCACTCGGGCGATCCTGTGCTGCGCATGATGCGGGCTCAGGCACAGAAGCTGCCACGACCCCCGAGGACCGTAACCAGCCGTTCCAGCAACGGGGGGTGGTATACGCCGCGCAGCGTCCTGTCCCCGACCAATAGCGTAGCCATCCCTGCTCCTCTAACCCCTACTACGACCTGGGGTGGTTCGGACGATACCGCCTCGAGTATTATCCGGCCGTCCTCGTCGGCAGGGTATTACCAAGGCCAAGGTCAAGGCCGCAAGAGCTATGCCAGTTCGCGAGGTGCTAGGAGCGAGCGTAGCTACGCGACATTTGGTCCCGGTAGTGCTGGTTTAGGCGGCGGCAGACTCGAAGAAGCTAGACAGCCGCCGCTACATCAACAACAGGGTATGAGTACTGGTATGAGCACCAGCATGAGCATACAGCGTACAAAGGCGCCAGCACCGCTAGATCTCAACCTCGACGTAACGCAGGTAGATGGCTTCCTCGACCCTAGCCATAGCCCCTCAAGCGTAGGCGGTGCCCACATCCTCAGTCCGAATAGTTCGGATGGCCTCGGTCCGGTAATCCGAGACTTTGACGAGCTTGAATCTGTCGTGGAGGAGGATGGCTAAGGGTTATGTACTAATAATTCTACGGAAGTCTTTGATGGGTCTTTTTTGGATGGTGGTTTTTGGGACAGGTGTAAAGGGGCAGGGGTTGAAGGAGGAAAATATTTATTTCAGGCACTTTTCATTGATGTAGCTTGTAATTTTATACACGGGCGTGAAGAAGACATGAACTAAGCTAATGGGGTTCGGTTTTTAAACAGGGACCTAATCTAAGGTACCCTAGGTGGTAGGTAGGTAATCTAAGGTAATTTGGGAAGAGTAGGTACAGGAAGGCATACACGTATACAATACCCCGCCAAAAGTCTTGAAGCTATTTCGGTAGCTTACTTGGTATTGACCACATCCAGGCTTTGGAGTAGCAGTTCGAATTCCATTATAAATTCCCATGTAATTTAACCACCGTCTGTCCTGCTCAATTTTTGACGTTACAAGTCTGATCCTGCGCATGTCCTCCTCCGCCCGCCTGGTTTGTATGAATTAGTAGGCTATAACAAACCTCGATGGCGGTATTTATACTTGACTTAAACATGGGTTGTACAATAGGTACGCGATCGTCTTGTACTACGTAAACCGTACCTGGTACCTAGGTAGGTAGGTAAAAGACCAGCCACCTCAGATCCGATTAGAAGGATCAGGTTTTATTCCCAACCCCGCCATTTTTTGAACAGTATACATGACTTGAAGAGTCCGAGGAAGAGCAATATTTATTCCAATGTCCTAGCAATATCAGGTACCCAATCAATAGATTTCAAAGCTGACGTGCAGTTCTTTATGTCGATTCGGCCGTAACTTAGGTGCATAAGGCTACAGGTACCAAGCTCTGTATAAGACACCTAACCTAACCCACGATAGTATCTTTACAGCAGCCTGCAGCCTGGAAATCTTTATCAACTTTAACGAGAAGTCGCCTATAGGCTATCTAGATAACCTATCCAATCTCCGCGGTTGGTCTCTCCCGACGTCATAAGGGTTCGCAAAGAGTAACCAGGCATTCGTTACGCTGCTGCAGCCACTTTAATCATCTCGTATACCTGTCTTGCGCTTATACAGATACAGGCATATAGGAAAGGCAACTTATCAAAAACTCGTTACGAAATCATCTCTCACTCAAAGCAGCGCTTGGCGCATCTTCACTACCACATCAGCTTGCGCTCCTTCACCCTTATTAACACGCCGCCCAAGATCCCGATCCCCAGACCAAGACGGTGAAAAAATCCCCTGCCTGCACATCAACCAACCGCCTCGCTTTGCAGCTCTTGGCGCGCAAGGAAAAATCCATCCATCCCTAGGTACCTAAAACTCGAGCTTCAGCTCGCTGTCGCCTTAACTTGTTTTCCTCCTCTTCTTCATTTTCTCTTTCTTCGTTTTAACATTTACACCATTATATACGACCTTCTCACCTCTCAGCACCATCTCTCCATTATCAGATTTGCTACACCTTAGGTTACCTGCGCGAGCGTAGCCGTCTCTTCACCGCTTGAGAATTGCGCGCGTTCGAAGCACCGCCGAGATGCTGTTCGCTATCTTCTTCGCCTTTTGGCGATTCATGCAGATCATTACACTGGTAAGCTCTCAACCTCAACATAGCATGCCACGGTTTTTTTTTTTTTTTGTCTTGGCTTCGTCTTGACACCGGCGCGCTAACGACGACTTCCCCCCTCGAAAAAGATCCCGACGATGGGCATGCTGGCTTACTTCGTCAACGGCTACGTGCAGCTCAACGAGCTCACGCCCAACTACATCCTGGTCCTGTTTATCGTGTCGGTGCTGGCGTTGGCGTGGTCCATCTACACGCTGTTCAGCTACCACCGCTCGTCGGCGAACGCGACCTTCGTCGCCCTCTTCGACTTGCTGTTCGTGGGGGCGTTTATCGGGGCGGTGTGGGCTCTGCGCATGATTGCCAGCGCCGACTGCGCGCAGATCACGCGCGGCGACCCGTACGACATCCTCTTCGGGCCCTTCGGCAGCGCCTCCGTCGCGACTTGGGACGCCAACGTCGACAAGACGTGCGCCATGCTCAAGGCCTGCTTCGCGTTCGGCATCATGAACGCCGTCTTCTTTTTCGTCACCAGCATCCTCGCCTGCCTGCACGGCGACCGCACCGGCTCCTCTGACCGCACATCCTACTACCGCGAGACGCATTCTCACCGCCACGGTCACCGCAGCAGCCGCAGTCCTCACAGCAGACACAGCACGCACTCACACCGCCGTGTCTACGTGTAAGAAGGCGGGGCTTGTTAGTATATACCTAAACCGGCGCTAGACGGGTTCTAGCGCAATGTAGAAAGCGTTTACATGAATGATGTTAAGGGGAATCCAGGAGTACGGATTCGTAGAGGGATTGGCGTCTGCTCACCTGTCGGAAGGACTGATTTGATTTACGTAATGTTGAAACGAGTTGGAATAGGAATGGAATGGGTCGGGTCTTATGTGAGGACAGCAAGCTAGGCCACCCGGGCTGCTTGAAATGGCCTGAGTATCTGCAGGAAGCGAACACGATCGCGTATATTTCGAGAACTGACCGCGCGCAGCAATAGGTTGGGCAGATCTCGACTCGCAACATGAATGAATTTTAATGATAATGACGGGTTTGACTTCAACAATTCTAGAAGTAGTCAATGTACTTAATGCTGAATGTATGAATGTCTCATGAGTGGTGGCATAAACAGAATACTTGTACTCTAAATTTCCATATGAGAATTATGAGTTCATGGGACAGAATAAAAACGAAATAATGACGTGGGATTGCCTGAGGTATTATACCTGAACAACATTTAGCTCAATTCGTAGAGATAATTGGTTGGGATATCAGGTTTGTTAATATACAAGATTGATTTACTCTAGCTAGACTTTGTATATATAGCCTGATGGATTGAGGAGTATGTATACCATAAGGGCTAGTTAGAAGATGGATACTTCTGGAGGAATATGGCTCAGGGTAGGGCATGATTCTCTACCTACCTACCAGGTATTATATCGTGCGTAGTTAGGGCCTCTGAGGTAGTTAGGTAGCCGCATCAAATATCCATACCATATGTCTTATATCAGGCGTCCAAATTTATTTGATGTGGCGCGCAAGACCAGTATGGTGAGAGAGGATGGATATCAACGGGGACCTGCTGTGCTGTAGGGGCCTTGAGAGGGGTAGCGTATTGGTATTGGCTCTCAGCTCTAAATCGGCGCTTGGGAATAGGTCAGAGTCCGTGGTTCTTTCTGCCTGTCCCTTATACATTTGCAAGAATTCGATATTCGGAGTATTATTCATCTTCGCGGTGGGTATCCAACTTGTTAAAACCTCGTTCGCTTACAACCGGCGAGGTTAGCAAGCTGTCTCATGTCCGTAATTCGTCCTCGCCAACGGTATAGCCTCTAGCAACTCCGCTTCGTCCTTCCTCAACGATAGCGCTCTCCTCTTCCTCGTCCTCTTCGTCCCTAGCATTGAAATCTGTACCTAAGCCCTGCCAGGTTCTCTGCGATCTTAAGAATTCCGCTCCCGGGCTTGCAACGCCGTTTACCAAGGCAATATCGCCGACAACTCGTTTAGCAACCGCGGAACTCGCAGATCCCTGGTTGGAGCTTAGACCAGCAGCGTCAACCTCGGGTGCGCTTCGCGGCGCGCTTCGTATAGCAACTCTCATAGGCCGGCTATGGCTAATGAGCTTGCCTGTGCGGAGATCGAACTCGGGAGGTTCGGACTCTTCGTCGTCGACGCCTCCTTCGACTTCTTCGGGTACTGATTTGGCCGTATCTTCTTGGTCAAGCAATTTCGCGTCGCTTCCGTCGACAGTAGTTGGAGCTTTGACGCCTTCGATACCTCCCCACCATTCGCCTGTCCAAACCCTGCTCTCGTCGCCTTGCAGCGCGAGCGCGAGCTCGAACGGCGTAATAACAGGCTTCCAAAGGCCTTCTTGCTCCACCAGTCCACTCTCCCAGCAGCCGACAACGACCCAGCCGTCCACTTCGGCGAAGTTGGCCAGCTTCGCAGCGTTCAGCTTACCGACAACGATGGTATAACTTTTCTTTCCGGCGGCGGCAATCTGGTTTTTAAGGGTAGAAATCGTCGACATGTAATTCTTTACGGATAGCGTGTTCACCAGAATTCCAATGATAGACGCCGTAGCAAATCGGATGACGAGAGCGTAGCGGCGGCGGAGTAAACCCGGAGTAGCGCTAGGGTCGGGAATTTCGGATGCTGTCGTATAGGGAGAAGAGGGCGTCGGGTATATCCTTAGAGAGGAGAGACGAGAAGAGAGAGTTAGGAGCAAGGAGGTAGGAGGCGTGGAGATGTGAAATAAATGGTATTCGTTCAAGTGGACGGACGTGTCGGAGGTTATAAGTTTGCGATTTGGTATCGTTCCGGTCGGATCCCGTAAGATTTCGGTGGCGATGACGTTGGCATAACCCTTTTCCTCCAACATCTTACTTATGGGCTCGACGTGCTCTTGAAACATGACATCCGCCATCAGCACGACTTTCTCTGCTCTCTCGGGAAACTCCCTCTCGAACGACTCGAATACGGCGTCATAATCTAATGCCTGCCTAGTGAATATGTGTATTACCGGTAGCCTCGAGGTTGGACTCAAGCATGCTCGGCCATAATGTACTACGCCGTCGGCATCCGCGTGTTCGGCAGCGATCTCGTCGACGCAGCAGGCACTATACGAAGTATCCGCTAGGATATACAATCTCTGATTCTGATCGTGCATTTCGGCCTGCCCCTTTCTCAGCTCTGTACCTAGTGCGCCGACAACCCAAGGGGCGTCAGGTAGCATCGCGTCGGGGAATTGAAGCGCGACTCGGTTCCAGCCATTCTGTTGGATCTCGGATGCCGTGCGGGCGATTTCGTAGACTTCGTAAAGCTCACGGTCAGACCTATGGGGACGGTTCGGCTGTGAAATGGCAGAGGACGATGTGGGGTCTTCATTGAACGTATGTTCTGCCGGCGTCGAGAGGATAGGAGGCGCACTTAGTTCGGACGTCATGGCGAGGAGGATGGGGGGAGTATAGATTAGCTGAGGAAGAATTACAAATATCGAAATACGAAATTTTTATTTTCTTTGTCTTTGGAGGGGCTGAGGGGTAGAGGGGTAGGAGGGGTTCTGCATAGTGGGGACAGCGGGTAGTTTTATGCATGTTCAGGTGCATTAGCGTGCTGATTAGTACCTAAGCGACCTATGAAGTACCTGATGCAATAGGACATCAAGAGACACAACTATCCACGACAAGAGACATTTCTACTACAGAGCAAGGTTGTTATTATTAGTATATTCGTAGGCTTGAACATCGTGTCTCGTAAAATTACCATTACCTCTAGCTTCAAAGTTTCACCTGGCCGGCGTTCAATCGTTCCCAGTCACTCTTTCTAAATTTCACATACGTCCCGTCTTGGAGCCAGAATAGCTCATCATCACCAACTAAGGCTGGGTTGACTCCCTGCTCGCGTAGACCGTGCTTCTGCTGCTTATTCGTCCCCGTAACCGCCGCCGTAAGCCCCTTTCCTATTCTGAGGAACAGAGGTACGGCATACTTGGGCAGTTTGTTGCGTGCGTGCTCCGCCAACGACCGTAGCAATGCATCGTCGGGAGCTTCGGCGAGCATAATGGCGGCACATCCCGCCCTTCCATCATGATTTGGCAGCTGCACGCCATACACGTTGGCCTCCTGCACCGCCGGATGCGTACCCAGCGCCTCGCTCACTTCTGTGGTCGCTACGTTCTCGCTCTTCCAGCGGAACGTGTCCCCGATTCTGTCGTGGAAGAACATCCGACCCTCGCTGTCTAGGCTGACAAGGTCGCCCGTCCTAAAATATCCGTCGCCCTTCTTAAATACGTCCCGGAGGATCTTCTTCTCCGTCGCCTCATTGTTGTTATAATATCCTTGAAAGTCGCTTTCTGTGTCGGCTGGCAAGGCCATCAATAGCTCGCCGACTTCGCCGTGGTCCACATGCCGGCAGAGACCTGTCTTGGGGTCGCGCCAGGGACTATCCGTGTCGAGATCTTGCCGTACGATCGCGGACGTGAGCTTGGCTATCTGTCGATAGAGGATTCCAAAACGCCCGATGGCCCCCGACGCGAAATCATTACGGGATAGGTTCCACGTCGCCAGATTACCTTCCGTCGCCGCGTAAAACTCGGCGATGCTTTCGATATCGAAACGCTCTCTGAATCTCTCCCAAATATCTGGTCGCAGGCCGTTGCCGAATGCTACGCGGATGTTGTGCTTCTTATCTAGGTTCTCGCCCGTGGCTGGGTCGATCTGCGGCCGTGCTGCGAGCAGATAGCGGCACGTCTCTCCCACGTATTGAATCATGGTTGCCTTGTGCTGGCGGGCTTCCTTCCAGAACGTCTTTGTTGAAAATTTCTTGCCTATCGCGAATGTGCAACGGCTTTCTAGGCAATGGCTCATGCCCATAATCGTAGCTGAACCGTGATAAAGGGGCATGCACTAAAATATCAATTAGAATATCCATTAGGTTTGAACGCTGCGCGAATATTAGGAGCGAACACGTACCGTGTAGAACACGTCGGACTGCTTCGTCCCCAAGTAGCCACCGATGAAAGATCCCGCCAGGATCAGCTTTTTCCAAGACACAATGGCGGCTTTCGGTAAGCCCGTCGTACCAGAAGTATAGATGAGGATGGCGATATCTTTAGCTGCTTCGCCGGAGCGGAGAGAGTCGGACGGCCTTGCGGGCTCGGCGGCGAGAGCTTCAGCTTTTACCTCCTCCGTTAAGTACTCAATTCGGAGACCTCCCAGACTCTCACGGACGTTATCGTCGATATTCACCGCAACCTCGGGATCGACTAGCATGAGAACAGAATTCGCCGTCTTGACACAGTGGATCAGGGGTTGATCGGTCAGGTTGTAGTTGATATACGCGGGCTTTGCGCCGATGGACCACAAGCCGAAGCTGATGAAGATGAAGTGGACCGAGTTTTGAAGATCAACGGCGACGATATCCTTTGGTTTGACGCCGAACTTAGTCTTGAACCAGTTCCCGTACCTCAACGCCATTTCGTAAACCTCGGCGTACGTCCATGACTTATCTTGAAAGAGGATAAACGGGTGATTGCTGGTTGCCGTATTTTTGGCGGCATCCTCCAGAGTGTAAAATATATTACAACGATCATTTCGACCCCGACTGATAACTCGGTAGATAGCTGGAATAGTGCCGCGTAGCATAATTCTGTCATACCAGAGTCCCGTCTTAGCATTGAAATATGCAAGCCCCGCCGCTGCCGCCGGCAGGGAGAGCGCTAATGGAGCTAAAGGAACAATTAGCACAAAGAGAAAAAATGCATGACTTAAGATCGGTGTAAGTTGAGTGATGTTCAACAAGTACTCGACTCCGACACAACGGGACGGCGCTTGTGTTTGTGACTTACTCGGCATATCCCAGCTTTTGGTAAACCACCCAAATCCTTTCAGAAATAGAAATAGACCAAAGTAGGAAACTCATCAAAGGTACAAAGCTAGGTACGAGCAGTAATATATTTTGAGAAGCTTATAAAAACTAGGCATAGGACGAATGAAGCATTGGCATTGAAGTTCGTGAATACCTGGTAAGAAGATCGTAAGAAAAAAAAAACAAGGAGTATTAAATGTAGAAGACGGGGAGGGAAAAAAAAGTCGATAGCGTTCGGTACAACCTGGGAGCCGAGTAAATATGGAAATAAAATGGCAAGGTACGCAAGGCATAGCTAAGAGGTTAACCTACAGCCTGTAGGCTACAGGCTACCATAGCTTGTCCATGTCATCGATACCTTACATTGGGTGGGCCGAGATGGTTCGTTTCGAGAAGGCTTCCCGTACACTAGTGATTCCAGATCCGCATTATCATCACACCTGTCGGATACCCAGGACCTTGGATTTGGGAGTACGTAGAGGAAAGCTCGTAGGTATTACGGAGAGTACAACTTATATCAGGTCCTTTTCATTCCTTCTCTAAACATGCCTATACCCAATATCTAAAATACATTCGTTCCAAACCCGTCGGTTTTTTTTTATGGTTTAGGTGCCTTACTCATGTTTAGAAGAGGCGTAAGAGCCCTGAGTTTTGTTATGGACATCGGTTGATCCGCGAGCTGAAAAACAGGTACCTAAATAAACCCCCGTACCTGTGAACCTCGGCTTGCAACATCATTGACTTGGTAGACATCTGACAGGCATCCTTGGCCGAGGCTGCGAAGTCGATTCAAAAATAAAAATTACCTAAAGCACTTATATAAGTACCTAAACCACCAGGTAGGTGACCTATCCTGTAGTCTATCTGTCTTTTAGATTACTCTATATATGCGTGCATAGCGAGACATGATGAAGTACCTGTATGTACTCGTTCGGTCAGCGCTCTTCAGTGATGTAGGTGGGGGTTTATTGGATAACATAGCAATTGTTTAAGGTTGTCAATCCAATGCGATTTAGCCCTTTCAACATTCAGGGAGTACTGCTTAGTCACATATCCTAGGATCCTAAAGGCTATGTACCTACCTGTACCTGGTATGTAAGGAAGCCCATGCAGACGGGGCTAAATTAGCACCGCAGCACCGGAAACCTTCCGCTGTCATTAAGGTTAGGTACCTATTTGGAACTTGGACATTTTGCGACACGTTGGCACTTTTCATCCGGTACCAACGACGTAGCGAATTCCAAAGCCATGCTTCCAAGAGGGCCCTGCTGATATATATTGAGCCATGTCGTCGTCTATTTCCGCAGCCCATCACGGTAATATCCTGGCCGAAAGCAACCCGGCTGCAGCGATTGATAGCGACAGCTCGAAGACCAATGACGAGAAGAGCCCGGTGTCAACACCAAAGCAGCCCCCGCCGGAAAAACCAGAAGATATTCGTAGGCGGTCCTACATCGTCGCATCCTTTTGGTTTATTGTATTATTCCTAGGCTTGCCGATATGGTGGAAGACGACCACGATATACCGGGCAGATCTGCCCCTGAGCCAGATGATGGACTGGGCCGACGGCAGGGTTAGAGAGGGCAGCCTTCATAAACGTCTAATGGAAAGTTAACTGATTTATTTCTGCTTCAAGGCCTGTAGTCCGGTTTTTCCAATTAAGATCGCCATCGACGCGCCGAACTTGCCAAAAGACGAGACCGATAATCTCGTGCGAATCACGCAACAAGCGTTAGACACCGTCAATGACTTCAAAGGACATCATCTACAGCTCGAAACATCTCCATCCGCCGGTAAACATCTTATCCACAACTCGGACATTGCCCTCACGATACGCCTTACTCCTGGCGACGCCGCTACTTCCTCCCTCCACTCGCAAGAACCCATCCTCGAAGTCACCTACCCTCCAAACTCGATACCAGCATCGGATGCTGCTTCTTCCGGATTTGCGACGTATTTGGCAACACAGCTTCGATTAGCCTTCTCCGAAGAGCGAGGTGTTATGTCATATCTCCTAGCGAAGTCTTCTATGCCGTTTGAGCAACGACCGCTAGAAACCACTCAAGACTCGACGGATTCTTTGGAGAAGCGAATGACGAGGTCCCTGAAGTACTCCCGGACCTATCATCTCACGTTCTCGTTATTTACGAGCGGACCGTCCCCGAGCAGCTGGGATATCGAATCAGCTATAGACGAATACATGAAACCAATATTGGACTTGCTCGGGCCTATCCATAACTTTACTATCGACACCCAAGTTCAGCTGTACGCTACTCCCGGCGTACAATCGCAAGTTCTGAGCAAGGAGGACCTATCTTCTTTCATCAACGCTGCCGAATGGCCGCTGTCGCCGTCTATAGGAGGCGCCCCGACAGTCAATTTCGTGGTATTTATCGGCAATCAAACTATCGGTACGACCTCAGAGGTCGGCACATCCCAGTCCTGGCTTATACCGCAATGGGGTTCCGTGTATCTCTTGCCACCCCCGTCTACGAATCATGTGGCTTCGGAAATGCTAAAGCAGCCTGTCTTGACATTCGCCTCGCATCTGCTCTCGCTACTCGGCACGCCGCAATCAGGTTCCTTGCCCATGCGACTGTCGACGCTTACCCGCATCCGATCCGCAGACGTGCTCCTGCGCGCCTCCTCTTCTCTAGGATCGCTAGCTCGTCTCTCGCTGGCCCTTCCGAGCATATCTATCCCGTCTAGCGTCGCTGACGGCGTGGCTAAGTCCATGTATCACTTACGATTGGCATGTTCCAACCTCGGCGGAACGGAGGGTCTTGAACACGCTCGCATTGCCGACGTAGAGGCCGAGCGCGCGTTCTTCGAGAAGAGCATGGTCGGACAGCTTTACTTCCCCGACGAGCATAAGATAGCTGTTTACCTGCCCCTGTTAGGCCCTGTAGGGGTGCCTCTGGTTATTGGCCTGCTGAGCCAGATCAAGGCCTGGAAGGCGGCGAGGGCGGGAAAGTGAAAGCGGCTTAACGAAGTATCTTGGCTTAAAATAATTATTGCGTATTAAAAAACGTGGGCACTAACGTTCCGAGATCGAAGTGTTAAAAGTATCACGAACGTGTTGCTATTTTGCTAGTGGATATAAGCGTTATTGTCTTAGACAGGACTGAGCGCTAAGTAGAAGTAGGGCTCATAACCGGTGGCTTCGCCTTTGGTTCTTCAGCAGTCGTACGAGCATTGCCAGCGTTGACTCCTGAGGCGAAGAGGGAGATGACAGCCTCTCGGCTAAACTGTGTTAAAGGGTAAACTCGAGACACTTGTATGTGAGCCACGCAGATCATAGCTCATAAATAATCAATAGTTCCAAGAAGAAATCGTGTACATGTGGTTCCACGGCATTTGTATCTATTCAGAGTAGTATATGATAGTGAAATTCGCCGAGATGAAGCTCTAGGTAGGTTAGTAGTTCAATTTATGGTCTCGCAGGAGACGTAGACAACCTTTACGTAGATTCCTTGACTAATATACAGACTTCGATCATATCCCGTCTCAAGTCATCCTTGATTCAATGCGTATAGCCCTTAGCTCATGTATCCTGACCCCTTAGTATAGGAGGTAACTGGAAGAAAATGTACCTGCATTTCACAGTAAGAGAAGACGATACTACTACCTAAGGCAGGGTGTCATATTGTAAGCTACCTAGTGGGGTGAGATCGAGTTAGTTCTACTTTAGGGACCAGGTATGCAGCCAGGCTTTTGTTGGTCACTTCTTACCACGTTCCCAGTTATTTTAGTGTCCTTCGTCTCAGTCTTATAAAGTCACAGGAACGTGTTGATTTCGAATCTTGGCTTTTCTCATTTCATATCTCGTCTATTCCAACAATACGATCCTATAGTTAGCTACCTAAAGTAAACGTAGATTCACGATGAGTAATTAGAGAGGGGAAAGAAAAAGAAATAAAAAGAAGAAGAAGAAAAAGAAAAACTTACCTAGCTACACGTATCCCTACCATGAGCCTATCCGAAACGGCTCCCATCATCCCGCTGCATCCGCTCTCGGCAATTCTGCCGTCGACATCGTGGAAGCAGCTCATCATCCCCGGCGTCCTCCTATACGTCGGATTATGTAGGGCGTTACGCCACCGCCGCGAACATGCCTTGCGCCGGAAACTTGGGTACACCGACCGGGCATCCTTTTCGCGCATGACGGTCGTCGAAGCCCAGCAGGTCATCAAGGTTATGGCCGCGTGGGAGATGCCGCTCTCGCACTTCCTGGCGCTGGAGTTTGGGCTCTTCAAAGTGAGCTGAGTACCGCCGGTTATACAGGCTTTCGCGGTAGTATTTTTGCTGACGTTGGTACGCCGGTTTGTTACTAGACGTATGGTGTTGAGAGCATAAGTCGTTTGCTGCTCGGCACGAGGAACCTGACGGATCCGGCCATGAGCCCCAAGAGGTGAGCGGGAATTGTTCATTTTTTTTCCTATTTGAATAGCGAGCCATTGAAATCGAGTAGTTGGGAGGCGAGTACAGAGGAAGGGGTACATGCCGTACATGTTGCGTGGCAAGCCGCTAAATAACTTGCAGGTTTGAAGATACAGCAGCTCTGATCGGCGAGTTCATGATAAACCCGCCAACATCCGAGCGGGCTGTGCGAGGCCTAGCGCGGATGAACTTCCTTCACAGCAAATACGTGAAAGAAGGGACCATCTCGAACGCCGACCTCCTGTATACATTGTCTGTGTTCATATTGGAGCCGCCACGCTTCGCGCGGCTGTACGAGTGGCGTCCGATGAATGATATGGAGTACTGCGCCTACGGCGTGTTCTGGAAGTCTGTGGGCGACGCGATGGGCATCGAGTATAAAGGCCTCTTGGCGCACGCCGAGTCCGGATGGCGAGACGGGACCGAGTTTGCGGATGACGTTGCGGCCTGGGCTCAGGCTTACGAAGTCCAAGCTATGAAGCCCAGTCCCGTATGCGCCAAACCCGCTCGAGCGCTGATACCTATGATAACGTATTGGGTCCCTTGGTTCGCGAAATCGTTTGTGGGCGATATCGCCATCAGTCTTCTAGGCGACAGGGAGCGCGAGGCTTTTATGTAAGTCAACTGCCTCTTTGCTTGCAATCTTACTCTCTGGTTTGGTAGCGTTTAGGTCGCATACCTACATCTGTGTTACCTTTTATAGGGCGGGAGGTTGACCGGTTTATTCCCTTGGCAGGTTACCTGAGCCCGACATCGCGGCCGTCGCGACCGCGTACGCTCTCCTCGCGGTTCGGCGATTCGTCTTGCGATACCTCACCCTGCCGCGCTTCTTTGAGCTCAAACGGCTGCGCGATCCCGACCCGAAGACGGGCCGCATCACCCAGCGGATCCCTTACGGAAACTATCCCTTCTACATCAGACCAACGCTCTGGAATCGCTGGGGGCCAATCGCCTGGGCTAAGTGGCTATGCGGCGGCAAGGTGCCCGGGGACGACCCTGAAGAATACATGTCCCAAGGATATCTATTCACGGATATAGGCCCTAAAAATCGCATGGGGTTGGGGGCTGAGGAAATGGAAAGCGATGTTGAAAGGATCAAGGCCAGCTCGTGGGCAGAATGCCCTTTTTAGGGGATTGGATTAACAGGTAGTTAGAGTATCTAGCTATGAGTTTGGAAATGGGTCACAGCATCTTTGTTCAAGCTTCACAACATACGTGTATCATATAAAGTGTCGGGATAGAAGCGCCGACTGTGTGATCTAACTACCTGTATCTACCTATAGGTTAGGTACCTCCTACATAACCATGTGTATGACAGCAAAAGAGGTATAGACTTTGTAGTATATAGGATATGTCTGGTCAAGACGGTTTCTTCGTATTTGAAGATCGGATTTCTGGATTAAGAAGTCTATACGGTTTAAATCGCATCAAAACAAGCCATTACTAGTGCTGTTTACGTATACTCGACGTCGCACCCCTTTGGGGTGCTGCGCTTTAATTAGGAAATCGGGCAGTAATTAGGCTAGCGTACTAGACTTTAAGCACTAGTAAAAGGTTATTCTGATCCCTATTGCTTACTAAAAGTAAAATAATAATAATAATATTTTATAAAATTTTATAAATATTGGAAAATACTTTAGAATGTATAGGAATTATATTTGTTCGGAAGTATTTTAAATTAAATTTTTAATTTTACCCGTTTTTTAATTAAAACATAATATTTTAAAAAGGTATAATATTAATATAATAAAACTTTAATACAACGAATTAAATATATAATAAATTTATAAAAGTTTTTTAAAATTTTATATATAAAATAATAAATTTTTTAAATTAATTATTATTAAATTTATTATAAAAATATTTTTTTTTTTAAATTTAAATTAATTTTATTTTAATAAATTCTTTTAATAAAATAAATTAAGCGCTTTACCCTTTTAGGAAGTATTTTTTAATGTATCTTTTTTTTCCATAGCGAATTTACTATATAACGAATTTAACCTTTTAATTTTTCTAATTCGTTATATTAAAGTTTTACTATACCGCGCCTTTATTCTATTTTAGGTATGTAAGTAGTCCAAACCAATCCGTAGAAATTCACTGTTGTGGGGTACAACAGGGGTAACCGACCCTTTCTTATCAGATTCTGCATTTCAATAATATAAACCCCCTTTAGAGCCGAAATCATCAGCGCCCGCTTGGCACAGCGGTAATGCGCCTCACTAGTACTTTCACAGTACTACTAAGGAAGCTATGAGGAGATGACTGGTTCGACTCCAGTAGTGGGCATTTCTTTTTGCTAATTTTCTTCCCATATCATGGGTCGTGGAATTTTTACTCAATCATGTTTTTGCTAAATACCTTCAGAAGTCCTTCAATTATTTATTTATTTATTTACTACTTGATTTCTATGTTACGCAAAAGGTATAGGAGTTCTTGTCTTTCATATTAAATACTATCTATACTCCAGTCCTGTTCAACCTTCGCGTCAGTCAATTCATCCGTTCCGTAGACGAGGACTCCAATCCGGAGACAGCATCACTTACCTAGGTAGGTACCCAAGGTAAACAACACAACGTAGAACATAGATACAGGCCCGCCTGGGTAGGTAATCTAAAGACCCGGCTGATCCGACACGGCCCGTAGGAACTCCTCACATGCGAACCGGAATCATACAGGTGATGAGCAAACAACTTTGCAGACCAACGCCCAAAAAGGTAACGATGCCGACGAGCCGGGCCGTCCCTTGCGATAAATTATAGAACGAACCGGCTCCATCGGAACGTTCCATTCAAGTGAAATAAGAAGCAGGGTGTTTTCTGGAACAAACTCCATTTTAGGTATGTTAGTTGAGATACGTGCGACGCAACCGTCCTTGACATTTTCTCGAGGCGGTGTGAGTGTCTCTTTTTATTTCCGACCTAGCGACCTTAGGTACCGACCGTCCTTCATTCCTAGGTCCACCTTTAGGGTTCGTTTCTGGATAGGCTTTCGGCTTATTGATTCCTCAAGCAGCCCGTGGCAGCAGTGCCCGTCGAACGACAAGAACAAGACGTAAGGAGACATCCAAGATTGGTCGGCCTTGTACGACATGCGAATCATCGAAAACTCTTCTCTGTCGATGGTAGCAGGGATATCTCTGTTTCGGTATCAAAATATGGCAAGCCCAACGTGACCATACGGCCTGCCGGCTCTCTTACAGACGGACGGGTTAATGCAAGCTTGTCTATAGTTTCCATATGCTCCAATGAGAGATGGCAATGCTTATGTAGGAGACACCGTCAGACCAGTCGGAAAGGACTGACACTTGGCCTGCTTGCCATCCCAGCAGATCCTAAGGAGAGGAGACGGCGGCAAATTCTTCCAGGCCATCTGCTTTCTCCAATCTCCAATTCGGGAGCCCGTGCAATTATTTTGATCCCAGCTATGTAAACTGCGTAGCCGATTTGTTTATCTGGACATCCAGACATCATCGATGTAACTCACACGTATAATCTGTCAGTCCTTATGTCCAACTTGCATTACCGTACCGTGTTTTACTCAATGGCTCGATATAGTTCAACGGGCTTCTCCATTTTGATCCCAGCAGATAAAGCCCAATGTGTCGTAATGCATACGAGCTAATACTATGTAGAGCTGGGCAGCGAGAAGAGCTTCCCTTGTGAGTTGCAGCCAGCCTCGACGCATATCCAGTCCGGCCCCTCCCCCCACTATCGAACATCTGACCACCAACAAGATTACTATTTCTGGGGAGGCTCTTTTATTTAGTATTTTCTTTCTAGGAAATCCCCTTACTCACCAGCCGAGGCTCGAACTTTCAGCCTTTTATTTTTATTTTTATTTTCTAGAAACATATTTTGTATATTCAAGCGTTGAAGATCTGGGGCGGTACTAAATCTTTTCTCACTTACACGACTAGGCAACCTACGAGGCAACTTAGGAGGTAACCTAAGTAATCTAGGTAACTGAAAGAGGAACGACGGGTAGCTAGCAAGATGACCGAAAAAGCGTCGACAGCAGCATCGGGTGCTGCTCCAGGCGCCACCGCCCAGCAAGCAACGTCGTCCACGCCGGCGTCTCCAGCAGCAGATCCCTCGCCCGAGCCTCAAACGTCACGGACCGGCAACCCTGATATTCTTCCCGCATCACACTGGGCCCAGCTACCTGTATGTTAGAAACGTGCTTGAGCCTATTTTAATAGATACGAGCTGATTGGATGTCTTCCAGCCCGTTAATGTTCGCGACGATGATGATTCGGCCTTCGAAGACGCTGCCAGCTCGACCGCGTCCTTAACAGCTAGCATCCTCGAGTATCGAACGGTCAATGGGCGCACGTATCATAGTGAACGCGGCAACGCGCAATCATGGTAGGATGAATATCCGGGGCATCGTCCTGTAAGAGCTCGCCGGTGCTGATTTTTGCGCGTTAAGGGGCCCGAACGATGCTATCCACGACGAATCTATGGACATCTTGTAAGTCCCAATGACGCTTTTATTTCCATGTAAGACCGAATCCGCCTAACCTTGATGCTTTTTTTATAGTCATCATACCGCGATGATCATGCTAGATGGCAAACTCTGCGCGGCTCCTCTTGACGATAACATTCAGGTGAGAGAGCTGCAGAGCAGTCAGCTCATCATCATGCTAAGACTTATGCTAAACTTGTCGTAGAAAGTGCTGGATGTAGGTTGCGGTACCGGTAAGTCGCACAATACGAGAATATTATTAGAAGTCTAGAGAGCTACCTGTCAGAAGCCATGGCAAGGTACTTGACTAACATAATTGATAGGTATATGGGCAATGTAAATATTCGGCAGTCTCAAAACTAGTTCGTACTTATATGCTGATATATTTTATATTTTAGTGACTTTGCCGACCAATACCCCAACGCTGAAGTGATCGGTGTGGACGTTTCACCGCAGCAGCCGCAATGGATCCCGCCCAATCTAAGATTCGAAGTGGACGACGTGACACAGCCGTGGACGTACGAACCGGAAAGCTTCGATTATATCCACGTACGCTGGCTTGTCGGTTCGATTCCGGATTGGTATGCTCTGTTCAGAGAAGCCTACCAGGCGTTGAAACCCGGCGGGTACTTGGAGAGCCAGGAATCGTCGTGTATGATCACTAGCGACGACGGGACGGTCAAGGAGGGCTCCCCTCTGGATCAGTGGAGCAAGGTATTCTCGGAGGCCGGAAAGAAGATCGGCCGCACGTTTACCGTTATAGAAGAAGACCTGCAGAGGAAAGCGATGGAGGCTGCGGGTTTCGAAGTTACGTACCAGGAAGACATCAAAGTAGGCTGTTTAACTTGACGTGAAAGCTCCCCTCGTATTACAAGGTTAACATTGCGCCTACAGACGGCATTGAGCGGGTGGCCGCGAGATGAGAAGCTCAAACAGATCGGAATGTACACAGGCCTCGCCGTGGGACAGGATATCGAAGGTATAGTCTTTTATGTTGCCTATTTTGAAGCTTTTCGAGTTGACTTTATAATTAACTATTATTCCCTTCCTCTCGCAGGGTTCCTGACTTACTTGTGGACGCTGGTTATGGGCTGGACTCCGGAAGAAATTCAGGTATACGCAGCACATCTCCGGCGCGATATGCGATCACCGAAAATCCACGCCTATTATCCCACCAGGATAATGGTTGGTCGCAAGCCGCTGAACGCGACGACAACTTCGTAAATAAACTTGTATAAATGTTTCTGTCATATGAAGATATTTGTTACCTCGCATGAAATTTCTATATGAGATGAAGAAGTTTGTTTCTACAGCGATCGTGAAGTGCGTCAGTGCTGAAGCTGAAGCAGCACGGAAGCCAGCAGGTAGCAAATTACTTACACAGTGCTAATCTTAGGTACCTATATGTCTGCTATACCTGACAGTATAAGGATTCTTAAGACGACTTATACGCATGTGGCGTGCTATCAAGTCATAAGACAGGTATTAATGCAAGACTTATGCCCTCATATAAACGTTTTACTATGCATCCTTCTACCAATACTCAGGTAGGTAGGTACCTAACCTAACCTAGTATTTATACAGCTTTTCTTTCTTCAAAAATAGTTATGCATAGGTACTAGGTAGTTATTACTTTCACAGGCACTGAATATATGTATATCCATCCCCTTACCCCAGATCTCGTAGATGGAATTACCCCACACAAGCTTCCTTCTCAATCGCAACAAATACAACTCACACTTGAATCAAAGTTGTTGGCCTTTCTATCCCGATACCAACTCATCGCGGCATTTCACTTCTCGTCTTGGCACATTTTCTCAGTTTGTTCCCTTCGGAAACCAAGTCGATAGTATGGGATCGCAAACTAACAACCAAGCGCAACCCCAGCTTGGGATAATCCTTCGCGGCATCGGCGAACTCGTTGAAGCAGCATTGGAGGCAAACAATATGATTGTCCAGGACGACGCTGTCAAGCCAGACGCCCTCTTACTTCGCACTCGCCAATCTGAACTGCTAAAGGAATTTGAGGACGTGATCCTGACAGTTCAGAAGAGAGCATCCAAGGCGATCTACGACGTAAAGACGAAATTGAGATTATTAGAGGACTTACCAGGTATCATCACAGGAGGCGAGCTAAACAGTCTACTGGGTTGCATGCTCTTAGGCCGTCGGCCGAGTTATAAGCTTCGCGATCCCGTGGATGCCGTTCCTTGTCCCCAGCTGGTTACTTACGATGACACCAACCCGGCGCCGCCCCATAACCTTGGCGATACCACCGTGGCCTTGCAACCTACCTTGCGAAACGTCTGGGTGGTCCAGCATGCTTATGCCACGCTGCTGAACTACAAGGAGATGCTTATCCACCGATACCTTGCTGTGGCGGAGGAGAGTGCTGTAAAGAGCCGTAAGATCTCTCGAGAATACTACGAAGACCTCAGCTTGGCTCAGCTGCCGTCGAAGAACAAGCTCGGTAATCTGCTCGACGTCAAGTATTCGTCGAGTAATTATGCAACCCACGATCTCCAAATCGTCCTCGTGTTCAAGGAATTTAACGGCGGCCTCAGATACGTGGAGGCTGTGAAAGGCGACCTGGTCGACATAGGAAACAACGAGAACGGCCAATATCTCGCCATACCTGCTACCGAAACGAGCCTCAAGAATCTGTACGATGTATATAGGTCCCTGAGACAGACGACTTCGGAACAGCGTCGCGCGACTAAGGACAAGGAATTTGCGGCGAAGCTACCGGCCGATGAGATGGACGAGCTTCAAAGGCAGTTTAGCTCTGCAGGAGCTGGGTTGGTTGATGATACAAAGGATAGTAGAAATAAGAAGCGTCGCCGGATGCTTGACGATGACGGTCATGATGACGAAACTAGCGGATAAGCGGTGGAAACTAGAGAATACGCAACGAGGGGATTCGTTTCTCGCAGTTCTTCAGCAGGCTCGGCACAAGGTGTAAGTGTCACTTTGTGCCGGTATATCGTGTCTCACAGTTCAACGGCCTTTAAAAGTACGGAATACCTTAGGTAGGTACCTGGCAGGTAGGTAGTTTATGGTCGTTATTTAGCGAGAGCGTTTTACTGGACACATTGGTCTCGGTCGAGATTAATCGACGATGATAAGCGGCGTGGGTAAAAGAGTGTGTGTTGTGATCTTATTAGTTGAATAATTATCATCAGATTACCTGATGCAACGGCATGGTGCCCATTGCGTCAACAGCTAGCTGGTGGACCTGTCGGCTTGATTGGGGTAAGGTAATTTCCTTGATAGGAAGGACAGCCAAGAGGAGGACGAAAATGTCGCGATAAACGATCTAGTGTTGTTGATAAGCAGGGAAGGATTTAGAGAAAGAAATTACCATATTCATTCCCTCGAGCTGAACGTAGACGGGGCAAGACATTGCGAATGGGTATTGCGAATGGGATTACCCAAATCATGGATGCGGGGTGATGCGAATAAATCTCCCCGGAGCAGGTATTCGTTGGGCGTATTATCTCGTAAGTCATCAAGTAGTAAATATCAAGACGGCTCTATATAGGTACCTACCTACCTCTTAGGTAGTCTCCATTGGAGCGCTGAGCTGAATATCCAAGGTAACTTACAGCCTCGATCCCTACCATCTCTCTCTGTCAGGGGGTTCATGTACGACCCAGATACAGGCTAATGCAGGCTCAGTTACCGAGTTGGTACTGAGCTGTAAATAATCCTTGATTGCGTGTTTGCGCCGCGGGCGCAGTGCGAGTACAAGTACGACTCCCTTGCCAGCCGTGTTGTTTTTTTGTTTTTTTTTTTTGATATTCTTTGTTCTCTTTGTTGTCAGTTCGTCTGGTGACATATTCGCGGACCAGTTTCTCCTAACTGCCTCCTCGAGCGCCATGTCGTCCTTCAAGAGCATCGCAGTTGCTGCCTTACAGCTAGGCCTTCTAGCGAATACAGGGCTCGCGAGGTCATGTCAACGAGCTCCGAGGCTGGGCGCTGTCGCATCTGAAAGCTCCGTCTGTTCCAAGATCGGGACTGACCTACTCCAGGCCGGTGGAAATGCCGCCGATGCCCTTGTCGGAACTGTGCTCTGTGTCGGTGTTATCGGCATGTATCACAGCGGCATAGGCGGCGGCGGTTTTATGCTCGTGCGAGGTAGCGATGGGAAGTACGAGTTTATCGATTTCCGAGAGACGGCCCCAGCTGCTGCTTTCGAGGATATGTATAATAACAACACCGACGCCAGCTTATATGGCGGCCTGGCTAGGTAACTAATCCCCTCTTGGATGGACAATTCAATATTGCCCTTGTCTTTCGAAACGAAGCTGAGAACTAACCCGTCGCAGCGGTGTCCCGGGAGAGCTTAGAGGTCTGGAGTACCTGCACAAGAACTACGGAAAGCTCCCGTGGGCCGACGTGGTGAAACCTGCCGTGAAGGTCGCCCGGGATGGTTTCGAGGTGACCGAAGATCTCGTCAAGTACATCGCATCCACGACACCAAATAACTTCCTCAAAGATGACCCTGCCTGGGCTGTCGACTTCGCCCCGAACGGCTATATAGTCAAACTAGGCGAGACCATAACGCGCAAGCGCTACGCTGACACTCTGGAAATTATCGCCAGAGAGGGTGCGGATGCATTTTACACGGGCGATATCGCTAAGGCCACCATTGCGGCCCTTCGAGCCAACAACGGAACCATGACGCTCGAGGACCTGAAGAACTACACCGTTGCGATCAGGAAGCCTTCCGAGATTAAGTATCGGGGCTATAAGCTTACGAGCATCAGCGCCCCATCGAGCGGTGTGGTGGCTCTCAGCGCCTTAAAAGTCGTCGACGGCTACGAGAATTTCGGCAATCCCGCTGCGGTCAACCTGACGACTCACAGGTTAGACGAAGCCATCAAGTTTGCGTACGGCCAGCGATCCGAACTCGGCGATCCCTCTTTCGTTGAAGGCCTCGATGAATATCAGGAGTCCATGCTTTCCGACGCGACTGCTGCCGAGGTGCGCTCCAAAATCTCCGATTTCCAGACTCAGGACGTCTCGTACTATGACCCCAAAGGTCTCGAGAGTCTTGACACTCCGGGCACAAGTCATATCGTCACCGCCGACAAGAGCGGGTTGGCTATTAGTCTTACGACGACCATCAACTTGCTCTTCGGATCTCGACTCATCGTACCCGAGACCGGCGTTATTATGAACGACGAAATGAACGACTTCTCCATACCCAACTCGAGCAACGCGTTTGGCTATATTCCCAGCCCGGCGAACTTCATCCGCCCGGGGAAGAGGCCGCTATCTTCGATCTCAGGGACCATAGTCGAGACAGCCGACGGCAAGCTGTACTTTGTCATAGGATCCGCCGGTGGTAGCCGCATCATCACAGCTACTGTTCAGAACATCCACCACGTGCTCGATCAGAACTATACGACGGCCGAGGCGCTGGCGGAACCCAGACTGCACGACCAGCTCAGCCCTCCGCAGATCTCGTTCGAGTACTTGTACGATAATAGCACGGTCGCGTACCTGAAGTCTCTGGGGCACAACGTGACCTGGGTGGCGCCCGGCCAGAGCACGGCGCAGGGTCTGCGATTGTTGCCGAACGGCACCTTCGAAGCGGCTGGAGAACCACGGCAGAAGAACTCGGGCGGCTTCGCGGTATAAGGGCTCGGATGACGGACTGTACTATATAGAAAAGATTTATGTTGATATGATATCCTTGATGTTCGGGCCATTTCCGTTGTACCAATTCCTCATCTTTACCCCTTAGATATCTGTTTATTGGATCGGCAGCTGAGAGAAGCTCGTTAAATAAATTATAAATCTAAAATATTAATTCAAACTTATTGGATCGAGTCTAGTTCGTGTCTGTGTCTGGATTCATCTCAATTTACAGTTGTTTATATTTTGTAACGCCCTGAGTCCGCTATAGTTGAAGAGCGCGGTGTGGTTCTTAGCTGATGGCTAGCGAATTGAATAACCCATACTTGAGGTATCACTTATAAGACTGACACTGACATGCATACCGTGCCATTATGCTTGTACACGAAATTCAGGGCTCTTGGTTATTATAGGCGAATATCAATGGCGGGCGTTAATATTTAAGCCCCATTCCAACGATTCAAGTCCAAGTCACTTGGAATTTACCGTAGCTAGTCGACTCTTGATATTTACAGCTAGATTAACTTGATCATGACAACCCTTCCTAGCCGAATCTCATTATATCCTGCCCAGCTTCAATTTCGGCAGGTCTTGTCACCTTACGGTATCGGGTAAGCTTACTGACACTTCTATAGTCTAGAATTAAGGGGCACCTTAAACAAGTCCGTAGTACTCAGCAAACGGGTCGTCAGTCTGGTTCAACGCGTTCCACTCTATCATGTTCCGGACGCTCTCGCTTTCGTTCCTGCCGTACAGCTTCTCAATCCAGTTCAAAGTCATGTCCGTGCCGGCGCTGACTCCCGAGCTGGTCCAGATGTTCCCGTCGACTACCCAGCGGGCCTTGGCGATCCAGTTGACCTTGTCCGCGTGCTCGACGGATTTGACCCAGTTGAAAGCAGACTTGTTGCTCGTAGCGTTCTTGCCGGCGAGCTTTCCGGTACGAGCCAGCAGCGTGGCGCCGGTGCATACGCTCATCAGGTAGTCGAGCTTCGGCTCCTGCTCGATACGACTGCGGATCCAGTCGACGTGAGGCTGCGTAGCGCTGATGTTCAGGGTGCCGCTGCCGCCCGGCACGATCAGAACGTCGATGTCAGGCGGGTTGTCGAAAGTGTGCGTCGGGAGGACGAACTCGGTGAAGTTGGGCGATGCCGACACGGCCTCCACGCCACTGCCCACGCCGCGTATGATGGTGCGGTCGATGCTGACGGGCTCCAGGTTCTGCGCGATCAAAGACAACGTCATGTTGTAGTTCACGGAGACCATGTTCAGCACGCCGAGCGGGCCGAAGACGTCTATCGCCGTGAAAGCTGGGAACAGCACGTAGCCGATGCGGAGGGGACCTGCGGGACCTAGTTAGCCAGGATGAAACGCTTCGTGATGTTAGGTACCTAGATAGGTGCCGGAGACAACTTACTGGTGATGTTAACCATGGTGGGCGATGATGATCTTGTTGGTAGTAGTATGAGTTGGTTTGAGGTTGGTTTGAGGTTGGTTCAAGCTGGATAGGTTCTTGTAGACCTGGCATCACTAGGTGTTTATATATTTGCCCTTCTACCAACTTGAGGTAACTTCGCACACGTGTGACTATCGTGGATGGGTTTAGAATTCTCCGTGTAGTGACACGTTGCCCTACCTGGTAGTCAACTCATCCGAGTCATCTCGGAGAGAGCGTCTTTGAGTGGAATATAAGCTGCAGGAAAGGGGTTGGAAACAGGATCCTCCGTGGGCCGCCTTTTACTTGTAGGTGGATGCTTTACATGACATGACATTAGGGACCTGCATGTATGCTTAGATTCCTCTGCGTCTCTCTTGTATCCAACATCACGTATGGTCCATTGACTCCGAACGAGATCGGAAGGGATATCTTAGATATTATATCATTAATGGAAACTTGATGGAGATTATAAATCTAACAGGCGACTATCGGAAATAACTTCTTGTTGACCAGGCAGAATGCCGTCAAAATAAGTGCCTAACACCAATATTCCCTTCCACCAACCTTTTTCAGCGAAATTTTATAATTATTCTAGTAGTCATTTTGATAGGCTACAAGACGATTCGGTAAAGTTATGCGTATAGCAAACTAACCTGCTTGGTAATGGAATAGGCACTTTTTTTTGACGCCATTCTGCCAGGACAGTAGAGCTCTTTATTCCAACCCGAAACAGAAGCGGAGAACACCATTCGTTGCCGTCAATCACTATAAAGTCCTACTCAGCATTAGGTACCTCCTGGAGATAGGTATCTTAGGTTAGGTAGTTTTTACCTTATCGATACCTAGGTAGTTGGGGATATCAATAATCCGCTACCTACCTCCTACCATACCAGCATCTAACGATCCCAGTAAACCGTGTTATGACCGTTGCATTACAGTACGAAAAAAATAAACGCTTAAAAATTCCTGAATAGCTGATCGAGCGTTTAAAAATATAAATATTTAAAGGCGTTTTGACATTTTTTTAAAAAAATAAACGCATATATATATAAACGTTTACATTTTTAAACGTTTGAGAATTTTTTAAACGCTTAAATTATGTAACGTTTAGGTAATATAAACCATTAGATTGCGGTTTAACTGCAGTAGCAGTAGCAGTAACAGTAGCTAAGTTGAATTGAAAAAAAAAAGATTCATTTGCTTAGCCTTAAATTCAAACTATTACTTTGTATGGTGGTTTATTTCAATGTTCTAAGCATGCATTTACTACCTTGACCATAGTGGCTATTACGAATTACGTTACACGCGCGTACGAGAAGCTACCTTATTTTAATATATCAAGGTAGGGAAGGTAGGTATCGTAGCTTCCTCTTGGAAGAGGCTCTTACCTCTTGGGAAAGGCTTTTACCTAATAAGACCCTGAGATATTTAAACGCTTATTCAAAATAAATGATATTCAAACGCTTATCTTGAAAGATAAACGCTTAACCTAAGATAAACGCTTTTATATTTTCTAAACGTTTCAATACGATTAAATATCAAAACACCTGTAGACATTAAGAAACATCAACATCTAATATTTAAAGTATTTTGACAAATTTAATTATATTATATTAATTAAAAATTTCAAACCGTATATACACGGTTTACTGGTTCCCGCGGATCCCCGTAAGGTACCTACCAGGTACTAGTGCTGTCTGCGTAAACTCGACGACGCACCCCAAAGGGGTGCTGCGCTTTAATTAGGAAATCGGGCAGTAATTAAGCTAGCGTACCAGACTTCAGACACCAGTAAGAGGTTATTCCGATCCCTGTTACTTACTAAAAGCGGAAGAGAAACATCAAAATTTTATGAAATTTTATGAATGTTGGAAAATACTTTAAAACGCGTAGGAATTACATTTATTCGGAGGTACTTCGGATCGAATCCTTAATCTTGCCCGTTTCCTTAATTAAAGCGCAGCACCCCTTTGGGGTGCGTCGTCGAGTTTACGCAGACAGCACTAGTACCTAACCTTCCTCCAGATAATTATTTTAGTATCATTTATTAATGTTTGCTCTTCAATATTAAAGGTAGGTACCTAGCTAAGGTATAATGCAGCCTAGGTATCTACCACCTAGGTACAGGTAGGTATCTACCAGGTAGGTGATCTTACAACTTGCTTTCTTCAACTCATAATCTCTATTCTCTACATCAAAATGAATTTGCAACCTCAATATCAACCTGCATAGCTTCCCCTCGACGATAAGCTCGATAAAATTCGAAAGGTTGTTCAAGTCTTCCATCCCGGTTATAAGCCAGCATATCCATTAATCAGCTTGCGTGCAACTGACGATGGCTCTCTGTGCTATATCATAATTTATTATGCTTGTTGTATTATTGCTGGGAATATTTGGCACCCAAGCTAAGGTCGTACTGCTGGACCGTACCTCTCTACCTCTTCAGATCCATCTACCGCCCAACGATACATACCTCAAAATCATGTTATACCTGCCGGTACTTATTATTTCCACGTCCCCAAGTCCAGCCGTATCGATTCCAATCGTAAGTTTCTACTTGTCATATCAAATCACTCCTAGGTTCCTAATGTTAGTTTTATCATAGATGATCAACCGTATCCCATCGTTCCCAGTTTCAGCGACAGGGTTTTCCCCCAATCCGTACCTCAGCCTTGGAAGGACGTAGCAGACGCCAACCCAAAACGCCGCACCGATTCTCCCTTCGACCCAGATCGAGCCCGTTGCGTTATCACGGCACAGTTGAACGGACTTGAATCAACCCACATGATGCCTGCCACTACTCAAGCATGGCTAAGAGACAACCAAATGCGTCGATTTATTACACATGAAGATCCAGATGCTACTCATAGTGCCCTAAGCAACAAAATCCCGCTTCGCGAAGACTATCGTTCGCTGTGGGACGATAACTTTTTTGTCCTCGTACTAAAACCCGATGCTTCGCAGCAAGGCCAGTACAGGCTTACATCGCATCTTCTTGCTTTGCCCGAAAAGCATCACAACACAAATACGGAGGCGCATATTTTGTTCCACAATCGCCCGCGCTACCCATTTCCTCACGTTCCTATCGAACTGGTATTTGCTCGATTCGCTTGGGCTCTTTTTACCAGGGACGTTATTAAGATGTTCGCCGACAACACCGGTAATGAATTATACTCCGTACTTAGACTTACAGTAGATGAAGAGGGTAACTCGGTACAAAGGCAAGAAATGACAAAGCTCAAGCAATTAGCTCCATTAACAACCAAGGCTACTGGTGGTCGGAAGGCTGCCGGCGAGAAACGCCCTCATGGCGAGATTTCCAAAGGCCATAGCCACGTCGAAGAAGACAATGTCGAAGAGGACAATGTCGAAGAAGACAACGACGAATATTCGGGTAGAAACTGGTTCTTTTCGCCACGTACTGGGCAGATGGAGCTGGAATTTGATACCAATAGTAATTGCGGTTATGGTAATGATGATTCCAGTGATGATAACGATAGGAAGAAGAGCGAGTTAGATGATGACGACACTTTCAGCGGCCGTTCTCTATTCTTCAGCGATAATGACAACGACAACGACCATGATAGCGCATCCGGAGATAGTGACGTCGAACATGACCATGCAACTTTAGAAATCAGAACGAATTCTAAGTCATCTTGCCCGCCTGCTAATACCGACACTATTCCAGACTTATCTATGTCTATTGCAAGCTTGGGTAGCAGTGATCGGAGTCCAAGTCGACATGAAGATTACGTTTCGGACACTCCTATTCCGGCCCCTTTGAACGACAAAAGCTCTTTCAAGCACACTCCCGAAGATCATGTTCACTAAAGAGTGTGTTTAAGCATATCATTTGCAATTAGGATTAATGGTTTTTTTTTTTTTTTTTTTTTTTTTTTTTTTTTTTTTTTTTTTGTAGTGTTAAATTTGAATGGGTATAAAGATAGTTTTTTTTAAGTTAAAAATTATAT